ATTAATTAATAAAGGGATTTCTCTTGAACCGTCTTTCCGTACATTCGGAATCGTATTTTTGGCGTTTTCGTCTAATTTCATCAGTTCCTCGGCAAATCATAATTTCCGAATAATCGCCGGGCGAATTTAATAAATTCCGCGTGTACGCACCCCTTTCATCTCGTGTAACGAATCCGGCGAACGGACCCGCGGAAAACCCGGCGAATTTCCTTTTTATTCGGAACGAATGTTTCGGAAACTAATTCATCGTGAAATTTATACGGATTACCCGAGAGGCAAGGGAATTATTTATGTCCCATCGGTACTTACGTAAATACATATATTGTCCACTGGAGTTGTTTCTTTTGGAGAAAATAGGAATAGAACGAGCATCGGGTGCGGGAAAGGAATTCGATCCACGTCTCCCGGTGACGCGAAATCTCCGCCGAAAAGAAACACATCGAAGGGCGGTAGCGAAAGTGTCAGGACAAGAACAAAGGCCTCGACCATTATCGAGATTAATTCGACAAAAGCCTTCAATATTGAATACAGTAGTCGGCCAATAAATTGCCTATTATATGTTCTGCGCGCAGGGAATAAGATTGAGCTCTCTCGTTTTATCGCTTCATTTAAATTCTTTTTGTTTTATCAAAGGAACGGCTCGACGGCTCATCGTTTATTAGATGTTAGGAAGAAAATACGCACCGAGGGGATTTTATTTTCGAGATTTCTCAATTTTTTTACACCCTCTATTACCCCGCTATACCAAACACGATTTTTATCATAACTAGATATTAGCTCGTTGTAATTAAAAATAATACATAATTCTCATTGAAGAAACGAAAATTCATAATTTGAAATTCCAACAAACGAGCATTTCCCATTAACGAATCCCATCCGAATCGACGTCGAGTCGGGCTAATCAAGCGTTTTTGTTAATTTCTGCAACTCCACGGCCCGTTTTTTCTTTGTTTGTCCGCCCCGCACGAGATTTGTACCTTTTATCTCTATTGTGTCGCCTCGAAATGGAGGTAAGTAGATAAAGAAAAAAAGTACCCCTCGTTATTACCATAATAACGCGGCCCGCCGTTTCTTTTCCATTATGCCTCGGTAATTAGAAAGGGCAATTTGAAATTCAAATTTCGAATCGAAAGCGGCGCGAGCGAAACGCAAACGGAGGTTTATAGTGATTTTTGTAAACCCATACAAGTTCAACAGGAATTGAAGGGTCGCTTTTTACGTGATGCTCCGCAGGAAAACTCGACGTAAAAACGTTTTTCTAATACCCCACTCGCCCTATTACTGAATATTAATAGCAGAGAAAACGCCACATCAGGTATGAAACTTTCTATATGACCCAATTCGTTGAATAATTCTATATTGTCGAATTTTTAAATTGAAAACTGTAACATTTACCTATATAGGGCGAATTTTTATTTTATCGAGACTAATCGATTCGTCGGATTAATTGGAGGATTTTTCCATTCGGCATAGTTTCACCAAGAATTGGCCTTTCGGTGCGTGAACGAATTAAAGTAACAATGCAACGTAGATCCTAATTGCATCGTTACGTCGAGCAGCTTGATAAATGGGGGGATATCTAATCAATAAATTTAATTACGGGTGCTTTGTTTCCGATATGAAAAGACACTGTCGTAGGAGCGTTCTTCCTTTTTACTCGCAGCATAAATTAATTTCCTCTATTAAATTGATGGTTGCCGAATTAGCCAAACAACGTAAACTGGTCACGTAACGTTTGATTAAAATATATCGATCGATTCGTTAAAACGCAGTTATCGAATTAATTTCATATAATAAAGCGCGCAAAACAATGGAGTGTGTGTACAAAAATCCGTTCGGAATTCAGCAAAAAAGTTATTCATAAACTTTCCCATCAATTGCGCCGACGAACCGGGGTTGAAGTTGCTGCTTTCGGCACCGAATTTTCGCCTCGAAACATATCCAAACCGGATTTTTGACTAACTTTTTCATCCTGTAAACGACACCCCGCTCATTTGCTCCGCTCCTCTCGATTTAACGGAGGATAAATTGATCAAAAAGAGATTCCTCACAGTCTTTTCAACGCGGCGAAAACGCCCTTTTACAGGATAGTCCCTTTTTCAAAGCTAACTGGCGCTTATGACCCGTTGAACGAGTCGAGCTCGCGCAGCTGGCGAGCCCAACTGCGGGGGTTTGAAGTAGATTTTTTTTTGGGGAGATTCAAAGGAGTCCGAATGGCGAATATTATTCCAGTTACAACGGATGTATGGGTGTGTTTGTGCGTCCGCGAACGCGGCTTTGACGAAGCCCCGCCGGCGGGATAATTGGGTCGGGCTAGTGCGTTTAGTTTCTTTATTCCGGGCGAACTACGGCAAGTTTCGCTGGCGGGCTCCGGACGAAAACTTCCGAGCTTTTGTTTAGATTTCATAAACGTTTTCGCTGCACGAATGGCGAGGTTTAAATTTAAATTGAACCGGGTTATATACAGCGTGTGCCCTTTGTGTGTTTTAAATAAGCAAAAGAGATGTTAGTTATTCGGTGTTATTAAATAAATAGTGGGTTATTTTATTAGGTTAAATTATAAATTAAGATTACTAATTTCTTGTTGAGTGAATCGTAAATCAAAAAGGAGTTTCGTATAATCTCGGCGGTGTTTTTTCCATTCGGTTAACTTGTTGGCAATCCGACCTTTCCCCTTTATACCGTTCCTTTTCGGTTTGCTCGAAACGAAGAAAAAAAGGCCTTAAATACTTTCAGCGAGAATTCAAACGAAAAAGAGTTAATTTAGAAAATCAAGATAGAATCAATTTTCTAACGGGCTTGCTCCTTTCCTTACCTTTCGGATAAAAATATATTTACGCACAGAAGCGAAGGGTCGCTTTTTCGACAAGGGCGTAATAAATATAAGCGAGAAGCGAAACGGCCGCCCTCCGTCTAGATCAAAGGGCCGATTTTTGTTTTTGTTTTTTAATTTTCTTTGTTCGCGAGCGCAAAGAAAATGCAATAACGAGAATAAGCGCGCGGCCGGCGAAATTTGCGTGAGCAACATAATTTAACAATCGGAATTATTAAAAAATTAGCAGTTGTGTGTAAACATAATTAATGGTTGTACGTGTTTTATTACAACCCTAACCGACGTGTTCTTAGTTGTTAATTCGAAATATAAATTAAATACAAGCAACGCCTTGTTGGGGGGTCTAATCGAGATACAGAACAAAACTTTTTTTATGTAAATGTGGCGGCGAAAAAGTATTAAAGATCCCTTTCGTTTGCTTAATAAAAAAGTGTATTATTATTCATCATTTTTGCTTGGGTTTCAGAACGTCGTTTATCTCGGATAATATATCACAGTCCAACCATTTCCCTGCTAGTATTGTCAATATGCAAAACGAGAAGAACACTAAAAAACACTGATTTTTTTAGGAAAATTGACATAAAATACCAACAATTATTTTTTACAACAATTTTATTCTTATTTTATACTGGATAAGATGCGATTTTTGAATAAAGTCATGCACACTTTGTATTAATATACATACTTTGAGAAAAATAAATTTGCATTATCCTCGGCGCTCGTTTATCGCACGAAACAAAACGGAATAATATTCGTGCGAATTTTCCGAAGCACGATACGTTTCCAAAAAAAAACAAAGAGACTGTTTATTGATAAAACGCGTTTGAAAAGGGGGAAATTTCAATAGGATATATCGGTTCGGTTTTTTTGATCGACTCTCTGTGGGCGGTGTGGACGTTCGGAAAACAAATCCATGATTTCTGCTGACGTTCACCGACAGTCGACAGTCATACCAAATCCCTTTGACTGTAAGTTTTAATGTACACAGACACGATGGCACGTTAATTTCCCGACAATTCTATCAATATAAATTTCGAGCCAAAATCGATTCGAGATAAACGAAAAATTCTCAAACGTATTGGAAGAATGCAATGCCGTAAATTCTTTGAAATATTTCGAATATCGCCTTTAATTAATTTTACCGCTCAAAGATTTGATAAAAAAATTAATAGTGCAAAATTGCAAAAGGTTTTTATCGTGCAAAAAGAGCCTTGCTTAGCATACAAATAGTTCTGATAAACCGGCCGTAATTGGACGTTTTTGTCGTTGTTCAATACGTCGAATAATTTATAAATTGTACCCTTTGTGGCATTTATGGTCTCGCATTGGAGACATTAAAGAAATTTATCGCCACAATAAAATAAAAAGGAGTAACAATTATTAGTCGGGATTCGGTTCATTTTCTCGTTCGGCGTTTTATTTTTTCTGAGCCCGTTTACAATTGTATACCAGGAAAAAAAACTAAATCCCCGAAATTGGAAACGCGGTAAATGAATGGGAGTTTTAAAGCGTTTTTCCGGTTCGGCGGGTTCCGAACCAAACCGCCTGTTAATAGAATGTTTTCCTTTCGCTAAAAGGAGGCCCGATTATTTGCTTTACTTTTTGCCACATCATGAATCGCGCCTTTCGTACCGTCGCCATAAATAATTACCCCGCATTCGGATTGATACAACCTAGAAATAATTCCATACGCGCGCAATATTTCACAGCTAATCCTTTCCGATGTCGGAATATTGCTGAACTCGAAGTAGGTTAAAGTTGAAGTGCTCGCATTACGTGTCAAAAAATATTAAATATTCTTAATGCACCCCGACCTACATATATATAAAATTGAAGAAATCTTCTATGATACATTTTACATTCTGATGAAGCATCCCTTTCTATAGAAACATCAGTATTCGAATTAAAACAATATGTAATATAATAATTGTGATATAATTAATTAAAGATTATACTCCTGTGAATAAACAAAAGCATGACAACAATAATTACGCCTACTCTTGTCCTTCCAGGATTTATGTAATTCGTTGGTCATAAAATGATTAATAATGATCCGAGTTTGTGTTTTATATAATAGTCAAGTATTCCCTAAACAACGGAACTATTAAAATGCCATTACACAACCCCGATATTTATACCCCAATTTATATGATATATTAATACTTACCAGTGCAAAAGAAGAACAAACTAATTATATACAGTAATCTTCGTCTCTCCATTTTAAATTTTCCACTAATCAACCAACCAACACTAGCATTTCACAGAAAACTTATCTATTAAGCTTAATTAAGACTATTTATTCGAACATTAATTAATATCAGTCATCTGCGGTAAATATTGCGTGAGGTGAAATCACAGAAAAAAAATGTCCAGTTACATTTGAAACGTCAAAACCACTTCACTGAATCGAAAATTTTAATCCACAGTCGATCAGCATTCGGCTCTCCTGTCAGGAGGAGACCGGGAGCGCGTAACATTCAAGCAAACCATTCTCAACGAAGCTGACGTCGTGACGGGCGATATTCGAGTGGCGTCGGGGCGCCTAGCTGCACCGACGAGCGTCGAGGCGCTTGCGTTAACCCCGCGATTCTATTATAATTATTGTTGATAACACAGATATAATTTTGATAGATTGTTGCACCTGATGCGTCCCGTCGAAGCTGCTCGGCTTGTCAATTACAATTTGCTCTTTTAACTCGATATTCATTGGACCGGAGCGGAAGTCGCGGTGATATATAGTCGGGGGTAGTATTTTCATGCTAATCGGGCGGCTTTTGTAAGACCGCTTCTGTACTGGAAAGTCGACTTTTTGACAACGAAAACCTTGAATAATGAATGAAGGAAATTACGAGGCTTTTTTTTTCACGAAAAAGCCGTCGGATTTTCCGGGCACAATGAGACCGCCGAAATTATGAAATGAATTGTTTTCCTAATCGCGTTCTGGGGGCCTAAATTAAAAGAAAAGCTCAACTTTTACGAAAATCAAACGCCTTACAATCAAAGCCACTTAAAACAAATAATTGATGATATAATTCAGCATGAAATCCCATGCAAATTTCGACCCTTTCGAACGTTATTAGTACCTACGGGATCGATTTCTACAACTTACGACCCCGTTCTCGCCCTTTCGGCCAAGTCGATGTTTTAATTAAAACCGGAAAATTAATTTCACATCGACGGGTCATATTCCCGAAACGGCGTTCGAAATGAAACATAAGTAAAGTAATAATATTTACTACTTCGGGAGTTTGGGAACTCCGTCGAATTTTTCCCCGGAACTAAACAGGAAATGAAATTTCAACTTTTAATACTCCCGTAGAATTCCATTGAAAAAAAGTGGAAAATATATAAAGCGAATTATGTAAGAAAGTGGATTTTATATTGCCAATTATCCGAGCAATTCAATTGTAAATTTTACAATCGATGCGAAGGTATTATGTAAATTTTTAAAATATAAATCTCGTTTCGTTACGCAACTTCTAATTACGTAAATAAGTTCAAATATACAGGATGTTAAAGCAGCAGTGGATGTGTTAAACGAAGGTTACTTGTCTGCACACAGATAGGCATGTATCAAAATTAATTCCTGTACAAACAGATTTCAGATAATCAGTTCAACAAGGTATTTTAATAAATCAAATTTCATTAGATTCGCAGGCGAGCCCATTCGTTTTATTAATTGGCAGAATGTTTCAGTTATTCGGGATATCAACAAACGATTTAACCGATAAATTGCGCAAAAATGTTTTATACAAATTAATTTTCCGCGTCGAACTCTTGTTATTGCCGATTTTATAAGGCACATGGGCGCAGCGTTTACCGGCAAAATAACTCGCAATTACAAAAAAATATATTAAATGGAACATTTCATTCCGGAAAACGCTGTAATTTGTAATCAAATAAAATCTGATATAAAAAACGACATTACATGTTTGCACCGCTGAATAATGAAAATACAACGATGCTTATCATTTAAATATTGTATTATATACAATTGAATTAATTTTTTTCCGCCGGTTTCCACTGATAATCTCTAATTTGTTTTTAATATTTTATTCACGTAGCACAAAATAAAAACGAATGCGTTATTGTGAAAATGTGTAGAACAATTTCATTGTCATCGAAAAATTCGTTATCGGTTTAGAGAGAATTACCCGGATTGTTATTAATGCGCACAAAAAAACACAATTCAAGTCTCAAAATAGACGAAAATCATCGACGAAATTTAATATGATCGGTTTTGTTCAAAACTCGCAATTTTATTAGTTTTTTTGCGTTTGGTTTTATGTACATATATTCAAATTTTACCTTTATCAATCGGGATTGGATTTCATACGAGCCCTTTGTTCTAGTTAATTTAAAGAGTAATAAATCCGCCAAATTTCGTTTTAGCCTGAATTAATAACAATCCAAAGTTGGGATTACAAAAAAAACAATACAGCTGCCAAAAGATTCCGTAAACAGGTAATAAAAACGCCGAATAGCGCGCAAAGGGAGAATCCGCTTTTCTCTAAAAGCCCTCAATTAACCGATGATAGCTTCAACTGTTCGGAGATAGTAACGCATAAAAACCCCATCATTTATATCCCGCCTCATAATAGTCGATGTTCCAATAAAACGGGACAATGGAAACCGTTACCCCTTTAATTGGATCAGCCGTTTCGCAGCAAGAAAATCGGCTCGACTTTTAACAACTTATTGATCTTTCGATTCATGCACCTTTGAACCGTTTACTACGGGTTATGAATATTTATAGATATTACTACTTAAAGCGAGTACTCTCCCTTTTCGGGCGGAACGTGGAATTCCCGACGTTATTCGTTGTTCGTCCGGCGGAAGGTAAAAAATTTCCGAATTTTCCGTTTCGGTTTGTCAAGTTTCGCGTTTCCTCCGTAGGAGTATTAAAAATACGTCCGTTTCCCTTTTTTCCGCCCCGGCAATTATTCATTTCTCGTAATTAAGAGAGCTGAATTATGCGAGCTGCGAGAATTACGGATGAAATATCGTCGTGTTGTGTTTTTGCCTTCGGGCTAGAGCAAAAACTGTATTATCTCTCGGAAGCGTGTCGTTTCCTTAAACGAATAACCCGAGCACAGATGCTGGAATATACCCTTATCGCGTATACACGCGCTATTATTGTCAAAATCAAAAAATAAAACTTTTATTTAAAAAAAAGAAATTTATTAATGGCACTTTTGAAGATAACAAATCGTACTAGACATTGGCGAAAGCGCTGCCTATCATATTCTTCCCTCTATATCTGAACGTGTAAGTTCTAATAATAAAGCGATTCCCATTCAACTTCAAAGGGCACACTCTATCCGGTCTCATTAGGAAACAAGTAGAATATAAAGCCATTTCGAATTCAGGACTGGTACCGATGAACATTGTATTAACAGGCTTGTCGTTGCCGTGGAAAGTAAAGTGGTACATCACCAAGAATCCTTTCTGTAAAAGCATTATTCCGATTAGTGCTTGTAAATTCGTTCATTCGAAAGCGCTTACACCGCCCAAATCGATTTTTTTCATGTAACCGAGGTAGTTGGCCTCGTGTTTCTGTTCTTCTTGGGCGAAATACACCCAATTGTGCATCCCGGAGACTTGGTCCTTCTTCAATTCGCCCAAGAAGACGTGCTCGAATCCGCTGGAGCCCACTTTATTCCCGCCTCTTGCATACATATTGAACCAAATCTGTCGGAGAATGTCTTTGAACTCTTGAGGATCCCTTCCGATTTTACCTGCAAAGCAAACTCGGTTAAAATCAAAACGTTTGCGTTCGTTGTACGATTTACCTTTATTTATTAAAAAGTTTCTCGTGTATTCCATAACGGGCGTCGAAAGAACAGCATTCAGAAAATCGTTTTCTTCGTTCTTTTCCTCTTGTGTATAAACCTCGTTCTGATTCGTTTCTAGTATGTAATTGTTGTATAAAGGAGTAAGTTTTGAGATCGTTGGCATCGAATAAACAGCGGAATTGATGGACAATAAACTAATAAAATGTAATTATTATTAATAAGTAGATATTATCGAGTACAACATACGGCAGGGGTGCTTCATCTACTGTAGACCTCGATGAAGTCTTTCCTTGAAAATTCACTGAAACATACTGTGCTGGACTATTATTCTCTTTGTGTAGCAAATCTTCGGAAAACTGCCGTAATTCCTCGTCACTAACTTCGATTTGTTGATTTGAATTAGCCCTTTGATTGCCAGTATGCGAGTCTCTTGTGTCGGACAATAAGGACCCTGAAGAAAACGCACCGTTTACAGCGCCCCCTCGGTTCGTGGGATACGCATTAAAATGTCTTTCATTATTTAAAAAGTTTCCGTTATATGTCTGAGGTCTCGTGTTGTGTAAATTGTTTAAATTTTGTTGCGGGGATGGTGTGTTTCTAACCCAATTGGTACCATTATTCGGACGGACCCACAACGGGGCCTGAGTCGAAGGATTGTTATGATATTGATACCTTTGTCTGCCTAACGCAGGCCACGGGGTTGTTGCAGAATTTTTTCCAAACTGCGGAGTATTTATAATATCACTGTTCGTTACATTTAACTGCCTCCTTTGCCAAACATTTTGGTGATTGTGTCTATTATCCACTTCAGCACCTATGCATACCCAATAGAATTTATTATATTTTGCGCATGTTATTATTAAGGCTAATGAAATAATGATAATGGTCAGCCAGAGTGTAAGTTACGGGTAAAATATGATGGTCAGTCCAGTTTTTTTGATTAGAGAAGATTGTGAAATGTAGTTATTGCTATCAAAAAATTAATGTCTTTCTAACTATTTGATAATAAAATTTGAAAATTAAATAATAAAATGATTAAAATACTCACATAATACGTTTCCTATAAAGGCAACACATAAAATAGATACGAGCGTAAGTAAAGTAGACATTCTCAACTCGCTAAAACGCTTAAAATAACAGACACCTAACAGAAAAACATTCTTAAAAAATTAATTAAATAATGTTTATAAAGATACAAGGCCGAAGTGATTACATTATTTTTACATTATTGTTTTGAAATTGAAAAATAAAAAATTGTCATTGTGTGGTGTCATCTGTCAAAGACTTCTTCTCTTTCACAAAAATAATATGAGTGACTGAAAACAACTATAGTAAAATACAACTTTAATTTAAACGAAGACTTTCAAAACGTCAAATGAATCATATGTTTTGTTTTTTAATTCATTGTTTGCCCGTTTGTTATCCAATTGTCAGCTGTGTGACCCATATATTAATGTTCAATCTCATGTTATTTAAAGGTTGTTGCTTATTGTCGCGCATTAAATATTAATGGGCGTAAAATTTATCAGTGAAATGTGATGTTGAGTGTACTTGTTTTGTTTACCATTTTGAGATTTAAGTAAGTTTTTTTTCCAACGTTTTTTACTAGTAGTCGAGTACATAAAGAAATGTTTTCAGAATAATGGAAGAATTATTGAAACTTATCGAGAAGCTGTCAAGACGGGAGAACGACTACAACAAATTAGTTAATTTATTTTACAAAAAAGTAGGCGAATTTAAGCAAATTGACAAAAATGAAAGTGGGTACCTTTCGGAATACATCTTACCGAAGATAAATGACCTTTGCAACAAAGAAATCCTGCAGAAAGATATACTGTACTTGTCATTAATCGGTTGCCAAAATTTCGAATTGCTTCAAAGGTTCATTAAATACCACGAGAATTCTATCGACATCCATTTAGAAAAACCCACCACGTTATACGATTATTGTGTATGCAAAAAGGATCATTGGTTTAACAAATTTATTAGCAAAAAAACACTATCAATAACCGATCAAAATATACTCAGCAAAATATGTATATTACGCCTGATACATTTAACGAATACAAACGATTTGAATTTAAATCTTTTAAAAATATTATTATCGGAAATCGATCACTACAATGTGCAAACATTTTGGACAAACTACATCAAATTAATGAAATTCTTCGACAAATTCATCGATTACTGCGAGGCGAATTTATCCAACACCAACGTTCGCGATATTTTCAATCATTTCCGCGAGAACTGCATCCTGCACGCGTTCTCCAATTATTTCAAATTCAAAACCGCCAATCTGAACGAGATTCTGGAATTTATCAAAGAGGAAGAGGAACTATTCAAAACACCAAACAACCAGTCAGTCCAATTCGAAGCGTTCATGATCGTGGGAAATCTCTTTCGTTGCATCACAAAAACTCCCAATCTAAACATCGATGATACAGTCAAAACTATCAAACAGAGATTATTAAACATAGACCAACTGTCAATGCAACTCCTTCTGCTGGAGGATATATTCACCGCTATATTCGCCGAGTCGAGATATGTACACGTGAAAATGGAAGAAAACGCGCTTATATGCGAAGAAAAAGAAGTCAGGCTCATCTTGTACCTAGTCAAAGACGTGCTCGAAGAAATCAAATTAAAATACACCCCTGCCAAAGACTCCGCGGAACATATCAGGCTGTCGCGACTGAACAAAGTCGTGGCGGACGCCACCTGGCGCATGGAGCTCATACGAAGCGTCAAAGAGAACTCCAAATGCGAGAAATTCCTGCTGAAATACATGCTCTCCTCGCCGGAATCTCTGATACAGATGTGCTTGAAACGGAACGACTTCGAAAGGGCCTGCCAGGTTATCCAGGTAGGTGTAGGCTACATGTCTCTTAATTGCTTTTCGAGCGCCTTTTGAGCGTATTTCTCGAATCTGGTCGGCTCGTATTTGGTGGCGTTTCCGTCCTCATCGTGGTAGGTACCCGGAGGATTTTGCGCGCAAAATCGTTTCACCTCCTCGATTTGTTCGAGAGGTCTACAAATCGCGCACCTGCAGCAACAACAACACCATCCTGAAATTGAGTAAAATTATTCCCTTTTACATCGAGCTACTAGAGTTACCTTGAATGTTAAAGATACTTACTAAAACTAGTAATAAATTGCACCAGTTGTACTTACCATACTGGCACCAAAGTGGTATTGCTATCACTAAGTAAACAATAAACCAAATTAGTGCAATGCGAATAACTTTTTCGAGTAAGTGATTCCTTAATTTCGGTTTGCGGAAATCTGCCCATAAGCATTCTATAGCGCCCAAACCTTAAATTTCATTTGCGCATTATTTAAAAAAAATATTTGAAGAATTAATTAAATGAATACCTATTCCTTTTCTTTCCTCGTTTGTGCAATTTTTCGGTTCTTTCCCAATATCCAAAAACGTTTTAATGCTATCTTTAATGGATTCGTCTTCTTTAACGTTAGTGTAATTTACAGTTTCGTTCGATACTGAGGCTTGTTTCACTTCGTTATCGAATTGTTCCTTCAGCTTATTATAATCGTAATTATCCTCTGTGGATACTTGATCTTCTCGTTTTTTCTTGCCCGCGACATCTTCGTTTCTATCGTCGAAATAAATCACATCGTCCTCCTAAATTGGATATAACAGCAATTTATTGCAATAAGAACAAAAGTTTTTCATACGTTCACGAATTCCCCTTCTGCGTTAACTAAGCCGGCTTTAAAAGGAGCAGGATATTCCACATCTGGATTGAACTCTTCGAAAATCTCTCGTTTCTTCACCGGTTCTTCTCCAATATCCCAACTATTTTCTTTATCGTTGTTAACACTGCGGTGGATTCTGTAGTATTTATCGTTGTCGGATTCCACTTGCAAATTTCTCATATCTTCTTTACTGATCATTTCTTCGTCGTAAACTTCCTGCAGATCCTCCGGGTCTATAGGATCGAAAATTTCGAAGGTTTCTTCATCATTAAGAGTAAGATTGTAAGGCGGAGGCCATATAGAAAACGTTTCTTGTAATACCATTGCGAACGTAATGATAAGGCAATTAACGTGTGTCATTTGCAATGACATTTATGCAACAAGCTCTCTAGTTAATTATGTAGCTATGTTTTTTTTTCTAGATATTCGGTTTGGAAGATCCCTATCTGGCCAACGAGATCAAATTCAACGAGAACTTGGTGAATTTGAGGGAGAATTTGAAGAAAACGTGCAGGTACAAATCGTTGAAGCAGTCCAATCCGAATATGTCCTTTTCGGCGGTGGAAATGTCCTTGAATAAGCCGATCGAGCAATTCTTCAAGAGCAATTGCTCGGTGAACGCGGACATCGAGCGGAGGATCGAGGCGTTGTCCGGGAAATTCGATTTCTTCAAGCATTTCGTCGGAGCGAACGAAGCGTTCATGAACATGTTCGATTTGGCGGTGACTCTGCCGCAGAACTTCGAAAATTCGGAGATTATGCTGGAATTGGCGTGCGAGAATAACGCTTTAGACTGCAACGTGGACTCGAATTATGCGAGATTTAGCAAAAAGCTTATCGATATGTACAGGGAAATCGGCAAAGAGAAGGATCTTGGTCTGGGCGAAATGTTAACGTCGCCCGATTATATTGTTGATTTGGTTAAGCACAGAAAACAAGAAGATTTTTACAATACTCTATCTGCATATTACAATGAAGTAATCGATGATTTGCAGTTAATCGAATCGGGTGTTTTGAATAGTAAACACCCTAGTCACAAGTCTATATTGAAAATCAATAAATTATTGGTAGATTACGCTGATGAGAACGTAAAATATCTTCAAAAATTGTATAATTACCTGAAAGCTTTCTCTAGAGTTTTGTACATTGAAAAGAATACTTCAGACATTGTATCAAACGGCAAAAATACCTCGTATTTCGATTTGCTTAAAATCAACAGATCAGAACTCATGGGTAAGCTTCTATTCGAACGCAACCTAGATCCGAGCGAATTCGAAAAATACTTCGGCAAATTAAAACTAGACTATTTATACCACGTAATAGGCAATTGCTTCCCCACCATCAACCTCCACATCCAAGAGCACGTCACCAAAGAGGAATTATACCCGGAAAACAACCTATACATCCCCACCAAAGCCATAATAACTTACATACAAAAAAGAAACTGGCTATTAGCCTACATACTGAACAAAATGTACAACGTAGAAGGCGTCAAAATCGACATCAACGAAAACCGAGTGCGCGCGTTCCACAACTACCTGCTCCTGCCGAAAAACGTCCTCATGCAGCAACTCTACAACAACAACGCCATCCTAACGGCCCTCCAAAACGAAATCAGCGCCCAGAAGATGTCCGAGTTCATCAACGAGCGCGTGATGAGGCACGAATCGATGACCGCCTCCCACTGCAGCCACAACTCCAACGACAGCCTCGAGACCGGCGAGGAGCTGCAGGAGGACATGCTGCGCTCGATCAACTGGAAGGACGTCTTCGAGCTGGTGCGCAGCGTGCCCGAGGACCAGGCGAAGAAGAACCGCGTCTTCTCCGGCATGGCGGACACCGTGCTGGTCAGCCTGATCCAGGACGGGCTGGAGCCCGAGTGCCACCGGTACGCGCTGTTCGTGAACCACCGCGACACCAGGATCAACGTGATACTCGATCAGATGAGGCATTGGTGCGGCGAGGCCTGCTTGGACGTCATACGATCGGAGGTGTCGCGGTTCGATGGGATGCAAGATGGAAAACTGGTCGAGCTCAAGATGTGGCTGTTGCATATTACTTTATGCGAAAAAGTTTGTAGAAACTTTAGAAGAAGTAGGTTCTAATGTTGTTTAATACCTTTTTTTTACAGCTTAAAGCTATACTGGATGTTTCAACGTGGTATACTGCTTATAAAATGGCCGAGAACACTAAAGATCTAGTAATAGATAAACTACTACAAACTGACGATGTAATTAAACATTGCATTGAATCTATTGTTCTCTTAACCAGTTTTTTTTATTAGATACATCTTCTGTTGGATTTCATCGATCTTCACACGCCCAGCGAGGCTTTATTGGAGAAAATTAACGAAAATTACGTAGTTAAAGTATTCCAAAATACAACGAACTTCACCAGCATTAAGCAATTATTCGACGCGTTGCCATTCAATCACAGCATCAAGCTCTGCTACAATCTGATTAAGCTGTTGAAGCAACTGCACCACTTGCGATTCGTCGTCGATTATCTCATGAATAACGTGAACAACGACGCCTTGAAAAACGTGGAAATCAGCATCAAAATGCTGTCGGCGTTCGCGCAAACCGAGCAAGAGCAGCTGTTGTGCTTGCTGTACGAGCCGTTGAACATCATCGAGATTTTGATAATGAACACGAAAATCGAGAAGCTCGCTGCCGTGCTGGGCGTACTGAAATCCGAAGTGTCCCATACGGAATTCAACGAAGAGATCATCTCGGTGGAAAAAATCGACGAGATATTGCGGCGGTACGCGGAGAAGAGCCTCGATTTTCGCGTCATCACCCAGCCGAATCCGAGGCTGCTGCGCACGCCCGAGCACAAGCTGATGCAATCGTTGGATTCGTTGAGCATCGGATTGGGCGGCAGGAACTTCCTCATGCCCGACGAGGTGCCTTTGAAGGGCGATTGGGTGTCCAACAACGAGGTGATCGAGTGCATGTGCTGCCAAAAGACCGTGTTTTCGATGTTCAATCGACGCCACCATTGTCGCAGATGCGGCAGGGTGGTGTGTTACAACTGCTCGTTACAACGGATGCTGGTGAGTTTCGAATTTGATAAACGTTTGTTGGTAATTTTAGAGGTTTTTGTTGTGATAAAGGTGCCGAGTTATGGAGATATATTAGTGCGCGTGTGCTCGGATTGCTACGGTCAAACTATGGGGGAGAACGAATCGTCCGATTGCAACGATTCCATTTCCACTAAGTCAATCGATTACGATTACTGGCTACTCACCGACGATCCGGAACACAATGAAATCGTAAGGGAGGAATTCTCGTACGAGCACGCGCCCAGCGTGTCACTTTGCCTGTCGCTGATGAAGTTCCACTCGAAAACCATCGCGTATCCAAAGTAAGATTTGTTACAAACCAACTATCAATTATATAACTAGTTTGTTGTAGGTTCCTTTTAGACCAATGCAATGTAATGCTCAAGTTATTGCAACCCAGTCAAGAACCTATTCAAGAAATCGATTATCTACTTGTAATCAAAATGCTTAGATCATTGACTATGGCTGCTAAAATGTCTTCGATCGAATGCGCCCTTCATTATGGCACTTCTTTGGCCGATCGGATTCTCTCGCAAGTCGATTTGTTAAATTTATTGGCCGAAAGAGGTTGCCTCAGTTTGCTTCCCATCGCCGGTACTTACTCGTCGCAGGGACCTTACATAGATGCCTCCGTATTGCGCCGGTTAAGCGACAGGCTTCTGGAAAGGGAGCAGTGGAATTTGGCTTTGGAGGTGTCCACGAAAGCCGGCTTAGACAATACAGGTACTTGTTTGGATTAATAGAAGGTATATATTAATAATTTGTTTCTAGGCGTGTTTGCAGTTTGGGGCAAGAGCTGCCTGAGGGCGGGAAATTTGCAAATGGCGAGAGAAAAATTCCAGAGGTGCTTCGAGAAAACGAGCCACTTCGATAACCTGTCCGATTACAGCGTATCATTCGACAGCATCGAACTAACGAAATCTAGAAAATTGTCCAGATCGTCGACTTTCAGCTCGATCTCCGAAACGAAACCCACGAAGAATCCGCCTCTTCTCAACGAAATAATCCACATCTTGGAGTCGAATACCAGGGCGATAGATCCCGAATTAATCGTAACGGAGGAATCCGATAAACCGAGCGGCCAGCCCGATTCGGCCATATGCATCCTCAACAAGCTGAGAAACTTGAAAAGCATCTCGTCTAAGAATTACTACCAGCCGATTCGCTGCGATTCGAAATCGTACTCGAGCAGGCCGCCCATTCACGAGGTTTTCTACAGCGAATGCGTTTATTATTTGAACAGATACGGCAGCCACTTGGGCTTGCTGGAATTTTACGTGAAACACGGCGATATTAATTTGGCTCTGAATTACATCGTGGACAATAAATTAGGCACCGATGTGTTCATTGAAATTTACATGAAATGCCTTAAAGACGGTATCATCGGAATTTTACAAGAGAATATCGCGCTGATCGATTCGACGCTTGATGTGTGGAAGGTGAGAGATATTGTTTCTTCAAATTCATACTGTTGTAATGCTTTTTTTTAGGATTATTTACGCCACATATGCAGGCATTTGGAGAAGCACAACATGTTGCATTCTTTATATCAGTTGCAGCAATTTATGGGAGACTCGATTAGGGCGGCAATGACTTGCATTAGGTTTTACCAAGACAACGCGTTGAATTTTCAAGATCTGAGGAATAACGTGCAATATTTACATAAGGCCGAGGAGCATTTGAACCACGGCGTGGAGCAAGAACAATGGGTGGACGTGGCTACTGGTGAATAATACCATTGCATTTATTTTGTGTTAAATGAAAATGTTTGTATAATGTATTTTTAGTTCGAAGGTTGAGTACCGAGTCTAAAACTAGTTTCGAACAAAAGGCTATAATAAATCCATCGATTGTGATGACAATAAACACGAAAGATATCAAAAAACATATAAACACGATATGGAGGCAAAACGAATTGGCGGAATTTTTAGCCCAGTGCGAGGAAAACGGGATGAAACCCATGCAAGTTTTCATCGAAATGAAACAACCAAACGGAGGTGCGTAATTACATTAAAAACATACACATTTAAATCGTAATAAATCGCACGATTTCCCCAGATTCCTCCAAGAAACCCGCCGACAACAAACCCGCCATACCGACCCTATTCGGATCGACGTTGGAGAAAATCCGCTTGGCCGTTTTGGCGATCGTTTGCGGCCCGGACGTCGACGACGGGTTCCCGATAGCCGTGAGGATCGTCGAGGATTTCGCCATCAAGCCGATCAAGGTGTTCTGCGAGGCCGGCAAGCAGCTGGCCAGAGAGGAACGGTACAGCGGCATCGCGCAGCTGGTGAATTGCATCAAGCAAACCGGCACCAAGGACGCCTCGGTGGCGGACATGTGCGACGAGATGCTCACGCTAGCCGTCGCCACTTTTACCAAAGCGAACGTGTCGGGCACCAAAGTCGAGGATTTGATCAAGCTGATATCCGACAAAGCTACCAAGGTGAGTAGTTGTTTTGTTGTACCGTAACAAATAGTTTAGACTCGCTAAACGTTCCTTCGTGTTGGACACAGACGTAGTAAAAGGCCGCAAGAGATGCGCTCTCCGAGTGCAATTCCGAGTTGCAAAAAATGAAAAATTACGAAACAATACGTCAACTTGAATAATTTCCAAAATGGCGGACGATTTTCAATTTTAAATCGCGATTGCGAGCTGGAACGAATTTAGCCGGGGAAAGACGGTTATTTTTGGGCATCTTTTCGTCGGCCAAATTCGTTTCGGCTCGCAATAGCGATTTAAAATTGAAAATCGTCCGCCATTTTGAAAATTATCCAAGTTGACGTATTGTTTTGTCATTTTTCGTTCTTTTGTGTAGATCCGAATTGTTCCGAACTTGCACTCGGCGAACGCATCTTTTGCGGCCTTTTACTACGTCTGTGTCCAATACCGCGGTACTTTGTGCGCGTCCGTTTCCATCTAACCACGTACCTTTGCGTCCCCAAATAATTCAAAAAGAATAAAACTGCAAATGATTATGTTGTAGATATCTGCTTACATAGAGGCGAAGCAATTGAAAACTGCCTATTTTCTCGCCGTGAAATACAAGCGAATGTCCGATATAAGAAGAATCCTCCGAGAATCGGAATTGTTGAATCAACCCAGTATAAAAGCGCTTTGTCAGAAGGTTCTGCAATCGCATTCTCATACACCTACGCACGCACCCAAAGATTAGTGTGTTTATCGCAATATGATTTTAGTAAGGAGAAAAACGCGTCGACTGTTATAGAGGTAAGTTTACAAAAAGTGAATTTTAATCGTTTATAAACCAAATAGAAATATTCCAAGCTGTGACTTTGGCTGTGATGTAAGTAGCCGCATTGTAATTATGCAATTTTACTATTTAAATTTTTTATTATAATCTATATTAGCTATTTTTATAACGAACCAAATATATACTTGTATTCTTTTTATTTTTGAGTAAAAGTTAAATTTTTAATAATGCGAGTATAACTTCAGAAGGCAAAACAATATGTACAATAGAAATAAAAAAATATTTAGGCTTAAATGCGATAAAAAGTAATTCATACCACAAAAAAAACAACTGTAAAGGTAGGGCAGCCTATTTTGTTGATAAATGCATAGCTCTCGCTAAATATTCCACATTCTTAGAAGTAACTCCTGCCATTGAAATACGCCCATCCTTGGTCAAATACACGCTGTGTTCCTTGATTAGTTTCTCAACCTACCAGAAACAACCAATAACCAAATGCATCCACTATTTTTACAAATAACTCACCTGATCAGGCTTCATTCCAGTAAAACAGAACATTCCAATTTGATTGGTAATATGCTCCCAGTTTCGAGTAGAACCTTCCTTCTTCAGATTCTCACGCAACTTTGTACGCACAGAAATAATTCTATCAGCCATTCCTTTAACTTCCGGCAACCTAAAACACAAAATAATATTTCTACACACTGCAATCGTTCCTAAGTAAATCGAGTTTTAAAACAAATAAATCATAAACATTTACAACAATAGATAAGCACTACTTTAGAGGTATTTATAATCGCAATAGAAAAAATATTTACCATTGGTTCCTCAGGCTGGGATCGCTGAGAATTTCGGCGACGATTCTAGCACCGTTAATAGGCGGATTGGAGTACATCGGTCGGATGAGAATTTTAATTTGGGACATCACCTTGTCGGCTTCTTCCTTCGTGTTGCCGATGACGGTGAAGGCGCCGGCCCTTTCGCCGTACAAGCCCATGTTTTTGGCGAAACTTTGGGCTAAAGCCACTCGATGGCCTTGGTCGACGAAGTACCGAAGCTGCAAAATAATCTCACTCATTTCCCAGAAATATAATGGCGATTTATTATCTGATTTTTACTTACAGCGAAAGCATCGTTGTCTACGTTGCCGGTAGCGAAACCCTGGTAAGCCATGTCGAAGAAGACATACAAATTCCTTTTTTTAATTACTTCTGATAGTTCTTTCCATTGCTCTTTAGTCGGGTCGACTCCAGTCGGGTTGTGAGCGCAAGCGTGTAAAAGAATGATAGACTTTTCTGGGATTTTCTGTAAATAAGTAATTTGTCGAGTTATTCAGTGATTATGTAATAACATTTTACTCACGGAAATATCATCCAAAGCACCTTGAAAGTCTAATCCACAAGTTTCGGGATTGTAATACTTGTACATTTTAACGTCTAAACCGGAGTGTTTGAAAATAGGGATGTGATTGCCCCATGTTGGAGTTGGCAAGTAGACGGTTTTGTTGCCAGGGAAGAATCCGTTCAAAAAGGCTCCTCCAATTCTCAACGAACCTGTTCCAGAAATACCTTGTACAGTGGCGTTGAGACCTTCTTTTATTACCGACGAGTTTTCTCCAAGGGCTAGTTCGATGCTCCTCTTGCAGAATTCGGCAACACCGGAAATAGGAGCGTATTCTTTGTCTAAACCTTTGCTTTTTACTTGCTCTTCGGCGGCTTTAACAGATGGAAGAACGTAGGGTTTGCCGTTGTCGTCTCGGTAGGCACCTACACCTAAGTTAATCTTGTTTGGATTCTGGTCCCTCTTGAACGCCTCTGTTACTCCTAATATGGCGTCAGGGGGTCCCATTTGTACTCCAGACCACCAGGAGCTGAGAATATTTACAACGGTTATAACTCTATCTAACAGTATTTTCATAGGTTTAACTTACCTAGCTCTTTGAGCGACACAATTGAGTGCATTCTTGTTTTGCAAAATAGCTGTAGTTTGTTTCAGAGACATGTTGGTAGCTTTGTTCACGATAATCTTAAAGTTTTGTTGATAAAATTAGACAAATATGCTAGCAAACTTTCGTAATTTTGACTGCTTACGCACAATACGTGACGAAATTTCAAACCCGGGAGCCTAAACTGATATCACTTCACAAATCACGAAATCACATACCGGTTAATTTTTTAAAGGGCAAATAGGTCAAGTCAATCATTTTATCTTACGTCAATGTCACACGTGACTTTTATTGTCATTGTCACGTGTTTCTTCTTTTTTTCCAATTACACTTCTATATAAGAAGTCAACAGCCACACTTCTTCTTTCTTTTTTAGTTGAACTAATAAATGAAATTTATGACACATCAACTGTCAACTAGTAATGCTTGTAAATAAATTTTTTTGATTTGAATAAATTTACCTATTTTTATATAAAATTCATTTGTTTTAGGAAAATTTTGGAATTTTAAAGCCAACTATGAAGGCAAGTAAAACCGAAAACACGTTTTAAGGTATTTCTGTTGAAGAAATACAACAAAGTCTACTCCACTACAACACACAAGTAAATGAAATCATTTTCTCCTACATTTACAAGAAATTTTTGTGGAATTATGGATGCAAGATGCCGTTTATGTGCAGAATGTTCCACCAATCAAATAGCTATATTGCACGATAATGGATTTTGCTTGAAAATTTTCCAACTGTTTCAAATAAAAGTTTCCGCAAACGATAATCTACCAACCTGTGTGTGCCGTGACTGTTATGAAATGGTGGAAAAAACTTGGAATTTTAATGATAGAATACAAAAGGCTCAAGATATCCTCGCAGAACTGATTAATGGTATTCAAGAAACTTTACCCGAAATTCCTGAATTGGAAGAATCCAATAATCATGCAAACTCAACCAGTATCGTAGATTTAGATTACATGCCCCAAAGTAAAGACGAAAAGTGTGATTTTTTGACGAGTGAGTCATTAGAAATATTTTCTGAAATTACAGTAAAATCAGAAAATACCAATAAAACAAAGAAATCCACAAATGTTAAAAAGAAAAAACTCAAAACCACTAAAAACGATGTAAGTATGATAATAATACTAATCATTTATTCTTCAAATAATGCAACCCCGTTTTAGGAACGTAAATTGCTTAGGAAGGAATCTCAACCTGAAAATTCTCAAATAGAAGATATAGAATTTGAAATGAAACTAGACGGCAGCATAGTCCAAAAGGAGGAGGAAGGATGGAATCGATACATGTACAGCTGTACTGACTGCCACAGCATTTTCAACAATCCCGATGATATTCGAATGCATTACACAAATGTCCACAACGCCCCGACACGTTACTTATGTGCAGATTGTCCAAAATCCTATACAAAGTACAGCGTCTTTCTGACGCACGTCAGGATACACAGACCACGACTGAGACTTTGTTGCGACATGTGTTTCAAATGGTTCCCCACTGTTAGCGAACAAGAAAAACACAGAATACTACACGGTGAAACCAAACCATACGTTTGCGCCACTTGTGGCAGAAAATTCAGGATGCAATCGTCATTAATTGTAACTACTCTCAGTATACAATGAAATTGCATTTAAATATCAATGTTATTTTGTAGGTTCATTCTCGTACTCACCTACCGATCGAAATAAAAAACCAACACCAGTGCGATCAATGCCCCAAAAAATTTGGCACCAGGCCGAACCTAATGGCTCATATGAGAATACATTCTGGTATAAGAGAGTACACCTGCGATCAATGCGGCAAAAGTTTTGTACAAAAAGGTAGAATATATTTCTCGTACAAATCAACACTATTAAAAATTCTTCACTTACAGGCAATTTAGATAACCACCTATTGACTCATACGGCAGTTACCCCGTTCAATTGCTTGGTGTGCAACAAATCGTTCAAAACTTTGGTGCGTTTGCGAAAACACAGCTCCATTCATTCGGGTTTGAAGCCTCATAGATGCGAAATATGCGGCAGGCAATTTAGAGAAAGGGGCACCTTAAAAGAACACCATCGAATACATACAGGAGATATGCCGTTTACTTGCGAATTTTGCGGAAAGTGCTTTAGATTCAAAGGAGTATTGACTACCCACAGAAGACAACATACAGGTAATAAAGAATAGTTAAAAAGAAACTAGTATACTGAATGATTTGTAATTTTTGTAGGGGAGCGACCATATTCCTGCAATGAATGCCAACATCACTTCACGAACTGGCCGAATTACAATAAACACATGAAAAGAAGGCACGGTATCAATACAAGTGTTACGTGCAGGACTCGTCAGGATATTCCACCTACTGGCATGCCTCACCGGAACCCTCCCGGAACTGTTTTAGCGCCCCCACAACCAGTATTACAGGTTGCTGAAAATTATACAGAACCTACCCCGACTTTTTATCCAGTTTTAAATTTATATACTATTCCTGAAGAACTTGTCAAGTTTAACTTGTGAAAATCACGTTATATGATTTGTTTATTTATACCACAGAATATACTTTTTATATACATAATTATTAAATAATTATGAAATGATGGTCTAAAATTTCTCACACGGCTGTCTAGGTCCTGGTTGATATTATAATTTTTTATAATACTAATTAAAAATAAAACTTGTACTAAAAAATTGTAAGTAGATCTGACAAATTGCTTAGATAATATAAGTTGAAATGATGAACTCTACAAATAGATAAAAATTATTTATTTTTTCCCAATACTACATCGACCTGACTTTGGTGAAAATCTATTTCGTTGAGCAAAAAATCGGCCAGGACGTCTGGTTTCGGATCAACTTTTAAAAACTCACCGACTAAATCCCGGGGATGCTTTCCACCGCCATGGCTGAGGCATTCCTCCCTGTACTTCTGACCATTTTCTCTGCTAAAGGGGTCACGTTCAAAATATTGCTTCCAAATGGAATAGGCCAACGCTCGAGACACTAAATACGAATAGTATTTAGCTCCGTATCCCACAAGATGACTGAATCTCAGTTGCCAAGCCGTATTCGGTACATACGGCAAACAGTAAAAGTCTTTTTGTGTATTAGCAAGCACCTCTGTAGTCGTTCCACTAAGAGGATGCATCCCATGATATTTCTGATCAATAACAGCGTAAAATATCTGTAATTGAGTTTCGCTGGCCGTAAACAATCTTTTCGAAGCACACAACCTGCAAAAATTAATCCATTTAAATCTAGCACCATTTTATTACCAACCAAAATCGCACCTGTGCAACATATCCTCAGACATGGGCTGTTGAGTCTGAAAATGCCTGGCGAATTTCTTAAGCACCCTACGATCCGAAGCGAAGTACTCCATCAGTATCGACGGTACCTCGGCGAAATCCGTGCTGCATCTAGTACCGCTCACGTGTTGGTACTTCGTTCGGGCCAGCATGGAATGCATGGCATGCCCCATTTCGTGAAACAGATTATCCACCATACTCGGACTCAATAGAGAGGGACTCGACCAGCGAGGAGTCGGCAGGTTCAGCATGAGCACTACAATCGGCTGTTGGTAGGTACCATTCGATAAGTACCGTCCACCTCTAATCGTGAAGTGGCAATCTTGATTCGGTTTTTCGGAGCGCTCGTAGAAATCACAGTATATGTGGCCGAGGAGGCCTTCAGATTCATGTATCACTGAGAGTTTATAAACGTCTGGAGACCAAGTTTCACCTGAAAATTAATAAATGTAATATATATGCATCAATATTGTTGATTTTTTTTTGGGTTTACCAGCAGAAATATCTGAATTAATCAACTGTACTCCATACAACGCATTAAACACTGTGCTAAGGCCATCCATGCAAGCTCCTAGCGAGAAATAAGGCGAATACTCTTTAGTAGAGACCCTAAACCAATCTTTTTTCGCTTTATGAGTGAAGTAAGGGACGTCCCAAGGCATAACTGGACCATTGCTTTTATTCTCCGATGCTTTCATTTTGTTCATGCATTCGAAGTCTTTGTTCGATTTATCCCAAATGTCTCGAGATAATTTCGTAAGAAATGTCATAACTTGTTCTGGGTATTTGCAAATTGAGCCCTTCAAAGCCCGATGGCTGAATGTCGAGAAGCCGCATAACTTCGCCAACTCGTATCTGCTCGATAGCATTTTGTTAAGGATGTACTCCTGCTGGGGATCCGGATGTAGAAATATCTTGTAAGCCATTTCTCTTGCGATGGGATCGACCGAATCAGTGTAAAGTCCCGATACTAAAATTTATAAGTGATTAATCAAGTAACATTTATACAATAAGAATATTTATTACCCACGATAGTATCTCCGTCGCTATTTAAAATATTTCTCACGTTTGTAGGTAAATTATATTTATTAATCAGTCTGGGCGTCGAGGAATTCGCTACAAATTGTTGTCCTAAGCTAAGAATCTCGTCAGTTAGAGCCACTACTCTATTCCTGTCGTCTTTGGGTAAGTGAATGCCGCATTGCTCGAAGTCGAAAAGGAACAATTCCCCGACGTGTTTTTCTGTCTTGGTGTGTCCCTCGTTTTGTAAACTGGTCACGGCATTTTTGAGCGCCGTGTACAGAGATAAATTAGTGTTGAGTTTTTCTACTACGCCGCTCACAGCGCAACAGGCCGCCTCCGCTGCTCGCCTGTAATTCTGATCGGGATGGGCAAGCCTGATGAATTCCGCTAAATCTGCGACTTGACACAACGAATCGGACATGTTATCGAATATCTCCACCATTCTGTCGCCGTTCTCATTGCTCAGAGCCTCGCTTATGAGGCTATTCGTGTTATCAATACATTTGTTTTCTATAACGTTAAATCCTTCGGCGGATGTTAGGTCGGGAACGCCAAATAGGCCTACGTTTTCTCGACGATAGTTCAATTTATGCAAAGGTCTGGAATTGAAGGCTTCTGCGAGTCGAGACCATATAGATAGGCCGGATTTGCGTAAACAATCCGCATTTCTTACAGTTCTTAAAAACTGTTTTCGACATACCGGTAAATACATTTCACATGTTTTAAATCATTTAAAATTTTACTACATTTAAGTGAACATAACACAATATAACCTAAATTTAAAAATATAAATAACCTAAAAAAGAAGAGTGTTATTTTTGGTTGCAATATCCAAATAACCTCTTTTACAAAGGACAACGAAATTGGCTGAATACCACAAACAATACAGACCTCTCACGAATAAAAGTGACACGTGACAGATGAGATCGCGGGATAATCTTTGTTTTGTATTTTCTTTTAGGTTGTAAAATAAACTCTTAAAAAGATGGATTTGGATGATACAAATCTAGAGGATTTAAATGATTCAAACGATTCCGAAGATTACGTACACATAACTCCAGCAGAAGTACTGGAGCTAATGGAAGAAACGTGGGTAAACGAAAAATTCGCTCCGGAGATTCTACCAAACAAAACCGAAGTAGTCGATATAATACTGGAACAAATAAAATCGATGGAAGTGAATATTAAAAATCTCAGTAACGACGACTTTACAAAAAACATTTATCAGCTTGAAGTAGACAAACTCAGATTTATGGTAACCAGTTATTTGAGAACTCGATTAGAAAAAATCGAATCGTACGTTGTACACATACTAAAGGAAGAAGAGAAGAGAGTGGAGAAAGGGGAAAGCAAATATTTAAGCGAGCAGGAATACAAGTTTGCACAAGATTACTCACGATGTAAGTTGTAAGCATAAATTACAAACCAAAATATAACTTTCGTTTAATTTTTTTAGCGATGGATAGGTACTTCAATAAAATTATGAACTTCTGTCCCAACTTAACTTCGGATACTTGGTCTAGTAAAGTTATCGAACCTAATAATAATAGTTTTGTATTCATGAAGTCCAAAAAAACTATTGAAGGACTGCCGATAGATATTACCAATGCTGATAGTGATTTAGTTGATATTAAGAGTGGTTCTCGAGTGATTATTTGTTATAGTAGTATAGAAGAATTAGTGAAAAATGGAGATGTTAATTTAATATAGACTTAAACACGATCTACGTACTTCATAGCAAATCAAAATTCTACAATTAATAGTTGCTGGTATTTTATTATTGAAGGTTTGAAAATAATTAGCAAATTCAATATATAAATGCGGTTATTTTATGGCTTTTTATTTCCTCACTCCTGACCACTGTCATCATTGGCGATCAGAAGCACTGTACAAAAAGTTGTATAATAAATACTACTTTTTGTTTCTGCGATACAAATGAATATTACAACTAATCACACATCACTTTTAATCTAAGTATTTTGTTGCTTAATATTATCTAAACGTCTTTCTAACAATTATCTTTACCACATGTGAGTCTCCCGAATCTCGCTGATGATGTGAGAAGCCCTTTGCAGTGCCTAAACAAATCGTTAAATTTATGAAACACCATAATATCTAGACACCCAGGAAATATATTGTATAATTTAGATGACTTACCTTTAACATGTCGCCTGCTTCGCGACGTCTCTGTGCAATATGCTCAGATTCATCGAGTAATTGATCAGCGTTATCCGCCTTGTACAAGTGCGTAACAAGCTCAGATTGCAAATTATCCTTCACGAAATTCACTAGGAAATGCATAACGGCTTTGGGTACAGTGTCCTGGATGGATTTCCTCACGATGTAGAAGTACGATTTTATCAAACGCTCTAAAATAAAATTTACATAAATATCCCCTATAAATTTAGCATAATATTGTGCATACCGATTATTTCACAATCGTGCTCCTCGTTTTCCGACAATTTCCTAAAACTGCTACTGTTCACGGGCACCTGCGGTAAAAGATTAACCGGTTTTTGCGGACTGAGAATGTTCCTTACGTCCCCTTCGATTTTAACAATATCAGTCATATTTACGTGATTTACATCGTTCTCCTTGCCGTTGGTACTTTGAATGGACCAAGGCGATGATCCGTCTTCATTGTTCAATTGGGGATTGCTGGAAGAGCGCGACTAAACAGGAAAAATTAAGGATTTTATATGTATTTCTCCAAGGCAAAACAGTAAACGTGTGATTAATGATTGCTAACAAAAAGTATTAGGTATGAAGCGGAACAATTTTGTTGTGTTGAGATACCGAGCGACTATTTACTATTTCAAACATCCATGGAGGAAAGGGCGATTTGTGATAATAAAATGAATTCCACATTAGTAGCGATTATGATAATTAACACTATTAGTAATGTTAATGGAACTGTTAAAACGAATAAAGTACCTGAACAAGTGATATAAATTCATTATAGCTAGTCATTGGTAAAATTCTGTTGAGATATTTTATAAAATCCCCTTGCTCCTCCATGGTGAAAGAAGATTGCACCTATTGAGCAGAAAATATTCGGCTAAATCAAAAAAATACGCTCAAGCTAAGTTAAAAAATAAATAAAATAAAAAAAAAATCTACGATACGCTACCTTACTTACCAGTTCTTGCGACTCCTGTTGGTATTTCCCGTGCAAACTCTTAGGACGGATCGCCGTAGGTCTGGTGCTACTTTCGCCGGATTTAATGACCGTCGGCACCATTTGAATGTCTTTATAAAAATCCGGATGCTTGGTATTGATGTAAGCCAATTCGATAGCCACAAGATTCTCGACCATCGTGTTAGTTGTCGGTAAACGACGGCGTAGTAATTGGGTAACGACATCGACGATTTTTTCGTAGAGTTTCGGAAAACGGAGCATTTCTTGTTGAACTTCGTTGCCGCAATGCTGTTACAATAATTATTTAAACTGTGTTAAACGAATAATAAAAAGCTTACCTGAATAATTCTTTGCATTTCTTCGTGAATTAACTCCACACAACGCAGCGATGGCTCTTCCAGTCTTCTAATTTGTCTTTTAACCAACAGCTCGAATGATACTTCTGGCACAAACAGAGCCGGGCGGGGACCGTTTGCATTTCTATTACAAAAAAAGTTTAGTTATTAACCAACTAGTATTAATTATCTAGACATTACCTTATGGCAGTCAAAATATCCATCTTAGTTAGCCCTGCTAACGGATGAATAGAATCGAGGGTTCTGCCGAAAGTTTCGTGAAAAATGTAGCATATTCTAGCACCGCCGCATAACTCTGTGGTTTCGATGTTCCTAGCAGTACCTTCGATGGTTGAACAATAAGCAGAAGCGAATTTCGTGATAATTTGCAACAAGGTTTTGCTTTTATCGGAAATATCTTCGCCGTAAGAACTCAAAAGCGAATGATATTGTGACATCATTAAATTCACGCGAGTCTACAAAAGTAACAATATTAGATCGAATAAATTTGAGTAAATTAACTTACTTTTAAATCCGGTAAGCAATCTCTGATGTGGTGCATCAATAACCTATTCAGCGTCTTCGCCAAATAGGGAGTTCCGTTACGAGCGGCTAAAGTAGGATATTTGCTTTGTAGGAACGTCGCCTCGTCCTTTAAGGAATCCTTGATGGTTTTGTTATTCAAAATATCCTGTTGAGATCGATTAACGACGCCGATTATACCCAATTTTACGGGTATTACTCTTCCGCATAAAATGTCAATGGCGTCAGTGCCTGAAAAAAGTAACATGTAAATAAACAAACATTGTTGCCACAATTTCGAAAAATTATTGATATGGGAAGAAATGAGTTTTACCAGCGTCCATCAAATCTAATTTGGTAACTACAGCGAGAGTTCTTCTACCATCGGGATCGACATCTTTGGCAATGGCTAAACTTTCGGAGGTCGCCATATCAGTATTAGCCGTGACAACAGCCAAGATAATTGAATTCGGATTAGAGGTGTACTTCAAAACCAATTCTCTAATTTGATGCTCTATATCCGGAGGTTGGTCTCCGACGGGGACCTACAATCGATTCATATACCCATTTATTGAAATTTACAGTACTATCTATATACCTTTGTTATTCCAGGCAAATCTACCAAAGTTAAATTGACTACTTTTGTGGAGTATATTTTCAAGTTGATAGGTTCTGCACAAATGCCTTTGTTACTACCGGCCATTCGGTTGGTTTCATTCTCGATTTCACCTCTAATTTCTTCGAAATTCCTGTATATTTTATCTTTTTGATGGAGAAAAATTCCCCAATCTTCAGCTTCGATAGTCCCTAGAAAAAACAAAGATAAGTTTATTCATTGATTCCAATAAAAACTAATAAATTAACAGCATTCTCTAGAACAATGCAAGATAAAGAGGTAATTAAAATGTTTGAACAATGAATTATTAAATTATTTTTACGTACCATCAATTGCATTTCTGTGTTCTCTATCTTCTTTGGGGCAATATACTAGCTGAAGAATCAGCGGTCTTCGTGTCACGATTCCTGTTCCTCTTGGTAGAAACGATTTGCCTACCAAGCTTTCGATTACCGAGCTCTTCCCAGAACTCTAAAAATCGATTAGATTAATAAAAATAGACTTGAAAAAAGATTAATATCTAATTACCTGAGACCCTAAAACTACGATTTGAGGTAAATGAATGGCATCGGATCCAACAGTATTGAAAACGTCTTGCAATTTATTTATAACTGGTATAAGGGCTTCCATGATTTTACAATTTCAAGAAAAATCGATTTCCACGATAACCACCTTCACTAAACGCTAATTAAGCAACGATTTACAATTTCATTACGTAAAATTCGAAAGGTTTTATTTTAGTTTCACCGCAATGAAATATTTTCCGATTCCAGTAATATTGAAGCGAATAGTGAAGGAAATTCAGGTTGATGTTTAAAATTGACAATCGACAAATGTCAGTGACGTAATATATGCGTTCGTTTCACTTGCACTACCTAATCAATACACGTTCTGTTGTTCAAAATTGAAACTTTTTATGTTGGTACTGTTGTCAAAAAAATTGAGTTTAAAAAAAAAAGAAGATACTATTTGATTTTAAAATTTTAAAATGGTTGAAATTTTTTTAATTAAACTAATTCTTTTGTTTCCCGTACATAGAGATAAATGTTTGGTAACATTAAATTAAATGATTAATCAAAACGCTATTTTATTCATTGAAAACACAATTTCTTTTATTGTTGGCTAATTGTTGGCGAAGAATATGATTTACTTACATCGTTATCGATCGCATTGTTGGGTAAGTTGTGCTCGGAACAAAATTGTTCCACACAACTGGCTTGACTGGACCCTTCGTTTACGGTAGACAAAGTATGCTACAACAAATTAATTTCGTTAAACTTCAAGCGACTACCAGACGCTCGGCAGTTGCGGTACTGAAAACGAATTAAAACGATCTACCGGCGGTTTGTTTAATTTTTTACAAGTTTTCAACAAATCCAATTTAGGCTTCTTGCCGCGAAGCAGCCGCGTCAAAGAGGACGTAGACATGTTCTCCGCCATGGCGGGCAAATGCTCCAGGGACTCCTCATTTCTCAGGTCCGGGAACAGTATTAACAATGGCGGCGTTCCCGTCGACGATTCCAAGTCTATTATTTTTATTTCGCATTCGTCTTCGAACGAACCTTCAAATGAAACCACACAGGGAGGAATAGGAGAAATGAAGAAGGGGTCAATAAAGTTATAAGTTACCGCATGCTGAATTATTTTCGTTTTCCTGAGAATTAAATGCTATTCCGCTCCATTTCGAATCTTGTGCCAAAAGCGGCAAGAATTCCTCGTCGTAGTTTCTTTTCGTGGACTCTGGCACAGCATTCTGAAATCAAGAGACTTTCAATTTACACCAATAGATGTTTGATAAATTTTCAACTTCCAAGTTTATCTTCCACTCCAATTTCTTCGCCTATGAAACTTGTATACCTACCTTTCTAACTCTGATTTTTTTCCTTACTTGCGTTTCGGTTTTTTGAGTTGATTCCATTGGATTTTTTGTGTATTTTTTTTCTTAATTTTCTGCCATAGTTTCAGGTAGCCTAATCAGGAATTTTGCATAACGTGCATCATGAATAACAATTAAAATGATGGTGACACGAAGAATATGTCAGACAAACGTTAGTCAGACTCAATTATGTACTCTTCACATAATACAAAATTTTCTACATTATCACTCTATAACGAAGCGTACCTAATACATGCTCAAATATAACGATTTGGAGCTCATAGAGTGGCTTCGATTGAAGGACGTAAAGTCGGGTATTGGGGTATATAGAACAAAGCGCGTTCGAATCCTGCGGAGGTATTCAGCAGGATTCGGACAAGCCGGTTGCGGATCGGGGCCGATTTTTTCCCACCCGAGCCGCCGAAAAAAGGTGGATGTAGATAGAGCGCCGTACGCAAAATCAACCGTCACTATAACCCGCCGGTGACGTAACGAAGCGCCGCTGCCGACCCGACGGGCCAGCACGACGTCGGCGCCGGGACGTCAGTGCAGTGCCAGTAACTGTGAGCGCAACAGCGTAGCGCATCCGACGGGCTACGCTGCTCTGATAAGTCCCCAAAAAAACTAGAGGATTTTTAACAATGTTACTGTAGATGAAACGGTTTTGCTGTTTTGGACATTTCCACGCGATTAGCCTGCGTTATTGATTGAATTTTGTAATTTTGCTCCAATTGGATGTTGGATGGTAAGGAAATGTAGTTTTGTTTGCTAAAGCATGCGTTATTAATTTTTTTAAAGCCATTACTACCAATTTCGATCACTTACCTGGATATTGGCGTTCATTACAATTCAATTACCTACTTACATTTTATACCTATAGACGAATATAAATATTTATTACCCCTAAAATCAACGTTCGTTGTATTCAGATATACAAAATATGTCGATAAAACGAATTAACCAATATCCATTTAAGACACAAAATTTTCCAAAGCAAACTACGTTTCGAAAAAAAAATAATACATTTTCAACTCGTTTTATCACTCGTTACAATCGAAATTTTCGCCCCCGACAATTTGGCCAATTTCTATTCGAAATTCTCTCAAATCAAACGCGAGCACCCTCGAGAGAATCAAGTGCTGCGAATGCTCGAAATAAAACGGAATCGCTGCGAAAATCAAATCCGAATAATTCGATTAGTTTTAAAAAAAATGCGAGAGAGAAAGAGAATCGATAATTCCGAATGGGCCGGACGTAAAAAAAAACTCGAAATTATCGCTGATTAACTCTCAGAAAATTCGTCGAAACGACGCCGAACGGACGCTGAAAATTTTCATTCGGTTAAACCGACCGGAACGGCACAAATCGCGTTTAATTTTCATTAGAACGAGTCCCGCCGAATGCGTATATATACAGGACGATTGAATTAAATCCGGTACGAATACACGAAGAGACTAAGCGAATTAGAACCCGTCCAGGTGGCGCTGTTAAAATTATAATGCATAACATGTTTATTTAAAGCTTTTATACGAAAGCGAGTGTGACCTACAAGTCGTTAGAATCGTATTTTGCTAATTCGTTTCGACCGTCCCCCTTTCGCCCTCTCCTCCGCCGCCTTCGTCGGCCATTATCCGGTTATAAAAGCTTGTAAAGGGCCCCCGAAATACGCGTCGCCCCGAAACTTCCCAAATTGAAATTTCTAGCTGACAATAAAAGGGAAAATATTCTCCGGAGCAGGAAATTTTCGACTCACATATATATACGCGCGGCCCCGAACCCAGCGAGACACAAGGACCGTGCATAATTCATTTCTGAAATGAATATTTGAACAGGTAGAGGCCCGGAATAGTTATTCCATTGATTTACTTCCTAATTCGCTCATAGAGGATTATTCTTGCCTAAACCTTCTATACTGGCGATTCTGGACTGTTTTGCCCTAAATGTATATCTACCGTTAACGCAAATATCCTCGTTATGCTGTTTTGTTATTGATATCCTAGCTAGAAGTTCTCCTACTTCGAAGCTTGTTAGTAGAATTTATCTCTGTCTCTTGTAAAATTACACCAACATTTTCCTCTTTCTGGATCATTTTCCTGTACCGAACCGGGTTCGATGAAACTCCAAAACATGCAGAATCATTTCGGAATCCGTTTGTTTTCGTTCCGTAAAAAGAACCGTGGGAGTTTAGTCGTCGTCGTGGGCAGAGGAGCAAAAAAAACAAGACACACGGTTGGTACAAAAAATTCGCGACTTCGGCGCGAGTAAATCGTGAATTATTCAAACGAAAACCCATCACAACTTAGAGGAAAAGGTGGATAGAACGGTGCCGCCGTCGCTCACAATTAGCGCACGCTCGACCGGAGCATCCCCCCGGTTTCCCGTTCCGTTTAACGGTTATATAGGGGCTCGCTGCACAAGTGCATCTTCCGTATTTATAGGGCACTTAACGCGTTTAATTATTATGTCGCGATAGGCTTGTCCAATTAACTAAGCTACCAGATGCTTGTACGGGGTGCGAACTGAACCAACAAGAGGTAAAGTTTGATTTAATGAAAAATATACAGGGTGTTTTGTATAAGTAGCAGATGAGTTGTACACCAGAGGAGTTAGAGGCCATCGAATTAGTTTAATAAGGTATATAAATTGAAGTATACTCTCCTTACACCGTAATAAAAGGATAACAATAAATTTAATTATCAAACGAAAAACACATAAAATTTTCTTTAACGCTAAGTTAATAATACTCCAATTTGTCAAGTCGCCATTTTTCTTCCTTATTCTCTCCAGTGTTACCACTTCTCGCTAATTCCCCAACGTCACAAATGTCGTAGATTCACGCGGTAAATTCAAACGTACTTATAATTAACAACAAAAGGGACATCCTGTGTGTAGTATCGGTTATCTGGTTTAGTGTGTATTTTTTCGGGTGCATTCATTAATCGCGAACGGGAATTAGTCGGGGTTGAAGTTTGATTTAACGGGCGAGTGATCGGTTAAACTAATTTATGATGGAAAGCGATTTCGACACAGCGTCCGAGCTGTCGATAACGCACCAAAGCGCAACAATCCCGAGCACCGGAACTAAAATGTCGGTGTACATAATGCAGATCTCTGGTGCTCGGCTCTTGCCAAATATGCAGCCGAGTGACCCTGTGAACTTTGATCTTTACACTATATTTTCACTAATGCGGTTAAAAGTGCCCGTTTTCCGCGTTTTCCGGCGCGCCGCTCCGGCGGTACAAACTCCTTTGCAATCATCACCGTTACGTGTGCTCCGTATGTACATTAGGCCGGAAAAACGCCGGAGGATTTTCCGCGATTTTCGTTCGAATCGATATCGATGATGGCAGAACGGGAAAACTCGTCGGTTCGGAAATCATCCGGCGTTAATAAAATATGAGAAATTGCGTCTTTTCTTTAAACGGCGCGCGTTAAATTTCGGGGAAGTGCTAAAGCGACAAAGTCGAGTGTGTACGCTCGAATAAGAAAGACCACCTCACCTTATCGATCCGTCCAAATTCACACAAAGTAATCGGAGCTATACAATGTTTTTTTTTCGCCTTATCTTTTTTTTTGTCCGCGTTTTATCTAGCATTTTATAACGAACGTGCGGGAAGAGGCGTCGAGCGAAGCCGATGGAAAGGAAGGGGCGCTCTTTAATGCCTTATCGGGAATCTCACCTTCTATTATACATATTAAATACCTGTATATTTGGTGGAAAATCTTTACGGACCGTGCTGGAAGAGCATTTTTTTTTATTAAGAAAAATCGATTATTACTTTTTTATTTAGTTATTGCATTAATGGACTAATGCAATGAGAATGACGAGCCGAAATCCGATGAATTCGCGGTAATTTCCCTTTAGATTTCTGTCGGTCTTCGTGGAAAACTCGAGTTTCAATTTCCATCCAGTTTCCCGTTAAATTTAAATAACGATATTTCTAGAATTCACCTATCGTATTACAAATATTGATGAGAAGGGTTCATGTTTCGAATTACGTTCGCGCATCGACGTTTATTCAGAACGTTCGAACATTGTAAATTAAAATTATATTGATGGAAATTGCCGGGGCATATCCGGTGTCTAATTTCGTTTTTAATTGGTTTTCTTTCTATATAGTCGAAAATAGACCGAGTTGGTAGAAATGTTTTTAAATGACAAGTGACACGCAGTCATACCAACTACTTACACGAAACGCTCGGTTTGTAGAAGTTTTGATGGGAGCACTATAAGTTTTACAAAGGACGTGCATACAAAGTCGGTATTCCCCGACGATTAAATAGCTCAAAATAGCATACCGACATAGTTTCTTTGGTTTACAAGGTTTATTAAAACCCGGAAATGCAAAATGCAAATGAGCATCTTTACAGCTAAAAGCCATTAAATATGCATTGTTATCGTATAATACGAATATACGCCATATTCCAGCAACTGCAATGCCAACATCGTTCGATTGGATATTAAACCGAAATACTACTTTAATTACGTTGGCAGCACTTTATTACCGGCAATAAACCTTATAATAGTCTTCCATTTTTTAGCACGAAGAGCAAGTAGGTTGGCGGCGCAGCGTTTGTTTATTGATTACCTACTTCACTTTATCTACTGCATCTAATTAACTTAATGACTCTATTGTTACTTCGGCTATTCGTCTCGAACTTGTTATATACATAAATTTGTTGCAGAATCGATGACGCGAATTCGCCCCGAATTCCTGCGACACCTGCAACGCGAACTCGTTACCATTTCGATTGCATTAATTAGGTAAACATTCGCGATTTAATTAACGCCGTATAAACTCGCATATAATTGGGAACGTTTTCCTTTATGTTCCACCCGTCGTCACAGGAACCTCTGACGCTTATCTTCCCGTAAAAGCGGGCATTGTTTTCAATAAGATTTCCCAGGCATCGTGCTATTGACGTATCCAATCAAATGTGATATGCGATTTCGGCGACGCCGCGGGGTTACAGGATAAAGTCGCGCGTGCATGTATACAGGATGTATTCTCTTATCTGTAGGATATTGCTCAACTCGTTAGATATAAATTAAAAATTGTGCTCTTTTTGTACGATGGCGATTCGTGTGGATAAGAGACGGAATACACTGTTTGGGAATCGTTTCCGGATTGGGAGATCTGGAAAATCGGATTGGCCGGATCGGGATGAGAGCGCGATGATGCGACTCACTGAGGTATCGAAATTGAATCTCTTTTGTGGTTGTGACAGGACTGCTTCGAGCAAGAGAATTCCCATTTCCTACGCCCGGTTTTTCTGTCGTATCTAACGAATTTTATCATAACCGTTCACGAGAAGTATTTCCTTGTTTTTAACTGACTTTTTGGGTGCATGCACGGGGAAATTCGTTTCTATGTACCCCGCGAAACGTATCGTTTTTTTTAATAGAAAATATTCTCGTAGCTAATTCGGATTTGAAAGGTTTCCTGTGTAAATACGAGGAAAAATTCAACATCTTCTCTGGAAATATTAGACGGTGTTTTCCGTTTAAACGCCGTCGGCCCATCACTATTAAAAAATCGATACCGCAGGATTTGGGTCAATTACCCACAAAAACAAACCATCTTCGACGTTCCCATAAAAAAGGAGGGATAGTGGAAATTTTCTGCGTCTAATATTTCACGTTTACCGACTTTCTTTATGCCGCCTTGCCGAATTTTCGCCCTCCACTTTCCCACAAACATTTCAAAAAAAATCTTGCGATTTCAACAAGGAGTTCATACTTCACAGTCTATTTTTAAAGAGCAGATTCGAGCTTTATAATCCAGCTGACGTACTACAGAAAAATCAAATAAAAAGCCACTAATACGTCTGGAAATATAATTCAATAACGCTGTAAAATCGTTTTCAGGGACAACTGGAAAGCAGCCGGTGAAACGTGAGGCCATTAATTTCGGAATCCATTCGGTAAGTCGGCCTGAATATTAATTTGTTTGCGGATGTATCCGATACGGCGGTTTCGAATCGATTTTTTTTCCTCTCTTTTACGCCGCTTCGTCGTCACTGGATATATAAACAAAATTTCTTCGTTTGTTGTCGGCGTAAATAAAGCCTCTCGGAAAGGAGCAGAGAGAGAGCCATTCGATCCCGACGCCATTATATTGAAACGTTAAAACCCGCCAGGCGTAATCCCTCACCGGGGCTAAAACGCTTATAGTACATCGGGCTTAACTTCCAAGAGAATAGCAGCCCTCAAAATTGTCATCCTATTGATAATTTACCAGGTATCGCTTTACCTTCTGGAACAAAAGCGCGCTGTTGCCGGGTTTCCCATCTAACCGTTTAAAAATTAACGCTAATATAACAACAGGTAGAGAAAAAAACACATCTAAAGACATCTCGAATTCTGTTTAACGCCGGCGGCTTTAAAGAGCCCGTTTCTCTTTTAAAGCTCTTAAATCAAATAGCAAGAGCTAATGCGAGAAAAATGGCGCGAGTGCGGAAAAACGGCAGTTTTCCCACGAGCTCACCGGGCGAGTTACAAAGCGAATGATCAATCACGAACGCCATTCCCTTTCTACCGCACGGTTTCATCGATATCTATGCGTCTTTCATGAATTTTCCATTTAACCTAAGCATTCGTCAATTATTCAAGCGAGGTCGCTGGATAGGAATAAAAAAAAACGGCCGGCGAATTCGACTTTTCCGCGCGGCGAGAACGCGGCCCGCGCGGTTTTCCGTCAATGCCGAAAATAAATTAATAACGAGCGAACAACACTCATGTTCAGTATCGATTTCCAGTCGAGTTTATCCCGGTTCGAATCCGGGACGGTTCGCGTATCGGAATCGGATTAGGAAATGCGCTCTGATTGAGTACGCGAGACTGCGACTATGCGGGAATAATTGGCGCGTACGAGACGACGAAAACGCCAATTTTCCCGGCGAAATTGTTGTTGCGAAATTGCGCCATTGTGTGCGGCGGCATTCGGAAAGAAAAGCTCTTTTTAAATCGACTCGTTTACCTTGCTCGCTTTAATATCTAACTTGGGTCGTTTCGGCTAATTAAAAACCGGAAGGTGCACGTTGAAGTTTCATGGAGAAAATGAAATTCGGTTTCTTTTTCCACCTACACTTACGAAGAGTACCTACCTACTACAGTAAAAATTAACTGGTGTGGCAATTAACTTAAATGTCGGCGTTTCCTAGGCATATTGCACACCTCACACAGGTTGATCAAGGCTCTATAATTAATATTTTAATTAAAATCACCCATCCTATTTATCATTTTGAGCCGTAATCGCGCCCTCCCGAAATTGAGTTCCCCGTGATAAAGGATAAGGGAGCTGTCAGGTGTCCCAACTTTATATGATAAATTACTGAGTAGCATCTATTGACTTTCGCTCTATTAATTTGCATAATGCAAAAATACACGGATCGCTCAAAAAAACGATACAATAAAATCGTAATTAGTACCGCCGGGAATACCCACTTATTTACCTAATAGATAAGCCGCCCAAATAATGTCATGTAAAATATAGCAACTCGAAATCTTACAAGATTAATGAAGGCCAGGCACGTGAAGGCTTTCGATGTTCAACATTTTTATCCGTTCCATTCGACGAGTAAACGTATTAATCTATTCACATGACAGTCGGTGCATTTCGTAATCTGCGAAATCTTTGCATGAAAATGCCGTTAATCACAGGTGTCGACGTGTCACTATCAAATCCACGGCACGCAACTCCTAATTATTAAGCAAATTATGCACATATACGTTGAATGTTTACATTTATTAAATTACTTTTGATAAAAAAAAACAAATATGTAACAAGCATTTATTGTGTTGTATGAATAGGAATATGCGGAATTAGTGGATTACGATGGGGGTTTTAATTACAGTTATTAGGTCGCGGACGGTTCGAAACACGATACGCTATCGGATTTTATACGATAGTTTTTTTTTGTTTATTCCTGTACGTTCGAATTTTATTGTGAAGGGAATAAAGGCCAGTAGGAGCCTGGAAAGCGCGTCGAAAGCGGAACAATGCAAACTGGAGAGTAATGCCTGCAGGCTGTAGCTGTACAACTGCTCTAATTACGAATTCTCGCTAATTGGAGCCGAGGGAGCATAATAGTTGACCAGTCGGTCTCAGAAGGCACTCGCTCGCGTACCGTCGACGCGCATAACACAGCATATTAAATTATGAACCGGCAGTTAGATAAGAGCACAAAACCCCTTAACGAACGAAATAAAAAAAAAACCGCTCGAATTTTCACGTAGTATAACGAACACATTTTCCGATCCACCGGCTCGACGAAAACAGCCATCTAATTAGGCGCAACTCCGTCTGTTCGAAGGTGTAGACGATGAAGAAGAAAACGATGAAGCTACCGTGGACGATAGCGATCCTGTCGTGCGTGCTGATACCGCCCTGTATATCTAATTCGCACCGAGGCCGCCACCATTCGCCGGAGCCGCACGCCGAGGCCTACCACATATCCCGCGACCACTTCGACCCCCACCGGGACTCGGAGGAATTCAGGCGGGACGCCACCGACGACAAGAGAGACTTCAACAAGAAGGACTCCACCGACGACGATCCTTTGATCATCCAGACGAAAAAGGGAAAGATTCGCGGCATGACCGTCACCGCGGTCACCGGCAAGAAAGTAAGTTCAACTGCTTCATTGCTTTTATACATAGAGGTCTGTACATTCAGCGCCTTTGTTTAATATTAGAGTGACTAAAATGTAGTAAACTTTAATAATAATTTATGATGTTTTGGGTGATAGGTGGACGCCTGGATGAGCATTCCGTACGCCCAAAAACCGATCGGCAACTTGCGGTTCCGGCATCCGCGACCGATGGAGAAATGGGACGGCGTGCTGAACGCGACGGAGCAATCGAACTCTTGCGTGCAAATCATCGATACGGTATTCGGGACGTTCGAAGGCGCCAACATCTGGAACCCCAACACGCCGCTGAGCGAGGACTGTCTCTATTTGAACGTGGTGGTGCCGCGACCGCGACCGACCAACGCGGCGGTGCTGGTGTGGGTGTTCGGCGGCGGTTTCTACTCCGGCACGAACACGCTCGAATTGTACGATCACAACATCATAGTGTCCGAGGAGAACATCATACTGTGCTCGATGCAGTACCGCGTCGCCTCGCTGGGTTTCCTGTACTTCGGCACGCCGGACGTGCCCGGCAACGCCGGCATGTTCGATCAGATGATGGCGTTGCAGTGGATCAAAGACAACATCGCCGCCTTCGGTGGGAATCCTAATAATATTACGTTGTTCGGCGAATCCGCGGGGGCCGTGTCAGTTTCGTTGCATTTGCTGTCGCCGCTATCCAGAAACTTGTTCTCGCAGGCCATAATGCAGAGCGGCGGGCCGACCGCTCCGTGGGCCATGATCTCCCGAGAGGAGAGCATCTTAAGAGGATTAAGACTAGCGGAGGCGCTTTCGTGCCCGCACGATCGGTCTGATCTAAACGCGGTCATCGACTGTCTGAGAAAAGTCGATCCCGTCGAAATGGTGAACAACGAATGGGGCACGCTCGGCATATGCGAGTTCCCCTTCGTGCCCGTTGTCGACGGCTCCTTCCTCGACGAGCACCCCGTCAAGGCTCTTGCCAACAAAAACTTCAAAAAAACCAACATACTGCTCGGCTCCAACACTGAGGAAGGTAACTATTTTATCATCTACTATTTGACTGAATTGTTCCGCAACGAAGAAAACGTCTACGTCAATAGGCAGGAATTCCTGCGAGCCGTCACCGAGCTCAATCCTTACGTGAACGCCGTCGGAAGACAGGCGATCATCTTCGAGTACACCGATTGGCTCAATCCGGAGGACTCTGTCAGTAACAGAGACGCCCTCGACAAAATGGTGGGAGATTATCATTTCACGTGCGGTGTTAACGAATTGGCCCAGCGATACGCTGAAACCGGAAACAATGTTTATATGTATTACTATTCCCACAGGAGCGTCGCCAATCCTTGGCCATCTTGGACAGGTCAGTTAACATTCCAAACGACCAGCTCTCTCTTCTACGTTCTCGAATCGATATGCTGAAGGGTATATTTTTGTGTTCCTGCAGGCGTGATGCACGGCGACGAGATAAACTACATATTCGGTGAGCCGTTGAACCCCTCGAAGAGTTACACGGCCCAAGAGGTGGATCTGAGCAAGAGGATAATGCGCTATTGGGCGAACTTCGCCAAGACGGGCAACCCGAGTCTGAGCCCCAACGGGGTCTGGACGCCGACCTTCTGGCCCTTGCACACGGCCTACGGCAGGGAATATCTGACGATAGAGATCAATTCGACGACGGGCAGAGGCCCGAGGCTCAAGCAGTGCGCCTTCTGGCAGAAATACCTGCCGCAATTGCAGCAGATGACTGGTGAGTGTTCGTATCTGCTTCCTCTTACTTTTCACCGGAGTGGTTTCGGTTAGAATTTGCATGTATTTTTTTTTGTTATTTTTTTAGCTGACCTGCAGAAATCGCAGTCGAATAAGGATTGCACCAATTTAGGAATATCGATATTTAGTTCCCGGTTCCTAACTGCGTTCTTCCTGCTGTTGGTGTCGATAAAGTCGATGTGGGAACCGTTCCAATAAACTAGCAGCTTCGAATCACCGTCAGTTTTTTAGAAACCAAATACCAAAAAAAAAACGTTACAAAACTCACTTGTATGGAAACAATTCAATGGTATAGAATTCCGCTTATCGCTAAACCTAGAGTCAATATATTTGGTAGAAAACGAAAATGTCTGAAAGGGTAAACGCATCGTTGAAAAATCGTCGCCTGACGAGGTTGTATCGGCGTGAAAACGCAGATTTTTTAACAGAGAGGTGTCACGATTGGATATAGGAACAAAAATCAGCGCGATTTTGATAACCGATTTGACTTTATTTTTTTGATATTATAGGTTGGTTTGGTATAGCAGACTGTTTGCCAGTTTGACGCGTTTTTACGACGTAAAGTAGGCGGTAAAATATAACTTATTGGTTATCGGTTACTATTTGTTTCGAATTTAAAGTAAAATATGAATACAAAAAATTATGACAATCCCGTATTTTCCGTTTGGTTTAAACACAACAGCCAAAAGCCCACCAACCTGGACCCCCTAGTTCTGCTACTTATCTTTGCTGCCTTATACCCATTAAAAATAGTACGACAAATATTTATAAATCTTCGATTTTTTTTTTGAAAAGCAGTATCGTTCAGTCAAAGAAATAATTATTTTCAATAACATTTTTCCTGGACTTGTTAGTAGAAAAATTATATTTACTTTAATCTTGAGACGATAACATGTGCAGACAATTGTGTAACTTTAATAATAGAAGAAAAAGTAGATCACTTAAGTGATAAATTTAATCGATTAATAAATGTCAAGTATTTTCGTATCGGTTACACAACAGTTATAATATGTATTTTTATTGACTGAATGATTTTGCAAGAAAGTTTTAATCTAAACCTAGTGTACATAATAGTGTATAGTACTCTAGTGCCTCCGCATCTATTCTAGTTTAGCGTATTCTCAACGAATATCCCCAAAAAACTCTACTTACTTCAAATCTACACACAGAGAAATTGATACTATAGACAAGTATATAAAACTTGAAACTAATAAACGATAAGTTTGTATATCCGCAAGTTTATTGTATATTTCTCTTAAGTTTATCATTTAATTGATATATAGACTACAGACAATAATTTAATATACTTCAAGCAATAACCTTAGCTCAACTGAAGTAAATACTTTACTCGATCTATACACTTGAAATGAAGAAAAATATACTTCAATTAAGTAGTACGAATACTGCAAACAATGAAATGTAAAACTAGAATCAAATTTTATCATTCTTTATTTTAGTAATTAATATGATACATGTAAGTAAATAAAAACTTGAACTGAGTAAATTGTAAATTTTAATTGAATATATAATTTATTTACACGAAGCTTAGTAATAACTGATGTTAAGCAACTAGATATAAATAATCAATAATTTGAAACAAGTATATTTTTTCCTTTGGTCCCGTGGCTGTTAGTAAATGACCTAGCAGTTGCAACTCTTTGCAGAATTTGGAATCTGAAATGAATTACATTACATTTAATTAAAATAATTATTTTTTTAGGATAAATGAATTGATTTACCTTCTTCGAATGTCTCTATAGTTCCTCAATTTGAATAATGATATTTTCCTTGTTCTTAAACAAAGGGCGCTTTATTTCCAAAAATTTTTCCAATGTTGTAGAGGATTTACACCTCGTCCAGGAAAGAGTCGATCTAAAAATAATTATTTAAACTTTATTATGCAAAACTATAGGTACTTTGAATAAATCTTACCATAACTTATTGACCTGGTATACTTAAAAATGGGCCACTTTTCTATAAATTCGGAAGCACATTTCCAGTTTTCAATAACTTCCTCCAGCGGATCCTTTCTAAATACGATTCGTCTGTTGATTTTGATAAATCTGTAAAAAATCAATTTTGTATAGATATTTATGACATCTATCTATTAATTTAATTTAATTTCCATCCCATTTTGCATCACAAAACATGAAATATAGGCATCATTAATATGGCGCCAACATTTTGTCACGTGTCATTTTTGTCTTTAATGGTTTGTAAAATAAAAGGTTGCACTTACCTTCAAATCTAGGAATTAAATGAGGACATCCCATTTCTTCTAATATATCATTAAACTGTATCTCCATTGTCTTAATCTCCATAACTTAATACAGATAGCTACATAAATCAAATACACTAAACTATCCACACAAAAACGTACACCGCAAATACCGATGTAGTACATCTCATCCCTAATTCCTACGAACTAAACAAGTCCGTTCTTAATTTTGTTAAAACAACACAACAGACGTTATAGAAATTAGTGGGGATTGTCGGCTGGGGTATACTCTTTTCAAGTATATCATAAACTTGAGACAAAACGCTTTAATTCGAATAAGTAAATCAATAACTTAAATCAAATTCATTTGATACTTTTCATATAAGTAAATTATTTTCTTGATAAACACTTTTTGATTCATTGAACTGAGAATAACTTTAAACTTATTTTAAGAATAAAAAGAACAAGTATATTAATTTCTTCAATTAAGAAAATTTACTTCTCTCGCCCCTTTCATTACAAGTAAATTATTTAGTTGGGTGGAGTCAATATTATACTTGAAATTTTTTACCGAAGTTTCATCCAAGTATTTGTATTCTTTAACTAAATATATAATGCCAAGTATAACAAATTCTTGATATTCGCATCAGATTTCTCTGTGTGTAGAGTAAAAATTTTCAATCCTATAAGGCGCAAGGACTTCAATTAAAGCGATAATTTTTCGAATTTCGTTCGGTGCAAATTAATTTTCGAGTCTTTACGCGTCTTATGGGAGAACTAAATTTCGAAAAAGCGACTTTCTCATCACCGATTTAGTTTTAGTCTCAAGCTCGCCCCGCCGCGTTTTACTCAAACATATCCGTACAATGGTGCAAATTACAACCTTATAAATTAGGTCTTATATGTAATATTGTAAATACGTGTATTTAAATTTTACTTAGAAAGTAAATAGATCGAGCAAACCAGCTTTAATTTCGATTCAAAAAACATTTAACGCACTCGAAGTCTGAAAATCCGATCACTTGAAATTTTACCTTTTGTTTGATTCCTCTAACTTTTGTAATTGCTCATCGATATCTATTTATTAACCGTATGAAAGTTTCATAAAACAATAATGACAGTTTATTGTACAGGAAGAAAAAAACTATACTTTCTCAACTACTTTTCATGTAATTGTGGGCGTTTTCGAACTAAAGGGAAATTTTAAGTGGTCGATTTTTTCCGGTTAGTGTAATTTTCGATTTGAGACCAGGATATATTCCATTCCTTTAAGTGTAAATAAAGAAGTACTTATTGTAAATTTAACGATTAGAAATGCTATACAATATATATTTTTTCGAATTGAATTATTGCTTAGTTGTTTACAGGTATTTTCTGCAGAGTGATTCCTCTCTTCCATACTTAACAAACGTTACTTTTTACAAACGATATTTAAATATTTGCATAACACTTGTTTCCGTTATCGCAATTTTATTATTTTACCATTTTAATTACTTTATGTCTTCTTATTAAGCATATTCGAAATGACTTTATGAGAATCATTCTCCAAAAAAGCCGGAGTGAAAATAAAACATTCCAAATTAAATTTAACCGTAACAGCATCGAATTGCCCGATTGCGGCGTGGGAAGCACCTTTCAAAAAAATCCGGTGAAGTACCGGAGTGTTCCGGAGGTACCTCCCGCGCCCGTCGCGCAATCGAAAAGCTTATTGAGTACCTTAATTAGCGGTTAAGTACTTGTTAGACCTATTCTAGAGCGACAAATCTTTGAAATAAACGCACCCATTTGACCAACGTTTTCTAGTTGATAAAAATAACCGATTTTGTTTCGATTTCGAAGATGATAATGCGACATAATTGCGAATAGACGTGTAGTTTAGCGGTTGAATAAAAATTGTATAGGCGTTTGAAGGATTTTATTCACGCTTGTTACCTTATTGAATTAACGATGCGATACGTTGTAATTTTGAGGTTGGGTAATAGAAGTTCGTTTAGTTCAAAACTCTTCTGATGCGAAATTGATTTACAATAAACAGCATTTTGGTTCGTTTCGAGAATTTTGGCCGGCACGTGTAAATAAAATTTATCTAATTTTTTGGTAGCGATTTACATTTTACAAAAAAAAAGTTGTGTAAACTATATTAGAGACGATTTTGATGTTGTTAGATGGACTGCTTCTTAGAAAAAAAACAAAAATTAACTATTAAAAAAAAACATACAGTGTTGTGTATTAAATTTTCGTCTAATTCTCTTGGTTTTTGCCACTGTAATATATACAGGGTGGTGTTTCAATTTCAACTGTACTTCGCAATGTGAACGTTCGCTTAGTTAAGAATAATGAAATGTTTGATTATGCGGCACAATGTAGGTTTATGAATTTATTATCTTCCTCTGGCGATTTCCGAGCGCGAATCTAATGCGTTTCGACGCACCGTTGGGACACCCTGTATACAACCTCTCATCGTTTCGCGTTTTATAGACGAAAAATTATTGCCAATTATGAATTAGAATTAAAATATCGAACGGCTCCTACCGAGCGATATGACACTTTGTAATTCTTATGAAAATCTTTTTCTAAAAAGAAAATTAAATTGAATTTGTCAAATGCCGCGAACGCGACCCGCTGTTACATTACATAATTTAAACAGTTCAAGTAGATGATAACGATGTAGTGTCTATCGGTGTAACGGTGGTTTGGTTTGCGGTGTAATTTTCAATAAAAATAAAGGAATTGTGAAAATATTTACTGACCATATAAGCAAAAAATGTTACCGAATCCGTAAGAGGAGTCAAGTTGTTCCCCAATAAAAAAAATTGCTAACATATCATAATTATAGTTCTAGTTTATATTTATATAGAATTCGGTACATATCCTTGCTATTTATATAAGCCTAATCAGTAAAACACCTTTTATAAAGCGAATTAAAGTTACTTAGGTGTTCACTCGAACCTTTCCGGATGGCTAGTCATTCAAACGATATTCTTTTAACAGCTTATAAAGGTAATTTTAAACGTGAATTATTTTAATCACATACCTATACCTAATAACTTATTGATTTTAAATTTAAACATTATCGCGCTGTATTCGATTGAACAAATGTTATCAACAAAAAATTTCCTTATCAAATTGATTAGGTAATAGTACGAACAAATAAAATTTTAATAATTTCAATTTGAAATCGCTAATCATCGAGTCGCATTCATTGCGACAAGTCCAAATTCGTTTATAAATCGAAACGATCGAAATCGAATGAAACAATTCGAAAAATTAAAGGGATTGTATAGTGGAAAGAATATCGTTGAAAAATTAGACCTCCGTTCCCATACAGCTTCCGTCTTCATTAAAATTAAACATATTCGAATTAAATTCAATTATTAATTATTCAATTAATTCAATTATAAGGATAATTGAGAGCCTAATTAGAAACAGCGAAAACTTGTGTCCAAGATGATTTATTAAAATATATTTGGTAGGAAAATTAACTATTTATTATTTTACGAAATTGTTTACATTAGATTACGCATCATAATTAATCGTCGATTAAATTTGGTGCACATTTATTAAACGCTCTAATTGTAAGTTTAGAAAATAGGTAGCCAAATAATTTTATAGATTTTAAGTACTAGATGAACAATGTTGCACACAATCGATATTCCTTTTTATCGGTTACCTTTCGATCTCTATTTTTATTTATACAATGCGTTTTTACAAAATAATCGCCCTGTATAATGAAAATAAATGGCCTATAGTGATTCTAATGGACAACTGATTTAACTAATTTCGAATTAAGTACCATATGTTAATTTTACTATAGAATTGTTGTATTTATTATTGTTGTTATTATTTGATATTATTAATTGAATTCGAAATAAACGAACGCTTGAAAATTGAGTTTTTCATTTATTACCATCTGCCATTATTAGATTTCAATGAAAGTGTTAAAAGATAAGCACTCGTTGACACAGCTTTAAAACTAGCAATTAACTTTATGAACTTGTAAATACCAGCGATTAGGATTATAGAATTAACAATGAAAATATTTACTAGTCTATATTGTATAACCCTTTTTTACCACTCGATGTCTGATGATAATAAAAGGAAGGTTATCTCTTAATCAGATGACTACCATATAGAAATAAACATTCAAATCTTATGGAAATTCCTTATTGCGTTTCGAAACCTACTATTTCCACTTGGAAAAAATAGTTATTTATAACAGAATAAGTAATATCTGCTATAATTTTGTAAACTACATACGAGTACATGGAAAAGATAAAACGCCAAGGTTGCAATCGAAAAACTAGTTTTTCTAAAACTGTTATTATCAATGTTATTTTATTTTTGCTCTTTTCATTAACTAATTACATAATTTAATGTGAATAATAGCACATGAGAAGGACACTAGAATTTCAGATGGAACGTGGACCGACAATCACTTGAGAAAATTGCAAAATTTTGGCAATTCTCACCAATTTGGGTCTCCAGGTAGGTACAGGTAATATTTTTTAGGGAAACATAATCCCCTATAAGCACTATTACATCCTAATTCTTACAAACTGTTCTTTAATCTTTGCAATTGTTGTCAACATTTCAAGTTCATGATTTTCTCAAATTTAAGATAAACGAAATAAATGTACTGATTGCCACAATCGTTAAATAACTATTAAACTAATTAGATTACACAAATAAATCATTCTTAAGATAAAGCTAATGAATGAGATCGGTGTTAAAATCATTAATAAATTAGACATATTAGATCAGCATAAAAGTGAATACAGGGTATCTCGAAATAAACTGCTCCAAAAAAGTTAAGGAAGTTCGCAAATTTAGCGATTATTTTAAAAGTTACACACTTTTTGATCACCAAATTTTCAAATATGCGAAATTAAATGTTTTCTCTCATATCCGAGTGGATTTTTTGCCCCTACCTCCACAATTCATACTAAAATTGGCGATCAAAAAACCTGCAACTTTTAAATTAATCTCAATATTTGCAAACTCCCTTAACTTTTGTGGAGCAGTACAATACGAATATCCCGTTCGAATTGAATTGAACGTCTCTCGTCTCGTATCGGCGCCGCTGGTCTTTAATTAAAAATCGAATCGCGCAGGAACTCCCAGCACAGCTGGTTGATTTCTCCGCACAATGAAACACAAAACCTAACCTCTCCTCCGAGTGCCAGCGAATAGATGGTGGTGCGGTTTCGTGGGTTCTATTACACCGAAAAAAATCGTTCGCAGTGCTCGACAACGGGCGGATTTTTTTTGAGTGTAAAGTGCGAATCTCTTGGTACTTATCTGTGATTAAATGAACCTTTGTTGATCGGATCAATTCGTTTTCTATTTATCTGCGGGTTCATCCGAACAGTTATGTCGTTACGCCTAGAGGATCGTCGCGAGTGTGCCAATAATTTTTACGATTTTTAGTTGATAGGCCGCGATGGATTCCAGCAAAAAGCACGTCAAACCGAATCCGGAAGAAAAGGCGAATCCTTTGTCGGTGTTGTTTTATTGGTAAGTAAAAATATGTTAAGTGTTGCAATGATTAACATTATCGCGCGTTTTATCAACGCTTTGATTTATTTAAATGCTATTAATGTAATTTATAATTTTGCCGTGGACGGGCGGGCGCGGAATTTACTCGGGATTTCATTTTCAGTACACACTGTGTATACAATTCGCGAAAATATTGATAAACTTTATAAAATAATATTTGCTTAACTTTCAAATTAAGTTAATAACGTTATCGGTTACGACATCGTCTTCTTGGCTATCGAAATTTGGAGTTCGTTGAGCAAAAGGGGCATTTTAATGATAACTTAACAGACTATTATTATTATTAAAATTCATCATAATAAAATAAGTAAATATAAAACACTAGAATACTAATATTAAAACAAATATAGCATGAGTAAGAATTTATCTAATTTATATCTAATTTATCTAAGTTTATATAGAATTAAATTGTTATTTATTTTTACCATAAAATAGTAACAAAATCTACTAGAATTCGTATAATACACGCTTTGGTTACCCCTCGACATTAAAAAATTCTGTTAGTGTCTCTTATAAGGCATTGGTAAGTGATATTAGATATAAAACAACTTAAGTACCAAACTGATGATAAAGAAATATTTAAAATATGCAGGAACTTATCGGCAGGGCGGGCATATCGATATCGATAAATTCAACAAACACAGCGCACGTTCAACCACAAACGCGGTTTCATTTCAAAAACTCATTACCGGTGGAAATTGTATACTTACATTAAGTTTAATAAACCATTTTTTAGTGCTCGTAGAAATGCTGTTAAATTAAAAAAAAGTGCTTCAATGTCGCGTTACACGCATTTCCCAGGCTAATACATACATTGGTAATTGTTTTCAGGTGGTTCCTGCCGTTTTTCAAATTCGGATATTCCAACGAAATCAAACTAGCGGATTTGTACAATGCGACTAAATCGGATTTATCCGGTCCGCTGGGGGACCAATTGCAAAAGTACGATCGATTTTTATTTCTCCTTACTTTTACTAAAATTGCCTAATCCCATTAGGTGCTGGGAGGAAGAGCTGCAGAAGAGCTCGGACACGAAGAAAAAAAAGCCGAGCTTGAAGAGGGCCATTTTCAAGGCGTATTACAAACCTTACAGCTTCTCCGGAATCGTCCTGTTCATCCAATTCACCGTATTAAGGTAAAAGAAATTCGACTCAAGTCGACTGGAATTTCTAAAATTTCAATTTAAACCGCCACGCTTATCGTTTAATTCCTATAACATTCCGACTAATAGAGTCAATTTAGGCGCGCTAACATTTTAATTGAACAGAACTGAACTGTTTAAAACATTTTCTTATACACAATGGAGAGGAGTACGATTTTTTTTTTTTATTACGAAGTACTGTAAATATCTTAAATTCTAAATTGTTGTTTAGTAAAAATGGTAATGTGGCAACATCGAATGTATACTTTTGACTTTTTAAACTTGTCAAATATTAATTTATTAAAAAGCAAAAACTTAACCTCCAACTAAATCAACTTATATAATTTTAAAATGTCGCATGCGAAGGTAGTTAAAACCTTTTTCATGTCGTTTTGTTAAAATTCTTCATTGTATTCTAAAAAAGTGTTTATTTTTGGCCCAAGAAATTTAAAACAAAGAAATTACAAATTACAATAACATATCCCTAGATATGTCGTCCGTCATTTGATGTTACATTGTTAAATTTGATGCACTTTTGTAAAAATGCGTATATTTCCTAAAATATTAAATATTTTCAGCAACTGAAAACTGCTTTGAGTTCTAATTTCTATTCATACATCTGGTTAAAAACCGTAAATCTCACATCTTACTCCTCTCCATTAACACTAAACTTCACCGGCTTTGTTAGCTGGTAAACCAGCAATTGATGATGATATAAAGCGGTCGAAACGCGCTGTTTCTAAAGGCTTTTGTGTATACAGGATGTTGCAACCGTTCGTTTTGGCCGAATACATCAATTACTACAACAAAATCGCGCCGAAAAAGCCCGCAGAAATTGGTTGGGCGCTTGCCGTCGGAGTGGTTCTGATGGCCTTTATCAACGTGATAATAACCCACAGCACGAATTTGGGAACGCAAAGGATCGGAATGAGGGTCCGAATCGCTATATGTTCTTTAATATACAGAAAGGTAGGCAACCAAAAATCACCCCCGATTAAGTTACTGATAGTTTCCCGTTCTTTAGCTGTTGAAATTGAGCCACAGCTCTCTGGGCCAAACGGCGGCCGGGCAATTGGTGAATTTGCTGTCGAACGACGTCCAAAGGTTCGACATAGCCGCTCAATTCGTCCATTATCTGTGGATCACTCCGTTCAACATCGTCATCGGCTTCTACGTGATGTATAGAAGCGTGGGTACTTGGGGCGCCATCGCCGGAATGGGCCTGGCTAGCATGCAATCCATACCATTGCAAGGTAAAAACCAAGGAAACTAATTTTTGTTCGAGTTAACTGCAGGTGTTTTGTAGGCTACTTTTCGAAGTTGCAAGGAGACTTGCGGTACAAAATCGCCCTGAAAACCGACTACCGCATCAAAATAATGAGCGAAATTACGTCGGGCATACAAGTAATCAAAATGTACGCTTGGGAGAAACCTTTCGAAAAAGTCGTCGAGCTGGCCAGAAAGTGAGCTATCAACTTACTAAATTATTTCAGTTTAATAATCACCGCGTTGTTGCAGACTGGAAATCAACCTTATATCGAAAACCTCGTACATCTACGGCGTAATGTCGGCCAGCGGAATATTCACCGAACGTGTAACGCTCTATCTCACCATAATCGCGTTCGTTTTCTCTGGAAACCGACTCTCCGCCGACGTGGCCTTTTCCCTAGCCCAACTCTTCAACACCATACAGCTAATCCTATCCATATATTTCCCCAGAGCGATGTCCACGTACGCCGAAGGAGTGGTCTCGATCCAAAGGTAACTAACTACGATTCGCTCAAATTACATCACAATTACTCCTTAAACTTGCGCAGAATCGAATCGTTCCTGCTGATGGAAGAAAACGAAGGCGTCGCCAACGCCATCAACGCCACCACGGCGAATTCGAGCGGCTCGGGAGAGGTGAAGCTGACGCAAGTCAACGCCAGCTGGACCAAGACCTCCATCGTCCCGACGCTGATGAGCGTCGATTTGCACGTGAAGCCGGGCACGCTGTGCTGCGTGGTGGGCCAGGTGGGCGCCGGCAAGAGCAGTCTCCTGCAACTGCTGCTGGGCGAGCTGCCGGTCACCAAAGGGAAGCTGGAGGTGAACGGGAAGGTGTCGTACGCCTGCCAGGAACCGTGGCTGTTCGTTTCGAGCGTGAAAGACAACATTTTGTTCGGGAAGGAGTATGATAAGAGGAGGTGGGTTGTGGCGGGTATTCTCTTTAGGTGGAGTTAATGTTTAATTGGAATTTTAGGTATAAGAAAGTGGTGGATGTTTGCTGCTTGGAGCAGGACTTCAAGCAGTTTCCCTTCGGTGATAGGACTTTGGTTGGGGAACGAGGGACTTCGTTGAGCGGGGGTCAAAGGGCTAGGGTTAATTTAGCCAGAGCGGTTTACGCGGATGCTGATATTTATCTATTAGACGATCCTCTATCCGCAGTGGACACCAAGGTGGGACGACGCCTTTTCGACCAGTGCATAGCGAACTATTTGAAGGACAAAACCAGGATTTTGGTCACCCACCAACTCCAGTTTATGAAAGAAGCAGACGTGATAGTTATTATTAAAAATGTAAAGTACAGTTTCGCGTAGAATCCTCCAATAGTTAGCTGTTTTGATGTTTTAGGGTAAAATAGAGAAGGTGTCCTCTTTCGACCAGCTTTCGGAAAACGAGATAAACACGTTACAACAGGAGCGTACTGATGAAGATAAAGACAAAGCGAAAAAAGAAGCGACGCCCGTATTACCGCCGGTAGCGAAAAAACCACCGATAGAACACTTTCAATCCATTTCATCCTTATCCGTAAATTACATCATCTCCAATTAAACTGTAATTTAAGTAAACAATTTTGTAGAGTTCCATAATGGGCAACGAAGATCCAGAAGAAACCGACGAACTGATAACTAAAGGAGGCATATCCAATTCAACCTATTGGGAATATTGGAAGTCCGGCTGCGGAGTACCGTTTTTACTACTAACAATATTCATGTTTGTTATATCTCAGATGATCACTAACGCCTCGGATTTGTGGCTGAAGAGTTGGTATGGCTTTCGAAAATTTCAAAATAACCTAATCTATCTGTACGCTTACTCTTAGGACTAACGCCGAAGAACTCAGATACTCGCTGTGGATGAACATAACGAATAACGATACGACTCTTTTCCCATCGACTACAGTTTCTCCTCTAACAAGTACCACCGTTTCTTCGATAACCAGTTCACCGGTAGACAACGACACAGTAACGACACTCGCTAACGCCGCCCTATCGGAACTAGAAAAGGAATACTACGCAGTAGAACCGAAGGAATATTTCATCTGGATCTACTCCGCTCTTATAATCCTATCGATAGTTCTACTGACCGTCAGATCCTTCATGTACTACAAGGTGTGCATGACGGCTTCGAAGGTTTTGCACAACAAGATGTTCAACAACGTCCTCCAGGCTCCGATGCGTTTCTTCGACACCAATCCCTCCGGTAGGTAAATTCGGCATCTTCGCGAGTTTCGAATGTAATTTTGCGCGTCTTCAGGGCGCATATTGAACCGGTTCTCCAAGGACATGGGAGCCGTGGACGAGCTACTGCCGCGTTGCCAACTGGACGCTTTGCAAATATTCATGGTGATGCTGGGCATTCTGGTGATGGTGTTCATCGTGACGCCGTGGATGATAATTCCGGCGTGCGTCCTCTCTTATCTATTCTACTTTTTCCGTAAAGTCTACGTAACCACAGCCCAGTCTATCAAGCGATGGGAGGGAATCAGTAAGTGAATCTACTAAACGCAAAAGTAGGAATCTACAAGTCGTACTTAACATTTTAGCCAGAGCTCCGGTATTTTCTCACGTGGTGGCATCGTTGTACGGGTTATCGACGATCAGATCGTCGCAAGCTCAAGCGATGGTAGCGAGAGAATTCGACGAGCTTCAGGATCTACACACCAGCACGTGGTACTTGTTTTTAGTCAGCAGTAACGCGTTCGGGTTTTACTTGGACTGTCTCAGTACTACTTTCCTCGCGTTGGTGACCTTCCAGTTTCTCCTATTGAACTACGGTAAGTCCGACGAGCGGGTTTCTTCGATCGGTTGATATTTTAATCGTTTTCGCAGAGAGCGTGTCGAGCGGTAGCGTCGGTTTGATCATCTCGCACAGTATTATTTTGACCGGAATGGTCCAGTACGGCGTCAGGCAGAGCGCCGAGATCGCCAGTAACATGGTGAGCGTCGAGCGCGTTTTGGACTACACGAAATTGGAGAAGGAGGGCCCGTTCGAGTCGCTGCCGGCCAAGAAACCGCCCAGAGATTGGCCCGGCAAAGGGAAAATCATCTTCAAAAACACCTATCTCAGGTACGCCTTGGACCTGCCGCCCGTTCTGAAGAACCTGAACATCGAAGTCAACTCCGGAGAGAAGGTAAATTCATCCGAGCTGTATAGTAATTGTAATTCTTATATTGCAATTTTTTTAGATTGGTATAGTAGGAAGAACGGGCGCTGGTAAATCCACTTTGATCGCTTCTTTGTTCAGACTGGCGCCTATAGACGGCACGATTTCTATAGACAGTATAGATACAGCGGATATTGGCTTGAACGATTTAAGACTGAACATTTCCATCATACCGCAGGAACCGATTCTATTCTCCGCCCCATTGAGGTACAATTTGGACCCCTTCGAGAAGCACAGCGATGAAGTACTATGGAAGGCTTTGGAAAACGTACGAAAAACACCCAAAATACAACTTCCAAACGATATACAAGACATTTACCTTGCAGGTGGAACTTAAAGACGCCATTACGGATCTCAATCACCCAGTCAGCGAAGGCGGCTCGAACTTCAGCGCCGGTCAAAGGCAACTCATCTGCCTCGCCAGAGCTATAGTCAGAAACAACAAAATTTTAGTCATGGACGAGGCCACGGCCAACGTAGACCCACAGTAAGTACCGAAACACCGAAACAACAACTACAATTAACCATCTAACGTGTTCAGAACTGACGGGTTGATTCAACGGACGATCCGCGAACGGTTCAAAGACTGCACAGTACTCACCATAGCGCACCGGCTGAACACCATCATGGACTCGGACCGGGTGCTGGTGATGGACGCCGGGCAGGCCGTGGAGTTCGACCATCCGCACCTGTTGCTGCGCAATCCGGACGGGTACTTGAGCAAGATGGTGCGCGAGACGGGGCCCAGCTTGGCGGAGGCGCTCGCCGACGTGGCCCGCGAGGACTACGCTAGAAAATTCGGGAGCCAGGATAAGCTGGAGATAAAGGAGGCGGGCGAGGAGAAGGCGGAGTAGAGTATTTCTCGGTAGTATTTCTCGGTGCCTTTTCTTGTATTAAAAACGGTGATAATACATTATGCGTAATGTAGGATGATACGTAGGTATATAAAAGATGTTTTTCTTTATTTTTGTATGTAGGTGCTAATAATGTCGATGGGAAAATTCGATGAGATAACAGGACGTAAAAGAGAACCATACGAGTTATTTTATATTATATACGTACTTTTAATAGACATTATTTATTAACCTATGTTTTGTAAATAAAAAGGAAAACTGTTGGAAAATATACGTTCCCATTTATACCAATAATTTACTATTACTAATACCTGTCTTTTCAAACCGAGCATATACCAAGAATATAGTATACACATTTAATACAGATTATTTTTCGTATATGGCTAAAATAGAAACTAATGGCTGAATTTTGAGAGCATCTGTAAGAGCTATTCTAACCTTATCTGTAGATTTAACAGAGGTAGAATCACATTTACTGTCTCTTGCAGATTTCGTTAGGTCTTTTAGTTGCTCTCAGAATTCATCCATAAATTGGTTTGTAAACAAATTTACGAAATAGCAAAATGCGTAATTATTATAAAGGAATTAACTTTTTCTAACATGGTTGCTGCTGGTTAGTGCAGGCTAAGAAAGGTTAAGGTAGGGAGTAGAGAGAGTAATGGTGAGTTTACAAACCAACTAATTTTCCTAATCACCCGTAATGAATACACTTAATATAACACTTACAAAATATTTTAGGAATACGTTTATTTTTCGCAACGAACAGTAATGGCCTGGTTGGTTTTCTTTTTGTGAGCGCTGGTCATAAACTCCGTGAGGCTGCTGCTCTGGGTGGTCAACGTGGAATCCCTCGGTTTGCGCTTACCCTTGTTGCACAGCCACTTGCACGGAGGCAACGACCTTTAACGGAGAGTAAAAGAATCTATTAGAAATGGAAGTCACGGAATTGTAGAGTTACCATATGGTTCGGCAAAAGTGCGTCGACAATAAGCAGTAGATAATCGGATTGGCGGCGGAATTTAGCGGCGCTAGGCTCTGCACGAACGTCGCTATGGCGATGTTCGTTTGGGTTTGGGGAATTTGCTCGTATACTTGCAGCAGGTCGAAGATTATGTAGGGGCTCCAGCATAGAATGAACACTGTAAAATGCGAGTTCGATACTAAACAAGATCAATATTAATGCTAGAATTACCTGTGACTATCACGAAAGTGATCTTGATGGTCTTAACTTTGGCTTTCGGAATTAAACCGCGCGAACTTGCCCTTCTTAATTGTTCCAAACCTTAAATAGAAAACACCTGTTGAATAAAATTACCTACTACCAATTAGTTCTTATATTCGTACAGATTCTTTGAATTTAAAAGCTCTAAAGTAATCGGAATAGAGCATTAAATGTTACCTCTTTTATTATCATTATGGCCATTTTTCAAATTTCGAAAGCTACTCTCGCTTTTCGTCCAAATGGTGATTATAATGATGGCGTAACAGGAAGCGATGATTATAGCCGGCAAACAGAACAAACTGATCGAAACTAGAGTCATGTACAACTTCCACATCCACTGCTCGGAGAATTGGAGCCAGCATTGATTTTGACCTGAAACAATTCACTCCATCATCGCTCGTTTAGAGAGTTTTCTCGCGTACCTTGAATCATCTTCTCTTCGTACAGGATCAGGATGGGTATGGAGAAGAGCACGCTGATCAACCAAGCTGTTATGATGAGGCATTTGGCCCTTCTCCCTAAGCAGCAGAAAAAAAATTGGATACCTCCAAGAAGATTGGCAGGATTTGAATACTTACAGCTACCAGAAAACTTCATTGGATGTCTTATAGCATCGTATCTATCTATACTTAAAGCTACCAAAACGTATGTAGAAGCGTACGTGACTACTATCTACAAATATTACAGTATAAAATATACTATGAGTAAAGTTTGTGGTGGTTTTTTACCTGTAGAAACTTGATGATTTTACAAGCGACGTTACCGGCGTACCAAATTACAGTCGTCCTCCAAATTAAATCCGTCAAAACGCTGATCAATCCAACGGAAAGATCTAGAGATTCAATTCAATTACGCTAATTGCAAAGAAAATCCTTGTATAATTTACCGGCGTACGCTAAATGGGTGATGAAGTAATTCATGCGGCTCTTTCTCGACCTGCTGAACGTCAGCGTGTAAATAACGCCGATGTTACCGGCTATTATTACAATCAGCAGCAGCCACAGCACCGTGAATTGCTCCACCTGCGACCGATGAAGAAATTAACGATGATAATTATGAGTGCTCGCGCGTAAACGTTTCGCTAGCGCCTCGTAAAAACGCCGCTAATTTGAAATTGGGAAATAAGATTTTCCCCTCGGAGAAACATTCAATGAAGGAGCCCGCCGGTACGAATTTAAAAACGTTCCGCCCGCTCGGAATTTCAATAAATTTGTATAAAAACGGCGCTCGACGATTGATGCGATCTTTGTCGACCGAAAAAAAGGGCCTTCGAAAAACGTTTTCATTTATTTGAAAATTGAGACATATGAATTTCCGCAGTTCCTTTTTGTTAACGACTTCTGTCGATTTGCTTTATGCTATAGCATACCGAAAATTCCCTTCTATTGCTACAAGGGAATTGGAAGCGTTGTTTGTACAACTGGCGGATTTTCCGTCGGAAACTATCGCAGTCGATAAAATAATAATTACACCTGAATGTTTTGGATACGAGTGAAATGATAAAAAGATGAAAAGCCGAAAGAAAAATGCGCTGTCCTAATCCAGTTAAGTTCCTTTTTCGCCTCGTTGAAATCCGAGCTGAAAATTTACGACCGCGCCATTTATAATCGAGATGACGTATCTTCCGCGGGAAGAGTGTAAAAATCGTTTCTTCGCTGCAATAAAGACATTATGAACGGTACATTAACTCAATTGCGAAGCTTATACATCCTCGAAAATGCGAGGTTGTATTATCGCGAAATCGCTATTTTATTAATGCGACATTTTTGCATAATATAACTACCGAGTCTAGTAAGATGGATACTTCCTGCTTGCATTTGATAGAGGACTTAAAGAGCCGCTATTCTTTGTGTAAATTTGATAACTAATTCTTTATTTTTCTCACTACTTTTTTCTTATTCTACTAAATTCCGATTATAGTTTTTTCTTCGCGAATTAAATTTGTTGAAATCAAGAGTGTTCGATTCAAAGCTCATCTTGGTGACCTGTCACTTACCTATGTCAAAATGACAGTTAGAAAATCAAAGCGTCGCAATTCTTTGAGTAAATTTAACAAGTATAAATCATTATTTTTCTCTCTATTTTCATTCTTACTTCACTAAATTTCGTTTTTCGCGAATTATAATTGTAATCAAGAGTGTTCTAGTCAAAGTCAAATCTAGGTGACCTGTCACTGATGTCAATATGACAGTTTGAAAACCCACGGTGAAATATATAAGAGGTTGGATCATCCGGACAAATGTCAGGATAGTATAAGAATAGAAATCAATATTATGAGGTATTAAAGTGACGTGTATAATTAGAAAGCTGGAATGGAACAACCTACGAAATGTTGAGTGACATAGAAACCAATCCGTGGGCAGCAACCTTAATTGACTTGGGAAATGCAATTATTATTTATAATGGACCTACCGGTAGCGCACATGATAGGTTAGCTTGACTTTAATTTAATTTCGCTTAAATTATGTGATGTTTAAATTTAGTATGTGCCCATTGAATTTTAGATGTGTACGTGAAATTTATCATTTTTATCGTTAATTGAAAAAAGTATGATATCATAGTAAATTAATTATAGTTACTACAATAGTCGAGTGCATGGTAAACATTTTACCTGTAAATTAGTGAAATACATATTGTTATATTTTATTTACCTACAAGATAATTATTTTTATACAATATCATGGCGGAATTCGGATTATTACTGATGGAGTAAAATTTTGTTTATCCAATTACTCAACCCTGCGTAAAATCAATTAAACTTGGATTAATATTGAATTTTGCAGATGAAATTTCTAGTTTATGGTTACTAGCTAATAATATATTATTACTAATAGATACATCTTGTGTTAATAAAATCGTGTGTAAAACTACGGTAATTAAAAAAACCGACGAATTTCGAGCGTTAACGACCGTTTTAATTAAGGTTTAAAAAATTGATTCTGCTCGTTTAAGTAAATATTTGAAATATTTTACGTCCGTAAACGGATTTAAATGTCAAATATTTATATTAGTTAAATAGATAACTTAATTGAAAGGTTATCGATATTGTCTGGTGACTAAGATAAAACTGCGTTTTTTGCATAAAAATAATTTTGATATTTCTTAAAAATGGCATAAAACCAAAGGTCAGTGTAAACAATCTTCCAAAAGAAATTTAATTAACGACGTTATTTTATTTTTCACAGACTGTAATTAATAAAATTAATCACAAATTTAGAAAAAAACGTACCTCATAGAAATAAAAGGAATCGAGCTTGGTTTTGTTGGCTTCTTGCGAGTCGTTAGTCAAAATGTCAACGTCATTTTTCACCGATTCCATCGTTCGATGCGAACTCGAAATTTTCCAAGAGAATTTTCACTTCCCTTTCCAGCCACTTCCGATCTACAACGATAGGAAACACTGCGGACGGGAACGGATTTTTTTATGTTTATATTGGCGGGAACGGAGATTTAGCGCAAGCGCTTATTCCTCACAAATAACGAAAAATAATGGAAATTTAGAAAATTTTATTATGTGGCGAATTTGTTTCGAAAAATGTAGAAAACTCCAAAGAAGGATTGTATCTAAGCATATTGGAGACAAAAATAAATAATGCTAAAAAAGGGGAACACTAAATTTACAAGATAAATACATAAAGATGCCTTTCGAAATTAAAAAAATATTCAAAATTTGTTAGAATTTTGGAGTAAGCCCGCGGCGCATTCACCACAAATCCCGCGTCTTTCGTATTCAATCAACATTATTTTCTTATCAAATATTACCGAAGACGAATGTCTCAAATTGGAATTCACGATCGATAAACCCCATTCAACACTAACGCTTTTTATATACCCCAATTCCACTTATCCGAGGCAATTAGGTGTACGCAAAAAATAAAGATTATTTTTATTTCCATTCAGCTCGGGTCCGAAAAGGGAACGCGACTTTCGCTGATTAAAAATTGGGCTTCGCTTCGCATTCGCGAAGCTTCCCCGCAATTTCATGTGCCGCCTTAATGCGTCAGAAATCAGCGGAAAATTTAAATATTTTTTTAATTTAATAAAATTACTTTTTGCGGCGTTTTCTGGAATTGGGAATTAATCCGGTCTTATCCACACCCTGCTCTCGGATTTGAAACTATTATTCCTCGAACGTAGATTGGAAAAACCGAATTAATTACAGCGCTTCTTCCGAGTATGTTTTATGAATAATATTGATGTCAACAAATTAATTAATCAAGAGAACAGTGGCAATGTCAACTATAACTTTGATGTTTATTCAATTTCGCTTGCAATAGTATACATTTTATTAAATTCCCATCATTAGACAATTAGATATGCGTAAGTACTCAAAATATGTTTATCGCAGTGAATAATAAGAAATGGAATATCTATAAAGGAAATGCTTGTTACATCTGATATTTCCAAACAACATTTCTTTATAAACAATAACAATTTATGGCCTTGTTAAGAACAAACCGACAGATAAATTGTGGGTATTTAACAACAATTTATTATTGACAAATAATTTTACATTCTACGATTATACCGTTAAAAATTTAGAATAATTATTATACTTATAACCCCAGAATATATTTTTAATATACCTACAGCAAAAAATAAGGATATTTTAAAAGTATTAAAATTCTTTCTTAATTCTTTAGATATTAATGAATTAATATTTGTAATTATATAAAATACCGAAGAATGGCTAATTTCGCGTGTTATTGTAACAATGACGAATGAATAGAGAGTTCAAATAAATGATGCTTTTGTTTTGTGTTTAATTAGACTATCGCTAATGTTTACTCCTATCTTAATTGTCTAAATCGTGACATTGAATAATTTTTTAACAAATTCTTTCTTTATTCATATGTTACTAATCACGCACCTTGTCCATGGGTTAATATTTATCAAAACATTGTTTATAGAGGGTCAATATGAAACATTTGCGCTAAAACAATGCTGTCTCCTTGCTCCACACGTGAATCTATTATTATGTATTATGCTTGAAAATGGGGTTTTCTACAATAAAAAATTACTTTTCTACTCTTCGCGGAGGAAAATCCCGTTACATAAATTAAATAACGAATTCCTCCTAAACATTTTCGACATTGAAAATGAAATTCAAAGCGAATAACTCACTAATATCGTAAACAGCTAAAGTCGTAAACTTTAAATATAGCCGTTTCGTCGAAGACTCCACTAATAATTGCATTAAGTCTATCCTCAAAAATATCGCAAAAACCCACAATCATATTTTAGAACCACAGAGAGTCGGATAAATAAATAAAAATCGTACTTGCAATAACATAAGGGTTTATTTTAATCGTCGCGCTAGATTTCTTTTTTAAAGTTCGCCAAAACTCAATAATAGGTTAATGTTTTCAATATGAATTAGCAAATGCGAATATTATTTAGGTCATTATAACACAGTTAATTTTTTAGCTGTTAAAATTGGAATTTCGCCATTGAAAAAAAATGCTAATTTAATACCGTTTAATACAAAAATTAAAACACTGATATGTTATATTTTAACAATATTACCGACCGATTAATCCCAAAAAATATCTATTAGTCTATTCGCCTTGATATAAGATGTGTAAATAGACTAAAAAAAGACCTTTGCAGATTTTAATAGAGCTATGATCGAAATTTCCGGTTGCCCTACGATAACTCAGGATTCCTTCCGCTATTGTTGGATTAGAATTCTCGTCGCGGCGTCGGAGACACACTTTATCTTTCGGCGCGTTTCGGCTTACCTAAAATTTATCAGCATTTTCTCTTCGGCTATCGTGCCGGGCGCACCTACCGGAGAGAAATGTGCCCGCGTGCGGAAATGGATCTCGACAAATCGAGAAAAATAAGCGGCCGCCGTGCCGGGATGAGCGCCGGCGACGACGGATGGCCGCCGTTTCAGTTTTACTCGACTTTCCGAGCCGGATTTATATTGTACAGGTGGAAAAACCGGCTGTCGGCTTGTGCAAGGGCGAATTTTTTTGAGAGATTTCGGGAATTATGTTAATTTACGACGCCCCGCACGCCGCTCACTTCTCAACCTTGGGTTATGTAACGTGCGTGTCCGTTAGAGATTCACAAGGCGATAAAAAATTGTTCGAGTAGTTATCTAAATAATTGTACTTAAACGCGTACTAAAAGGTAAAATTTAATTTCGGTGTTTTATCTACAAATATGGAGGTACATATTAGAATTAAATGTTGCTAATTCGCGAATAAATATTGGATTTATAAAGACTAAAATTTATTGTTTTATTTGATTTTATCAGTGCAATATCAGTCTAACATGTTCGACGTACGAAAAGTATACCAAAAGCGTTTATCGCACTGATAGAAATATTTGCAGGTCTTTCCTAAAGGTCGATTTTTATTTACACTCGAGTACTGCGGGTGTCAAAAAACTTGAGACTGGGCTAACACAACCTAGAATCACCAACGATGAATAAACGATGTGGGTAAACGTTCTCTAATCTCTAACAAAATTAATTTCGTACGCATTCAGAATACATTACAGTAAATAAGTAACATCCATAAATAATGCATGACCCCCCAGCATAACCCAAGCGTGTCGACGCTGTGTATAGCAGTGCCAGTGCTAGTCCTGCAGAACGTCGATGTCGATAACTACAACTAGAACTCGATATACCACTATATAAATACAAATTCACGTTCTCGCCGGTTTAGTAATTAAAACAAATTCTGATATCGCGACAATTGAAACCTCCGAGATAACGAAATTCGGCGAGATTATACCGATACATCATACGAGCAACGGCGAGAGAACGATCAGAACAACATGATACGGCGGCAGAGGCGGTTAACTTGACTCGTACTATACATTTTTATTTTTAATTGTTTAAATTACTGGACGAGTGACCGGAATTATCGACCTTGCGCTGGTGTGCTTCTGAAGCATGGATCAGACCAAGAAACACGTGAAGGCTTCGCCGGAAGAAAAGGCTAACGTGTTTTCAAAGATTTTTTATTGGTGAGTTTTTTCGAATTTCGTACACAGTAGAGAAAGTATTAAAACAAAATTTGTAACATTTGTTTTTTTTTGAGAATCTATAATTATTGCACAATTATATTTTAAACGCAAGTTTTTTAACGTATCCCTTTTAACTATCGGTTTATGTTAATTTCGGTGTTAAGTTTGCCAAGGTTACTTATGAAAGGTATTACTTAAGAAGTTATTATTGAATTAACATTGCGATTTTGTATCTAAAAAATTATTTGTGTGAGTAACTTTTTACGAAAATTATATTTTTATTGTGATCGCATTTTTAAGACCTGAATTTACAGTATTAGTAGAAGCACGTGCTTTCGGAAATTCCAAAACTAGCTTACCTTTAATATCGTTTTTTTTTGTTTAGCTGGCATAATCTTTACAATTATTTCAAAATCTACAATTTCAGCTACCAAATCGTTAATCAAATAAAAATTTCCATTTGTTTGCCTATTCGCGGTAAAAAATTAACCATGAAATTAACCGGTTAAAACCTCAATTCATTCGAACACAGACCAATTCTAAAAATTCGACATTTTTATAATTTAATTTGATAGTTTATTTTTTTCATTCTTCGAACTGTTATTGCAGATCACTCGATACATTTTATTGACACGCGATAATGACTAATAATTCTAGTTTATGTAATTGACCTCACTTTGCGTGTTTTCTTTTTATCAAACTTTACTTAGCTTCTGTATTTAAGTTAGAATTAAAAGCATTTTCACAAATTATTAATCGTAAAAATATGCATTATTAATCTTATCTTTTTTCCGGAGTCTTTATAATTTTGTAGGTCAAGTACATACATATATCATTGTATTTTACTTCTTATTTCCAGTATTTCTTCACCAATTATCTGCAGCTTGTGTGATCCCTTATTCAATAAACTAACAATTTATTAAATTATGTAATCAGATTTAATATGCTCCTCATTACTTTACTCCCTCTTTTTAATTCTGTGATATTTAATATCTGCAAATACATAGTTTACCAATTTAAACAAATATGTATAATTTTTATTAATTTTTATTGCTGTAATTGCGTCTGTGTAAAAATTGCGAGCTTATCGTTAATGCAGCATAATTGTCCTAGCTTTCTACATTTTAAATTACTAATATAGTTATATTCTGACTATATTTAATTTAGAATAAAATGTACTTACATCTTAAAATGTAAATAAAAGGATATTTTAATAAATAAGTTATTACCTTAATCTACTCGTAAAATGTTCTTTCTGTTCTCACTTATCGCATCAGGTACAATTAGCATAATTTACGTATTTGCAATACTTCAATTTCTTTGGTATTTTAATTTGGTTACAAAGAATTTTAACAAGTTTTTTATGATTGTTTTACAAATGTTTCTATCTCGAAATAAATGTTTCGTTATTAGACAATATTCCCAGTATAAATACACCAACAAGAGTGTACAATGAATTATTTTATATGAAATATTTCATTGTCTTTGAGATTGTTTAACTAACTGATTAACTGTAAGGAATGTAATAAAACAGAAAAATGACTTTTTCGGTACTACTTATTATATATTGTTTTTATATAACTAGGTTGTTGTTGTTGGATTTAGCATTGTTCGAGAGAGTCAGCTGAGTATGTTCCAGCAACCGACAGTTTATCAGTTCTTATCACAGACTGATAATTATATGAAATTATTTAATATTTACATTGTCGAACTTTAGTTTTATTGAGGGCCGATAATACATTTAATTCCACATACCCGAAATCGTAAATAATGATTTTTACTGTGCAATAAAGTAATGTATAAATTAATTTATGATGTTGAACTTTTAGTAAATCATTATCCTTTTTCTATAATTAAATATAAAAAAACAATCATTGGGCTTATTACATCTGATCCACTTTGCAAATTATATATTCTCATATGCTTTGTTTTTATCGCTATAATTGCCCTGTTTTGTCTGCAACTTCTGAATAGTTTTCATGGACATTGGCTCCTCTTAACCATTTCGATGCGGAAACAATAAAAGTTATTTTAATTAATCATTCAATTACTATTACTGACTAAAACATTTAATTAAACGTGGTTAAGAGGTCATGGACATGAAAATTTTGGATACAATTGAATAAAGAAATCAATCAACGTAAATGAAATCGGAACAGCCAGGGACCAGACTAATTTTTAACTTTAATAAGATAGTAAGATAAGAAACTGTAATAATATATTATGAACAACAAATATCAATTAATATAAAATCTACAAGTAAATTGTGTAGACTTTAAATAAACATAATAATTCGTAAGATAACGTAACGTGATTAGCAGATTATCTAACGTTACTTTAATTTTAGATGGAGAAACATTTTAAAAGATGACTGAGCAATTCCCATTCAATTCTGTTAGAAAAAAACTTGTACCTTTTAAAACTTTTAACCAGATTATAACATAGAACTTGACATGCTTTTGTACCATAATATTTTAATCAGTCATATCATGTATTTGCCTTTCACGTATTTAAGCTGGCCTGAATTTGTAACCGACAAATATACATATTTATTATGTATGAATCTCATAACCTAGAGGGAGCTTCAACATGATGATGAAATCTTTCTTGATGATGATTTTTTTTCAGGTGGTATTTACCCTTCTATTACTTCGGCTACAAAAACGACATTCAACTCAAAGACTTATACAATGCATCGAAAACGGACCTTTCGGAAGTTTGGGGCGATAGGCTACAAACGTGAGTTATTTTTCTAATGGAATTACAATAACGTAACATGTTTTTCGAATTATTTACCAACCTACATTCCACGAATAACCTCTAATTGGCTAAAGCGTATTTGCATTTCGAATTATCGCAGTAAATATTTACAATGGCATTTGCAGGAATTGGGAAAAGGAGCTAAAGAAGGACACACCGAGCCTGAAACGTGCAATTTTCCGTACGTTCGTCAGGTCGTATTCGCTATCAGGAATGGGACAATTTATACAATTTAACATAATGAAGTGAGTTTAGTGTATTTGTAATTATTAAGTACCTGCTAATTACTGATATCGATCTACACATATCGTTATTTTTCGCCGGTTTAATTGATGTATAAGCCGCTCTAATTGATACAGATATAATCTGTTGCATAACTATGTTTTTAAAACAACACAATGATGACCTAAATTTTAAGATTTTAACGAATCTCGCAATGAACTTATTCGGAAGTACACAAAATTATTTTTTTACATCTTAAAATCTTCAAGCTTGTCTCGTTGACTTTTCCAGAATGATTCTACCGGTGGTGCTGGCCGAATACATAAACTATTTCGATCATTCCAAAGATACCGACGTGAAAATGGGCTATTTCTGGGCGACGTCGGTGGTCGTCGTCTCGTTCTTAATCGTCGTTTGCAATCACGGCTCGGCCCTGTCGGCCCAAAGGGTCGGAATGAGGACGCGAGTGGCCGTCTGCTCGCTGATGTACAGAAAAGTAAGAGGCTACCGCGCGCCGAAAACCCCAATTTTACCGTTCAATTTCGTTCGATTTGCAGCTGTTGAAATTGGACCACAAGTCGCTGGGACAAACGGCCACCGGCCAGCTGGTCAATCTCATGTCGAACGACGTCCAACGGTTCGATCTGGCGTCGCTCTGCCTGCACTTTTCCTGGCTGATGCCCATTAACCTGGTGATATCCTTCTACATCATGTACCGGAGCATCGGAATCGTCGCCGCGGCCGCCGGAATGGGCGCCATCATCTTGGAGTCCATACCCATACAAGGTAACGCTTCGCCCTTTCACGCCTTTATGTATTACAAAGTGTTCAATTGCAGGTTACATGTCGAAGTTGCAGGGCAAGTTCCGGTACCAAATCGCCTTCAAGACGGACAGACGGGTGAAGCTGATGGACGAAATCACGTCGGGCATACAAGTGATCAAGATGTACGCGTGGGAGAAACCGTTCGAAAAAATGGTGGTGTTGTCTAGAAAGTACGGCACAAACGGAACCGATTTTCTAAGTACATGAAAAAAATGTAGATTCGCTTTTCTCTGCGCAGGTTAGAGATCAACTTCATCAGGAAGACCTCCTACATCTACGGAATGTTGACTTCGATGTCCGTGTTCACGGAGCGATTAAGTTTATACATTGCTGTGATAACGTTTGTGTTGATAGGAAAGACTATAACAGGAGACGTCATATTTTCCATGGCGCAATTATTCAATACCGTCCAATTGACGCTGTGCATATATTTCCCCAGGTGTCTGTCCTATTACGCCGAAGCCAGCGTGTCGATAGGAAGGTAAGATCTCCATCTAACTGTTCCAAATCCCCAACTAACTGTTCATCCATTCAGAATCGAAAAGTTCCTGATGCTGGACGAAATCGACACCGTGAACCGCATCAAGACCATCAGCGACGGCGAAGTGGGCGAAATCGAACTCAAAGGCGTGTCGGCCAGCTGGAAGGCCGACTCCATCGCCCCGACGCTCGTCGACCTCACCTTCCGCATCAAGCCGGGCACGCTGTGCTGCGTGGTCGGCAACGTGGGCGCCGGCAAAAGCAGCATCCTGCAATTGCTGCTCAAAGAACTGACCGTCAAGTCGGGCGTAATGACCGCCAACGGGAAGATCGCCTTCGCCTCGCAGGAACCCTGGCTGTTCGTGTCCAGCGTGAGGAACAACATCTTGTTCGGGAAGCCTTACGACAGAGAAAGGTAAGCGCGTTTCTAAACGGATTCCTTCATTTGCTACGAAAGAACTGCTGTTGTAGGTATAGGGAAGTTGTGAGAGTGTGCTCGTTGATCAAGGACTTCCAGCAGTTTCCCTTCAGAGATAAGACGTTGGTGGGAGAGAGGGGTGTATCGTTGAGCGGTGGCCAGAGGGCTAGAGTGAATTTGGCCAGAGCCGTTTACAGCGAAGCTGATATTTATTTATTCGACGATCCTTTATCGGCGGTGGACACCAAAGTCGCGAGGCATCTATTCGACGAATGTTTCAAGAAATATTTAAGCGGCAAAACGAGAATTCTGGTGACGCATCAATTGCAATTCATGAAGAAAGCGGACGTTATCATCATCGTAAACAACGTGAGTTGCTTTCGATTGGAGGCGATAGTGCGAGTTGTAGAGTTTCCGGTTTACAGGGAAAGATCGAGAAGATCGGAGAGTTCGAGCAACTGTCCCAAAACGACTTGAACATCATACAACAGGAGGCGGAAGATGCGGCCAAGAAGGAGTTGAAGAAAGCGGAAGAAAAAGAGAAAATCGAAGCCGAGGCAGTTACTAAAAAACTCAACATCTTCCAATCTGACATGTCTCTTACAGTAAGTTTAAAATTTTTTTTCGAAGGCGAAATTAATAAAATTATCGTCTTGCAGTCAAAAGCAGGTGACGATTCAGAAGAAAAGGACGAATTAATCGAAAAAGGTGACATTAAAACTGAGACTTACATTGCCTACTGGAAAGCCGGCGCCGGGTGGTTTTTCCTTCTATTGACCCTATTGATGTTCTTCGTGGCTCAAATAGCTTCCAACGCTTCCGATTTGTGGTTAACCCATTGGTAGATACATCACCGGATAAACGCGACCAACAACAATAATTACATCTAATTTTTTAGGACCAACATGGAAAAACTACGAACCGACATGTTCGAGGATAAAATCACCTCGGGCGACAGAGAAATCTTCGTGATAAACTCCACATTCGACGACGATCTGCCGAAAATAGCATCCCAAAACGCCACGTTCGTTTTCCTGAACGAAACCGTCAACATGATACTGGACGCGACCTCTTTGCTCGACACCGAAATCAAACCGAGGGACTACTACATGTGGATTTACACCATTTTCATCTTCGGCTCGGTGTTCTTCCTGACGCTCAGATCCTTCTTGTATTACAACATTTGCATGAAAGCCTCGAAGGTTCTCCACAATACCATGTTCAGTAACGTCCTGCAAGCGCCGATGAGGTTCTTCGACACCAACGCATCAGGTAAGTGGACCATTTCCACATCTTTTGGAAAGTGGATTGTATGATATGTTGTTATAGGTCGAATTCTCAGCCGTTTTTCGAAAGACATGGGCGTACTGGATGAACTTCTCCCTCGCAGTTTAATCGATACTATTCAAGTATTCATGTTGATGACGGGTATTTTAATCATGGTGTTCATAGTAACTCCCTGGATGATCGGTCCCACTATTGTGTTGGGAATAATGTTTTATTGGTTTAGAGTGGTGTATCTGAAGACAGCGCAGGCCGTTAAAAGATTAGAGGGAACAAGTAAGTTCATATTTATAGTAAAACCTCTTATGATAACATTGTTCGTTGCAGCCAGAGCACCTGTATTTTCCCACGTATCAGCTACACTCTACGGCATATCCACGATCAGATCGGCCAGCGCCCAGCAAATGGTCACGAAAGAATTCGACATATTGCAAAACCAGCACACGAGCACTTGGTTTCTGTTTCTAGTGAGCAGCATTTCCTTCGGTTTTTACCTCGACGTGATAAGTACCACTTTCCTGGCTTTGCTCGCCTATCAATTCGTCTTCTTCGACAACGGTAAGAACACCTTTTAATCCTCGCAATTCGTATTAAATCCCAGTCGAATTTCAGGGGAGTCTTACAGCGGCAACGTCGGCCTGGTGATATCCCAAAGTTTGATTTTAACCGGTATGTTGCAATATGGCGTCCGGCAAAGCGCGGAAGCGGCCAGTAACATGATCAGCGTGGAAAGAATAATGCAATATACGACGTTGGATAGGGAAGGACCCTTCGAAACGATCGGTAACAAACCGCCGAGAGACTGGCCTAGCAAAGGAAGGATTGTATTCAAGAATACGTTCCTCAGATACGCCAAGGAGTTGCCGCCGGTATTGAAAAACCTCAACATCAGTATTGAATCGGCCGAGAAGGTTGGTAGATGGTTCGTTTCTGTAGAATTCTCGTCTAATATTGTACATTTCAGATCGGTATAGTGGGAAGGACGGGTGCTGGTAAATCGACATTGATAGCCTCGTTGTTTAGACTAGCGCCCATAGACGGTACGATTTCTATAGACGATGTGGATACCAGTAAAATCGGTTTGACCGATTTGAGATCGAACATTTCGATCATCCCGCAAGAGCCGGTGCTGTTCTCGGCTTCCCTCAGATACAATTTGGATCCTTTCGAGAAGCACTCAGACGAGGTTTTGTGGAACGCATTAGAATATGTAAGTAACTCGAAATTTCCTTTTAGTTACAATTAATTATCTTAAACTAATTTATAGGTGGAATTAAAGACAGCCTTTGCTGATCTCAATATAACAATCAGCGAAGGTGGATCAAACCTAAGCGCTGGACAAAGACAACTAATATGCTTAGCGAGAGCTATAGTGAAAAACAATAAAGTTTTAGTAATGGATGAAGCCACAGCCAACGTCGATCCACAGTATGTCATTACCTATCATCCTCCATTAACTATCACATTGAGATTCTTTTATTTTCAGAACTGATGCTCTTATTCAAAAGACAATTCGCGAGAGATTCAAAGACTGTACAGTACTTACGATTGCTCACCGACTTAACACGATCATGGACTCGGACAGAGTGTTGGTTATGGACGCGGGGGAGGCCATGGAATTCGATCAGCCGTACGTCTTGCTGCAGAACCCAGAGAGTTTCTTTTCGAATATGTTGAAGGAGACCGGGCCGGTCATGGAGGAGACCTTGAAGAACGTGGCTAGAGAGACTTACTTGAAGAAAAACAACCTACCAGTGGAAAACGGCATTGATAAGATGAAAGACGTTTGAAATTTTTTGTGATGTTAATTTAAACTGTACAAATTTGAAATATAGTAACGATACATATTTTTTACTTATGATTTTATTCATTTGCACAACTAAAAATGTGTTTAGTTATTTATTGCTTTAGAATTTTTAGTAAACGATATTCTTACCTCATTTTGGGAAATCAGTAAAGAAAATTTAAAATATTCAAAATTGGCAACGCCAATTGCCAACTGTCACTATATTGAAGAATCTGACCAATCAGATGCCACACATGTCGAGTTGCTGACTATTCGTAAAGTTGAAGACACCTAAAATTAACAATTATTTAAAAATAGAAGAACAATGTAACCTTTAATATCAAGTGCCGTGTTTTTTTATGTGTTACATGTGATTTTTTATTAAATACAACATACATTAAATAAATTAGAAATGGAAATTAGGGAAAACACCGACGATAATCTAGAAAACATGGATGTGGATTTAGAAGACAATCCGCTTTTCCCTAAATGCGATTACCTTATTGAAGAACAAGTTGTTAAGAGTTTTATATTGCACTTGGACGTTACAAAGTAAGAAACACATTGGAAATTATATTTGCAGCTTAATTTAAAATCTAAAATTTCAGAGAGACATGTCCAAATGTATTAGTAAACACTGCAAAGAAAAGATCGGTGCTATACAACATGCAAAATAATGGAGTTAACAAATTGCATAGCATCGATTGCGAATCTGTATTAATTGGTTGTAAATTTAGTGTAAGCAGTAGGGATCTGTTTTATATCGGATCCGAAGACGGATGTATTAATGTGATGGATTTAAGAACACCTGGGCGCCCTTCGTTACAATTTAAAGGTATTAATATTTTTCATAAAATAACATTTTACATTTATTAAAGTGCCTAATTGCAGATACTACAGTTGAAGATGGAAAGTCTAAAACGTTCAATTGCTTCGATGTGTCTCCAAACGATAGACTCCTAACAGCCGGTACAGATTTAATTGGAGGAGATGCTTTTATATTATTTTGGGATATTAGAAAACAAAATGTACTAGGTGGTTATTGGGAAAGCCATACTGACGATATTACTCAGGTAAAAGAAATAAATTTGTAATTAATTTCAAATTAAACCATTTGATCGTTCTGTCAGGTTAAATTTCATCCGGAAGACATGAATTCGTTAATATCTGGAAGCATCGATGGTTTGATTAATATTTACGATTTATCTCAACGATGTGAAGATGATGCGTTAACAGATACATTTAACACGGAAGAGTCTGTAGATCAATTATCTTGGATTCGTAATAACAACAAATACAATATTAGTTGCATTACACATACATCTGATGTACAGTTATGGGACAGAGATCAAGGGGAAGTGTGTAATGCATTGACAAAATTGGATGTTGCCAACAACATATCGGTAAATATCTGCATTTAACTTATTAAATAATCCTCAAAAACCATTATTTTTTAGAAATACGTAGATAATGTTTACGTAGCTAATTGTCATGAAACGGAAAGTGGAGTGCTATTATTAGCAGGGTCAGAAAATCCACACTGTTTGAGGAGTTTGAAATTGGGCAAGAAAAATGTTAATCCTGGCCTTGAATTTTCGTCTAATAAACAAAGAGTTAGAGATAGCTCTTTTATTGAAACCGTAAGTTTTATATTATTATGAACTTGCTTGTGTAATTTCATACTTTATTTTTTCTAGAACAATCTTCTGGTAACTGGTGGAGAAGACGGAATTTTAAATGTATGGAAAGTGCCTGTAGTTAATTAAATAAAACGATTCAGTTAACATTTATAATTTTATTTCTATCCCAACCCTTAGAAATAATTTAAATCCAATGTAAATAAAAAGTATTCTACATTTACATAAAATAAAAAAAATATACATTTGGTGATGTTGGCTTAAATATGGCTGGAGTAAAATAACTAACATTTTGTGAGTAGGTATAAAAAATTTACTTTATCGTGTGCTCTACGTTTTTAAATAATATATTTTCTAATATAAATAATGCTCGCCAACATTATCGAAAAATTGAAAAAAAAAAAAATAAATTCAATAACAACCTGTTGCTCATCGAATCCAGCAAGAACGTAACATTTCTTCAGATGATCAACACGTCAGTATTTCCCAAAAAAAATTAAACCTAAACGTAAATATTTCAAGTAACGGTCAAAAATACAAAACCTAAAGGTAACAAACAATCATACAGTTGACGTTATAAATTTTCTCTCTAATCCTCATAAATAGAATTTTATCAACTCTTACAAGATAAAATAAGAATCTTCATCTTTTATATTTTATCTTCGAGAGCGAGTCATGGATATAAAAATAATTAAATCTACACTTAAAATATAGCTAAGGAGATCCACAAATAACACAAAAAAAAGTAAAAGTAATCGTTACTCAAAAAATCCCTAGGACTTATATAGCACAAGAAATTTATTGTAAACTTTAAATAAACGTAAAAAAAATCTTACTTAAGTTTGGTGTAGTTTTATTTCGAGAACATTATCAACCTAGAAAAAATAGAAAACATAATTTGTTACGCGTGAACACAGAATAGAAAAAAAAGTAATAATGAAAATAAGAAGAAGTAACAGGAAAACAAGAAACAGAAAGAGGTTGGGAAAAGAGGAAGTAACAGAAAAACATGAAACAGGAAGAGGTTGCGATAAGAGGAAGTAACAGGAAAACATGAAACAGGAAGATGTTGGGAAAAGAGGAAGTAACAGGAGAGAAAACAGGTAGAGGTTGAGAAGAAACAAGAAAAATAACAAGGAATAGAGTAAATTGAAAGCCGCTCACCTGAAATTAATGGTTGTAGCTGCCAATAGCCGATTGCATTCCGGCGTATCGGGCAATGGTAATTTGACGAACGGCGTCTCGTAATTTTGCTCCGTAAATTCAAATTCGTATATTCTCGGCTTCACGTTGATATCGCCGACGGGGCCCCTCAACGCTATGTAATTCAAACTCAACGGTTTCACGGACTTCGACTTCAATATCAACTGAAAGAGATATTTCAATTCGATACAATATCATTCCTTGCAATTATCTGCATCGAGAATACAGCAATTCGCAAACAATAAATAGATAAGAGTTGAAAAAACATCTCGAGCTAGAGTCAAAGTTCCGGACAAACACGGGTGTTATCTTACCTGATAAGACATGTCCCTTTCGGAGCTTTGCGTAGGGTCCTTCTGGTTGTTGTTTATCCTCGCCTTTACCACCCATTGGTAATTCAATGCTGAAAATCTCGACGATTCGTAGAACAACCGATGGACGAATTCGTCAGTGCGATATGGTTTTAATTGTACATCTGAGAACAGAAAAATAATAAACCCTCAATTGGCATGAGGTCTTATAAAATTCAGATTTTTTTTTATTGGTAAAGGTGGATTTGGGTCACGCTAAAATAGCATTTGCAAAAATACTCCGGCCCAGACAAAACACTTTCGTTACCTACATTTTTTTTATCTTGACCCCGATATAAAAAAAAACAAATCGTTAATAAACAATATCGCTATCGCTTGGTGTTTTATTATTACACCAGATAAGAAACTCTTTTAGCAAACATTTCCGAATCGTTTGAAGCCGTCTATGCAAATTCATTTAATTCCCTTCTAGAAAATCTACTCGCATTCAGCTCGTTTACTCGCCTTTTCCACCGAAAAAAATAAAAAAAAACCGTAACATGTTGCGTAACTTTCCACTATTTTTAGAATCCGGATGATTAGGATTCATGTCGTTTATTTTTATTTCATTTACGACGGAATCGGTTTCTCTAATTTTGTAATTACCAGCTCGGAACAGCTCTATTTTCGACTCGAACAGAACAGATATTTTTAACGGTGCATTATGGGGTAAGACCGTTTCTAGATCCCAGAGATCTAGGACCCGACAAGAACATTGAAACTTCTATGGTAACCTAAGATGACCAGCGGGAAAACTACAGAGGATCTAGTTGGTTAATGGGTTAAATAGGGAAAATCCAGCGGTTTTAAATTGCACGTACCGTTGATGGTGATCTTATCATATCCCAGCAGATCGAATATGCTGTCGTAGAGCATACGTTCCTCGTTCATTTGATGGTCGATGGACTTCAAAGCCTCCATGACGTCGGCTCCGGAACGATTGGGATGGACGCATTCCTTCTCGTGTTCGCTCCTTTCGTGCAAAGGACCTCTCCATGGGCATCCTATACGGCTATACTTACAACCTGAAATTCTACAATAACAAATCGCTTTAAATTAACAATTAGAAAAAATTAGGGTGGCGAAATACAAAAACGTTTTAGATATCCCAAGGTGAAGAAGTAGGTGATATTAAACTAAATATTCAAATCGGTTCACAACAATATTTTGAATGAAGCGTAACAATGCAACGCCATTAAAAGTGGCACAAGGTTGTTGGTTTTTTTGAATAACTAATTCAAACAGATGGTTTAATCTAATGGTATAATGTACGGACGAAAATTAATTGCGTCCTAGTTTCGATCTTCAAAATACAGGGTACACTCTAGAAGATTTATGCAGGAATACTGTATATGGATGAAGAGGATGCAAAGAGGATTAAAAAGAAGTACAATTTTCTGAACTTATGTGCAAAATTTGGAGTTAACCAAGTTCATTTGATCTTCAAAATACACTCTAGAAGATGATCCAAAAGAAGAATACATTTTTGAACTTATGTCCAAAATTTGGAAAGAACCAAGTCCATTTGATCTTCAAAATACACTCTAGAAGATTTATGGATCAATGCTGTATAAAATAACCTACTAGGAAGAAGACGATGTAAAGAGGATCCAGAAGAAGTAGATACACTTTTCTGGTCTAAAATATGGAGTGAACCAAGTTCCTGCAAATCGAAGCAGTACAACAAGGGAGCTGGTAATTGAAAAATGACCTGCAGGACGTACAAAAACAATCATTACAACGAACCTCTCTTCGCATTCGGCCTCCTCGTGTCTGACCAACGAGTTCCTGGGGAACTGCTTGTTACAATACTGGCATTCGGCGGGCAATTCGGAGACGGCGTTCTCCACCGCCAGGTTTCGGGTGGCGCTCGTTTTGCTAATCTCCACTCGACAACTGGGACACGTGGCGGTCTCGTCTCTGAGCCGGGCGTCGGCCAGCACGTGCGTAAAGCATCCGGCGCACATTAAGTGACCATTGCTGCACTGTAAGCGCGAACGTACCAAAAAAAGAAAAAAAATATCGTTTTAATTGGGGCGGTTTTCGATTCCGGGGGGGCTGGGGTAAATCGACGCAATGCGAGTTTGTTATAAGGGGGGCGTCCGAGTCGGGTGGGGGCTATAAAAATAAGAGAAATCGTTCGGTTGATAATTAAAAAAATGTGTGTTGTGTACCCATCTCGCTTGGTTGTTTTTAGTACCGCTCCTTCGGGGTGTGTTGGAAAAAAATAGAATGACTACAACAAAAATTGTTACTACTAATAAGTCTGTTTTTCAGGGCGGGGTTTGTTTACACATTACGCGCGTATTAACCTCTTATTTATAGGAAGATACAACGCGGACTCGCATATTCTAACTAGAGAAAAAAATCGTTTCTTTTTTCTAATTAGTCGTTAAAAGACTTACCAGTCCTCTTCATATCCTGTAATTAACAAAACAATACGTTTAATATTACAATTTCATCTAATATTTCCCTTACTTTACCTCTTTATTGTCTAAAGGTCCTGTCGAAGGACCACTTTATAAAAAATAAAACCACTCATTAATTCGTCGGTAAAAATTGTGAAAATACCTACCCATTCAACGGGGTGGCGCCCCACCCTCGTGAATTTAGCGAATCAAAATAAACTCTCGTTAAATAGTAAAATAAAATAGCCGTGTAGTGTCGTTTTCGACGCACAACCTACCTTATTTAATTAGAAATTACTTAATTTAACTGTTGCAAATTTATACAGGCCGATCTGAGTTATTACGAAATCGTTTCTAACAAAATATTGGGCGAGAAATATTCAAATTTGGTACTAAAATCCTGCTGTAGGTATTGCAAATCATCCTCTATCAGTAAATTTTTGATATTCGAATAAATTCTTTCTTCTTGGCAGGAATTAATCTCGCCACTTTACCGCCTTCGTCGAGTTGAATTTCGTGTAGGTAATTTGCACAGCTGTAAATTAATAAATACAAAACTGCTCGAGTGATATCTCTTGGTAATTTTCCAATGAAAATTCGAGATGGTGCGCTTTGATTAAATTGCACGAGTACTGCTGTAATCAAGCGCGCATATTCGCGATTACTGAAACGCAAAATGCGATGCACCTGCTGGATTAAATGAGGAAAAAATAAATGCGAAATATGAAAATATTTTTGGTTTTTTTGTAGAAACCGCTTTTCGGAATAACAACCAGACCGTCCTGTACTAAGAGGATTGGGTTTTGGGAAATGAAAATCTAAAGCTAAATGTAAAGTAACGACTACTCAAAATCAAATTAATCAATTTATTCAAATTCAAAAAACACTAACACGATTTGTTTTATAAAAAACAACAGGAAAAGTAAATACACTGTTTTAAAATATACAAAACTTAACATCTACAGATATATCGCATTGATTTTTTACAAATAATATATTTTACTTAAAAAAATCACTAAAATACATCAGTCTTTAATCGGTAATTTGTTTTTTTTTTAATAACTATCGATTCGTGATAATAGATTGTCTCTAAACATTCATTGTAACGTATCTTTAACTTTTAGATAGTAAAATACAAATTTGAGTAAAGAAATAAAAAATAAAATATGAGACGCAGAACAAAGGCTCTTGATAAATTACGCACTAAACAAGGACCTATGTTCTGCGTGTCAGGCAAGCGAGTTCAATCAATATTTCGACTTCGACTCGCCTGCAGGAACCTGCTGTAAACGTGAAAAACAAAACAAAGGAAAATTCGCCCTTCGGCGTGTTACGTAATAAAACGCAATAGAAATGGTGCGTACAGAAACGAGATGGAGAAAGAAAACAAATCGGAAACTTACCTGATAAACGGCGGCCCGAGGCAGATCCAAACAAACTGCGCAGCACAAAATTCCGCCCAGCCTATCCTCCAATTTGTATTTCTTTTCGTCGCCCGAGAAATGCGATATTTTACGCTTTTTTATATCGGGCTCGGCGAATTCCTCCTGTTTCGCCGCCTCCGCCATGAATTGCGGAGCCGATTCGCTACTCGAAGGTATAGGCTGATTATCGGACATATCTATGGGACTGGGATTAATGTCTTCGTTGATATTCAATTCGATCATTACCCAAACATAAAACAGCTGAGATGAACTCACTCCACTTCCACACAAAACCAGAAAACAGCTGACGTGACGTTTCTCGTTTGACGTTCACAGAAGACCTTCCCCCACCACCAACGATAATTCATCCCGTTTGCACGCCTTCTTTCTTTTTTCATTTTTCATATCCTTTGTTGGGCTCGAATCTCCAACGTTGCCACGTTTACCATTTTCTAAAAACCTCCTTAAATAATACAATACTAAACACAAGAACAATAGCAATACAATTTAACACACTATTTCCTAAGTGTGACGTAGAGCGTTATACGATTATATCCTCCTAACATTAATCATCCAACCCCAACAGAGAATTCTCACACGGGCCGGCAACATTGTTGACGACAAAATTAATCAGTCGCGCCAACGCAAAAAAAGTTAAGCTCAACAAATTCATGTTGGCTATTCTGATAGCATCAAGTCGATAAGTTGTCAAAGTCAAAAGTGTCAAATTCGCTTGAGAATTTACCATTTTTTTTTGTTTTTTCATCTGTATTTTCATTTTCGGTGCGCGAGGTAATTATATTACACATTGAAAATGAACAACATAAGCCCCACAACAGGTAGGCTAGCTTAATGCGCTGCTTTATTCATTATTACATTTGTTTGTGTCGTAATACAATGCAACTTATCGATAATTAAAATATCTGGCTTTAGATTTCGTTATCGCACTTGTTCTTTTACATAATTAGTGCTTCCTCTACTAGATTTATAAATATATTCAATTATCCGGCTTGTATTTACCGTCATATGACGTGTCATTCAATAGTTGCATGCTTTCCTTCCCTTGTTTAAAAATCATGGGGTTTTCAATGCGAAAACTTCTTGAACTAAACACAAACATCATTTATTGCATTCTACATCGCAAGGTATCGATAAATTACTAATAATTGCACGTTTCCATAAATCACACTTTGTTTTGTTTAGACAGTAAATCGGGTTGCCTAATAATAGGAGTTTTGCCATACTTTTGTGAAAGTAAATTTACCTTCCGAAACAAACGGTACATACAAATACTTTCTAGCCGCGTAAGCATGAAATTGAGGTTTCTAGAATAAAATCTGTCAATTTTTAATGAGCCCGTCCGTAAAATGCACAGAAATCCCAGTGTAATAAGGTTAAAATGCTCGGCGATGAAGATCCGAATTTAGACTACATCGAAGATCCTTACTTCAATCCGCAACATTCCGGCGCTACTCCCAGCCTGGACGAGCCCGACCTGAACGACTACGATCTGTTGGAAAACGAATTGGACCTCTTCGACTTGAGGCGTTTCGATTTCGATGAAATCGCCAACAACAGCCTGCACTCGCTGCCCGAAGACACCGAATCCATCAGCGTCGAGGCCGAGTTCTTCAACGTGAAGAGAGCCAACGCTATCGTACGGGCATTTTTTAAGAACAAACTAAAAAGACAAGTGCGGGTGACTTACTGTGATCTTACCAAACCCTATTTAGCTAAACTGCCGAAAGACAGTAATTTTAGGAAATATTTAGATATCAGTAACAACGGTGAGTTGATGTCCTATTGAAGGTATTTTAGGGTGTAAATTGCTCTCTATTATTAAGCACTCATCGATCGATATCAATAACATCATGTCCTAGTTTTTGCCTTATAAAATTTGCAGGAGTAAATCAATTGTGTTCTAGACACCCGTAAATAAATCTATAGTTTAGAACAGCTATTTAATAATACCTTATTAACATTTAATTCAACCGAATACATGTACACACAAGCATTAGTTTATTAATGAAGGTCGTTTGTATTATTGTTTTTTTATTGTATAAAGAGGCTAGATGTTCCATGTTCTGACCTAGAACTTCAAACTATCAGCATTATCACACGCTACATATACTCAGTACTTATACTAACTGTAAACATACATTTCGTTATTGTAAATATTGCGAGTATACAATAAACATACACATATTTTTAACCTGATGCTGTTCGGTAAGTTAATATGGTAACTAATTTATGTATCATAAGAAATCCGCTTGTAATTATACGGGGTTAATTCTTCGGCAGACGAAGCGATGGCGGCCGGCGAAACCCCCGTTCCCGACCTCTCTCACCTGTCCTCCGAAGAAAAGGCCGAGCAGGAGAGACTGTGGAAGGAGGAACTGGCGACCATCGAGGACGAGATCTCCACGCTGCGAACGGTGCTGGCCTCGAAGATGCGCCGCTGCGCCGAGCTGAAGCGGAATTTGGGCATCACCGTGTGGAAGGAAGTGTCCGAGGACATCAACCAGGGCATTAAGAACGTGAAGGAGAGCAACGTGTACGTTATTTCCCCTAAAACTTTGATGTATTTGAGTAGTGTTAGCTAGCTTAATCACTAGTAGTAGGCCATCAAACGTTATAATTTTATTTTATATTGCATGAATATTATTTTTTTTATTAGATATCAAACAGTAGAAACTAAAGTTGGTCAAGTCACTAAGGCTGTTACCGATGCTCCCATGTAAGTACCGTTCGAAAAAATTTAATACTATATTTAAGTGGCTGTGTTTGGCAGTTTCCAGACCTTGTATACAGCCATGGTTTTGAAGTAGCCTTTAATTTCAGATACCAGAAAACGACGTCTCTGATAGGCGGCATAACTGGAAACATTTCCAATAAATTCGGCCAGATGCGGCATTCCGAATCGTTTAAATCGTTTGAGGAAAGGGTGGGTTCTGCGTACGAAAACGTAAAGGTAAGATTCTTCGATTGATAAATTGAATGATAATAGAACAGTCTAATTGTTGCAGTGTTTTCTACTAACACTCGGTAGTTTTTGTATTTGTTAATTTTTTTTTGTTACTTTTGTTTTAGGGAAATGTAGTGAATTTTTACGAGGTTGGTATTTTATTTACTTTTAACAAAATGCCAGTGTTAGCATCGCTCATGCTAATGTTGCTTCGAGTAAATTTAATGTCGCCTAAAATACGTGCTTAAAGATTTCTATTTACAGCTATTAACTTTTTATGTTTGCTTGATTAATTTTTACTAATTTTTAAATTAACTTGCATGGAAATTGAGTAAAACTATTACTGATGTTTACCTACAATTTAATTAAATTTATCTATGGAAATTAGTAGTAAACTTTTCCCGCTACAAAGGTTTTTATATGTTTTCCTGACGCACATTTTAAAGGTTATTAGTTAAAAAAAAGTTACATAAATTTTGTCATATCCAGTTTTCATTCTATGGGTAAAAAGTTCATCAAGGTTTTATTTTTTATCTCTCTGTATTAACGAATAAATCTACATACAGAGTGTTCGAATAAGAACCAACGCAGATTGATATATTTTGCATCTATTTTATTGTTCATGATATTTTTAGCAAGAAATTATGGATGAATTGGTAACAATCTTTGAATTTCCCTTTTCATCCGAGTGGATACGATTTGTGAATTTATTATTTTTATTTTTTTGTAGACCAAAGTAGTTTCACGTTCTGGATCGCAACAAAGTCTGGACGATGTGGGTAGGTCAAGATCAGGATCAGCAGTGACAAGTCCAACCATTCCTGAGGAGAAACCTCTGGCGTAGGAAAAGCGAAACGTTTTGTAAAAGCGATATGGTAAACTCCGAAATTGCCTTTTTTTGAAGCTTAAAAAATGTGCTACTGTACTAATTGATTCGTTACTATTTTTGTAATAGTTCGTTAAGGTGAAACTCGGTCTATATATTTTTTAATTTATACAATTCTTAATATATATTTTTTTTGTTTGTAAAACGGAATTATTGAATCACGATTATTAAAAAGTGCATTTATTCGAATTACGAAAACGCCGACATCTCAAAATTTCGATGGAAACTTCTCAACTGCGTTTGTTACTTTTGAACAAAATAGCTTTTGATAGGTTTTTGGGTAAACTTGAAAATCTTATTTTAGTACTTTTCACATGGTGATAAGATACGATTTCGTAGTAAAATAGTTTTTGTACAGGTTAAGTTAGTTTCAAAAAATAATAAAAATACTAAAAATAGTATTTTTTCATATTCTTCTTGTAGCTTAATATTATAAAATAACTTCGTAGCTGATGTATGTATTCCTTTAATGAATATACGAATAATTTAATGGAACATATTTTAATTCACATTACCCTAAAAAAACAGGAAATTTTGGGAACTACTCAAATAATAAAAATTCTTAGTACATTAATTTTAATACCAATACAACTCTCCTTTTAATCCTAATAATACAATTTAAAATACGTGGTCTAAAAAGTGTAATATTTGTGCTAAAATACAACAAGAGAGCAACAACGAAGATCCAATTTGAAAATTTTATCACAATTCTTTCATTTGGATCTACAGTAAATCATTAAGCACATTGTAAATTTACCTACAAGTACACTTATCACTTAAAATTATAAAAAGCACTTTGTGAACGGATGAAGTTACTAAAGTATCAGTCATATCGAATGTTCTATCATTTATACATGCATAAGAAATAAAATAAATACTGAGAAATGAAAATGTAGCAAACAATATCGCCGGACAGTACAAAAAATATACTTTCCTATCGAAAAATAGAGATCATCTTTAGATAAATTGTTGATAACACTTTGACTAGCTTTCATCGGATGGCTCTTCCTTAATTTCACAACAAACCCCATCCAAACGATAAGTACTCTGTAAAATTAGTTAAAGCACGTTAAATTTTTCATAGGTATGTAATCAGACTCGGTTCTCGTCTCGATGAACCTGAAAAATATCCATTAAACGTTCAATAGCAAGCACATTCAATTTTACCACACTCCAATCGCCGCACAAACAGGGAGGAAGAAACAAAAACAAAATAAAAAACGGACCGTTTTCGAAAAAATTTATTTAACTCAGTTACACAAAACGTTACAGCGCTCACAGCCAATACAATAATTTTTATCAGACGTTTTCTACCCTTCGTAAAAGAGACGGCGGGGGCCTTCGAGAATTCAAGGTAAAAGCTCTTTCAAACGCTTATCACTTTCAATGCTCGTTTCGTTTACCCTGTATAATTGCTTAACGTGCACCGGAGGATATTTTAACGTAAAATCGAAACAACAATAATGAATTATTCGAATAGATAATCAATTTTATTTTGAAATATCGTCCGGTTTATGAAAGTTAAATTTCCAATTAGGGCACCTACACTAATAAACGATTTTTAATTAATCTATTAAACTAATCTACTTTATTGTGGAAAATAGCATTTTACTAAAAAACTTGTTTTAAATTTAACTTCATCGACTATTCGGGAAGAACTAAATATATATTTTTAAATCTAGATACTAATGTTAATATCCTTTTCAATAAAACTAAACTATTTTAATTTAATTTCGCAACGTATCGAATCTATTGTCTGAAATATAAAATTTTACAGGGTATTTCCTGAATAAACGCATCGTCGAAAAATTTTAACTGAACATCAAATATACAAATTTCCAACGTAGAAAAATCAGAACAAACTTAGAAATCTTAAGAATTGACATGTCTCCCAAGTATGAGCAAATTATACAATAATAATACATTTTTTTTCAATAAACAGAACAAGTAAAACATAACCCAATTGAACGATTTCACCCCTCTGGATCTGGTAAAAGCTTTCTAGCGCATCACAAACAGGTAAAAAATCCCAACACCAATTCATAGCCTCGATTCCTAATCACACTAAATAATTATGCGTTAATTATAATTCAAATTTAATACACAAAAAAAGCACACTTTTTTACAACTTGCAAGAGTTAATTCGATATTAAAAAAAACACACTAACAAATAAAGCAAAATAAACCCAATCAATTGAATAATTACCTACTGGATCGATTGATATATAAATTTATTAATACCACATCTACATTACTTATATCGCTCTGATTTAAACACAATATGAAAACTAATCATCGGGCTGCGCATCTCTGAAAAAATAAAACCACGATTGCTATGTGTGCGGGCTACGATTGTGAAATTTATCATTTATAAGGCTAATCGACTTCGATCAAATTTGCAATATAATATATACTTAATAATAAAAAAAATTTAGTATCGATCGAAGCTCTACGAGACACAGAGGAATGAATATTCGAGATTCTACTTTTAATTTTTTTTTTTAAATGAATTTAAGCTCGCGACGGTAAAAAACAACTCCCTGTCTGCGAGCCCTGGAGTGTTTTTTCAACTCACATTGAGTGATATCCTCTGGCTTGGCAACGGCGTCTGGCTACCAGATAGGCCACCATTATCATCACTACCAAAGCGGCCAAAACGCATCCAACCACTATCGGCACCACGTCCGAGGTGATGGGAGAAGCCTCGCAATCGATCGCTAAAAAAAACATTAAATCCTTATGAACAAAATATATTCAAGAGAACCCGCGAACCGTCAAAGAAGCCCAAAGGGCTGTTCTATCTCGGGCGAGTTTGTCATTGGGCTATTTTGTCTTGGACGGTTCTGTCATTGGGCTATTTTGTCTTGGACGGTTCTGTCATTGGGTTATTTTGTCTTGGACGGTTTTGTCATTGGGCTATTTTGTTATTGGGAAATCAAAGGAACAATACACAATGATTGTTTATATTTAAATCCAATCGGGGTAATCAAACTCGTAAAGCAATATTCGGCAATAACGTCTTCGATGAACTTTGCTTGAACAAATTATCTTACATTGTTTTACGAATGATGCGCGTTGTTTGCGTCGAATAGGATGTATAAATATATAATCTGATTCATAATTGCCTTTATCAGAATTCTACCAGTTGAAATAGAAAAATATTTTTAATTGCAAACATAAAGCGTGTATATCGCAATGGATTTTTCCGCGCTGCGAATGATATCTGCGAAGTCATAAGTTAGAATCGGATGATGGAATGTCTGAGAGAAACTTCGAATACCGAAGCGATTTGTCATCGTGCAGTCTTTCCTCGTTCTAAAATTGGCGAAATATTGAATTCATTGTAGCTAATTGTTTACGGCAAGCGCGGATGTTTTTCTTCGTTAAAATATTTTAAGAATCTCGAGTATCTTATGCGGCAAATAGAACTTACCGGAATCGAACTTGTGGCCGGTTGTATTGGCGAAAGCTTGCATTTGGAGATGGCTAATGTGCAAATAACCAGTCATGTTAGCTTCGCCTGTAAGGTTCAATGTTTGAACCTTCTTGCACTTGTAGGAATTGCCCAAAGGCGTGCCGAATTCGGAAACATTGTGAATCAGAGTCACGTTCTTGAACGTACCTAAAAGAAATAAAAATAAAAACATTCATTTATTTCTGATGTATTATCCACTACATAATTACGGACTGTTTCTAATTATTCTTCATTATCGACGAGATTTAATTACGAAAATTACCATAATCGCATTTGAGCAATAAACCTACACGATCTAAATATAAATATCGATCGAAAAATTCGAATACTTAATCAGTTTAAAATCTACTGAAACCAGAAGATTAATTTAAAAAATTGCCTATGCCTTAAACAAAATATTTTCTCAATGCCGATCTTAAATTTCTAGCAAACGAATTCCTATGCACCATTCAAAGCAACAACAATTATTCCATTCGATGCCAAAATATTTAGTTTTCGATTCGCAATCGCTCAAGGTTAATGCAATTCGAATTACATTAATTTTTTTATCGACCAAAGTAGGTGGGTAATTGCCCGGTCGCGTCCTAAAATATTTTTTCACGCTAATCGAACTAACGGTAACGTCGAACGTTTGTTTATTTTGCCGGGCGTGACAAAACCTGAATTCGTTCATTTTTTCGAAATCTCTCATCGCGAAATGCGATCTGTTCGCGAACCGTACGCTTGACTCACGTCGAATTTGAATTATTCGAATATATCAGACAAAATGATAGGGGCAATTGCACGATATACATAACACAATAAATGTGTGTTCCTGCTGATCAAGCAGGCGTTTCTGCGAATTGATAAACAAACATCGACGATAAGAGATAAGCAGTATTACAAACTCGACTAAAAACGACTATGTTGTAGTCACAATCGTCGAAAAAAAAATGAAATTTTTCAATAATAAATCGCGTTATACTTACCATTAGGTAGGCTCAAATTAAAGAGGTCAGCTCGAATCGATGCCAATGCAAATTTGCTGGCGTTCACATCCTTGGTGAAATTCATGGTGAAAACATTCTTTTCCCATTTCAACACAATGACATCGTCCATTTTGTTGCAAGCGCCGATCAACGTGGAATTAACGGGTATATTGATTTTGTTGGTGGTATTTACGGGGTATTCGATTTGAATTGCGGCATCCATGACGAAACAACTGTTATTTCCATCTTTCACCGTCCAATTACCAATGGATGGATCCGGCACGGGCTTCGGACCCGGTGTGGTTGTTGTTGGTGGTACAACTGTTGTTGAATTAGGCGAAACCGTTGTTGGTTTAGGTGCAACTGTTGTTGTATTAGGTGGAGCTGTTGTTGTTGAATTAGGTGCAACTGTTGTTGTTTTAGGTGGAGCTGTTGTTGTTGAATTAGGTGCAACAGTTGTTGTTTTAGGTGGAGCTGTTGTTGTTGAATTAGGTGCAACAGTTGTTGTTTTAGGTGGAGCTGTTGTTGTTGAATTAGGTGCAACAGTTGTTGTTTTAGGCGGAGTTGTTGTTGTTGAATTAGGTGAAACCGTTGTCGTTGAATTAGGCGAAGGAGTTGTTGGTTTTGGATGAGGTTTACCTGGAACTACAGTAGTACTATTAGCATTGCGGTTAGGATTATTACTGAATGTAGATGCAATCAAGGGTATACGAAATTGCTACAATTTAATTGCAACCTTTTAATAAGGTTACAAAATTTCTGAACAAAAATTCCAAAAAAAATTTAACAGAACAGATGTTAACTGTTAACCGTTATTGCTAAACTACAAATAAAATGTTAAAAGTAAGAATATGAAGCGACCTTCAAAATCCGGGGAATACCAGAATAAAATATTGGAAAAAATCAGGTTTTTCTAAGTTCTTTACTAACGCACAAATTACCATTTTAGAAATACAAGTCGGTGTAATGATTTTTAACGAGATTACTCAACCTAAATTATTTCCAGTCGTTTATTCTATACCATTCCCTGTTCTAAGTGATAAACTACAAGTAAATTATAAAATTAATAGGGGAATTACAATTGGGTGCCAAAGAATGCATCTTAACAAGCATAATTTAATCAGTGCATTTAGTGGAAATGTACTGTGAATAAAGGTTATCAAACTTATCGAATGGCACAAATTTGAATGTAATTAGAAATAATATACGTCTTAACGATAAATTTGCTTATATTGCTATATTAATTAAAGCTTCATATTGCTAATTATATGGGAAAGTCCCGCGATAAAAATTTTAAGAAATTATAGGAAACAAAATATTTGAATTATCCGCCTAACAGATGGTTATTCAATGCCGCTTTATGTGATTATTGTTAATTCCTGTTTGATAAAAATGTTGACCGTTTCAGATAAAAATTCCAACAACAAAAAAGATAAACTTGTAAATTATAACAAAGGTATTACAATCGTAATTGCTGTGAAAAATTATTGGTAACGGTTATTATGGTTATCGGGGGAGTGAATATCAATAAATTATAGAGGAATGCTGCGATCGTAACACGTAATTTAACCTAGACTTTTACCTGCGGTTTCCTGCTCAATTGTTTGTGCACATGCAGCAAGCACAATCAGCGGTAATATTAATAATATCTTATTGTTCCACATATTTTCTGCGGTGCTCTAGAAACGACGAAAATCTAAGTATTCTAAATGAACCACTCGCAATATCACAATTCCGAATTCACAATGCAATGATTCGTTAAAAACCTTCTAGAGCTAAACTAGCTTCCGACAAGAATGAAAATGCGCACAAAAATGACTTTTGACTTTTGACACAACAATGACAACTATGACCTTCGACAGTTGTAGGCAAATAGCCGAATACCCATGATAAGAGAGGTAAAAAAGAAGAATTCAAATGTCCGAATAAACCAGTAGCTGAGACCTCAATACAAAAAGACGAAGAAATGAATTAATCTAACTTTCAAAATAAAATAAATTAATCGACTTATGAAAGAAATGGATAGAATATGATAAAAAGAAAACGCCTGCTTAGTGTTAGAACCGCTATTTATTTATATTCTTTAAAAAATTACATTTAAGCACAAAGAAATTATCTTAAAATTTGAATATTGAGCACAAAATGCTGAGGCAAATTGTGTGCAACATTAGACCATCGTATTTTATAAATATTATTCCACGATTAAAAACTACCAAACGGAGGATGTTAGGAAAAAGTTTGGTTTCATTGGCAGTTCCTTTTAGTCGTGGCACAATTTATATTCATAATTTTTATTCATTTAATTTTGTTGCTAGAGCATATTCCAAACGAATAGTTTGTCAGTAAATATGTATTATAACTTTAGAATATTCTGTAGTAACAAAAAACGTTACTTTATCAAGTAATTAAATATACAATGCATAATAACAATGTGTATGTAGCACGAACATATCAAAATTATTATTTTCGCGGCCCTACAACAAGCGGTGTAGTTCAATTAATGAAAATCTACTCCACTCGCGTTCGGGCCCTTGTTATTGAGATCTCTCGGGTAACTGCTTTTTATTTATACAATTTTCTATTCGTAAAGAAATTATAATTACCTATATTATTGCGCAAACAAATTAGTAGTAAGTTATTTTTTTTTGTTAAAACCTAAGATGTTAGAGTGACAAATATTTCATCCCCTGTTTATGCTGAGTTTTGTCTCAAAACTGCTTTATTATTTAGATATTTTATGTAATTAAATTTATTACAATTATACAAATTGTTTAGTTAGACGTAGCGTAAGCGTATTGTCATTGACAATTATCGGAGGTCTTTGGTAAATTATTGTAGTTCAAGTAGAACATTTTTTGGACAAATCGTTATTAATTTTTCGTTTGGATAAGCGAGTCTAACAGAAAACACTCTGTATAAAAGCTCAAATGTATGAGTATAAGAGTCCGGAGTCTTGCTCAAAAGACTTTGTGCGTGACGAATATAATCAAATGCGGAATGAAATACTGGCACGAGTTCTTCCAACAGTTACGCCATGTCGGCATCATGTTTTCGTTTTTGATATGCAAAATGCATTTCGAAAAATAATCAGTCTACTATTTGCGAACTGGTAGAATTTTGTCGTTTTGAAAATTCTTATTAACTGATTATTACCTAAAAGTTATTTATTAGGATATACTAAACTCTATGAAGTACAGTTAACACTTATCTTCTGGTATTTTTATAACAATATTATTAATTTTTGCATATTCTTCTTTTTTGTTCCTTATAATAGAACTATTTATAGCAATTTAACAGTGCTTAAACACGTATCGTAGGTGTCCGTAAGTTTCATTTTTATTGGTAGGTAGTCGTGAAGGCAATCAACGCACACTTTTTGCTTTTTGTGATTTTTTTTTCGATATTGCAATTGTGATTTCGGTAGGCATTTTGGTTTTCTTGCTTAAGAGTTAATCACATCATTTTTATTTATGTAGATTAAACAATATACCGTGTGTGAAAGACCGCTCTTTAAAGAATATTTTCGAACGTTTAAAATAGTTTATTGAAGTTTTAAGTGCTAAGCAGTTTAAAAAAATAACAACTTTGGTGAAGTTTTATAAAAATTGCGTATTTATTCATCTAATACACACGGTGTATTTATTATAATTAAAAGTTCCGTATCGATATTACCAACAAAAGCAAATTCTAAGAAGCTTTTTTGATAAAAATTACTTATGTAGATGATCTTAGCGCTTCTGAATAATAAACAACAAGCCTTTAACCCTTAATTGATCACGAAAATCCAATTCTTCTTTTTCTTTTTAGAGATAAAAATTGGGGTACCTACCTTGTTGATATTAGAGTTGCCCTCAATTTTTTTAATTATTAATTAAGGGTTAAAAAGCGCCTACTTCAAAACGCGCATGTTACCTTACTGACCTATATTTGTCTGATGTAAACGACTCTAAAAACTCTTATTTACTTTATACCATTGCAACATTTACTAAAAAGCATATTAGAAAAATTATGTACTTCTGACATGCGGACATCTACGTTTAAACCTTAATTATCCAATGCAAACGAATACTGCTTACTTTTACTATAAAAGAATACGTTATGTTATGCTATAAAATCACAACGAAACATTATTTACATTAAAATCATATTAACACATTCGTCTCTATCACAACAAAAAGACGGTATGTCTTTAGCTTTTTGTTATTAACAAACTCGAATACCTCGTACAATCAACAATTGTAAACAGAAAACCTGCTGAAACTCTCTTTAATTTCCGCTTGTTGCCCTAACGATTTTTAACCAGTAACTCTAATAAAACACGCGTTTATACTATCAGTAAATGTTAATTTTTCATATGAGCTTTTGAGATTTTTTTTTGAATTAACATCAGCCACGAATGTGACGAGAGTTTCCCAATTGTTCATTCGAACAGAACGTTTACTAATTTATTGTAATGCGTCAAAAGAAACTATAGGTAATGATAAGAATGGCTGTCGTTTCGTTAGATGTATTTGCAAATTAGTGAAGTATTCGACTCCCGATGCCGTTTACCCTGGGTACACCTGTGGAAGTCAGTGACGGGTGGCCAAAGCGACCTAAAGGGTTACAGTTTCACGATTCGAAAAAATTATAGCCCCGGCAAATAAATCATTTCCTTCGAAATACTGACCCGCAAACCCGTTAAACCATCGAATGATTAATAATTCCCTATTACTTTAGTTCCATTAAAAGGTTATTTACGTACTAAGTTTTCTGCTAATAATGCACAGTTAAGACTAAACACCAGTTTAACGTTTCCTTTTCAGTATTTCAAATCGAGCAACGTTTTACGTAACAAAAATAATTTACCACATTTTTCGCGCCGACCGAGATTTACGGCGGACCCGTAAACCCCATTCGTCGAGGACTATAAGATCCTGAATCGATCCTGTTACGTAACTAACGGTGATGGCAGAGTTTTAAAATTCCTAAGATTTTTTCCGTGAACTAATATCAGGTAAACTAAACTATCTAGACCGTCGCCTTATTTTTTCTGTTATTTTTTTTTACTGAAATTTGAATTCTAGAATTACGACCGCTGCGATTTTTACTTGATGGCAGTAATCGGAGCCCTCGGCTGGCCTGCGGGGCGTCGGCGAGCTTAATCCACCATTAACTCGAAGTGGACGGACCCTCGTCTGTCCACGCGGTCGTGGAAAATGTTCTTCGCCCAGGCCTTGCATTCAATGTTGATCAGAATACCGCCTGGAAAACCCACCCGGAAATACATTCAACGCCGTATTCAGAGGGAGATATTTCATTAATTCTTAACTACTCACGTTTGGGTTGCTCGAAATGCACGGCCACGAGGGGCGAGAGATATCCATCCTGGTTTTTGAACGGGAAGTACTGGGAGGAGAATCCTCGTTGCGGAATGTATCTCAAAGGACCGATGTTTTCCTTGTCAGCCGGGTTCTCGCCCTCGCACGTTACCCACACGATTTGGTGCTGTCGAGAAACATCACGAAATTAGTCACAGTAAATTCCCCGGGCGATCGGCTTACCTCGTTTCTGGACTCCGCTTCCAGGATGTCTTTCCGCAAGTACTCGCTCATTTCGCTCGAATCGGGCAGATTGGAGGAGTTGTAATATTCGGGGTGCCAGTTGTAGATCTGGAAAGGTCGTGTTATAGAGATAATTCGCGAGAATCGGCGGTGGTTAGTACCTTGTTGAGCTTCAAGAAAATGCAAGGGCCTCCTTTCTCGTCCTCGAAGCCGAAGCCGGCTTCTTCCAAGCAAGGGTTCCATTTTTGGGGCAGCATCTTGACGTCGCAAACTTTGCCGGGCGTGGGGCTGACGAACATGCTGCATTGCTCGACGTTGTTATAATGCGGGTTGTTTTCTTTGTGGTAAACTGATGGAAAATTCGCATTAATTCTTTCAAATTATTATAATTGATGCACTTACGTTTTAAAAATGTGGCTAGTTGCTCTTGCCAATAGCGAACGTTGCCTTTATCACTACTTTTGTACCAAATTAACGTACTTTCTACATTGGACTCTGGAGGCATGGGTCTAAAACCTAGACCTGGAAAATTGTGCAATTTGTATTAGCGAGGGGCGGTGTTAAGTTTTCGTTTTTCTTACCTGGATTATTACCAATTAATCCATTCTCTAATTCCCATTTGGGTCTCTTCATATCTAAAGTTTGATAGAATACTGCTAACATAGCAGCAAAAAATCCTATTAAACATGCATAGAATAGTAGATAGAATAATAAAATTTTCCCTGAAAGAAAAACATTCTTTTAGATCGATGATTCTTATAACATACGCCGGTCCCAATTTGGCTTAGGTATAGTAAAAAATAATACAATTCCATTTTCTTAAATTTTTACTATCTGTTCATCAATTTTCCCATTCTATCGACTCTCAATAAATTTGAGTTGAGGACATTAAATTTTACTGCAACATTTACGACACCATAAAGGAAAGACGGTTATTAATTTTTGATACGTCCTACCAGTGATACCAAATTTCAAATTATTATCAAATATTTTGGGACGTTATTAAATATTGCGCATTTACACCAGCTTTCATCGCATCTGAGTAAATTTATACTCATTATATCGAGTTTTTCATCGCCTTTCGCCGCACAATCACCTAATACTAAATTATTCAAGCAGCAATGCTAAAAATAGTTTAATATTTCCTTCGCCTCATTAACTCTCAACCGAAATCCATTAAATAGTAACGAGTTTATTTTGCGTTAAAATTCCCACAACAAGAGAAAAAATAACAACCGCTATCGAAAATGAAACTTTTCGAACTCTTCCTGTCCAGTTGAACGGGGAGGAGGCCACAGCCCGTGCTGGACATCGGCGATAATCGTGGTAAATAAACGCAGTACATTCGTTTCCATATCGGTGGAAAGTGTAACTAGGTCAGTTCGACTTTGCCTTTGGATAAATGTGGAAATGGAAAAGACGGGCGAGCGAGCGAGAGGGAGAGCGGGCGACCGATCAATACGGACGCCCAACTCCCTCCATTACCGCTAAAAAGGGACCGAATGTATCTTTCCTCGGTGGGAAACAGCTGGCCAACTCTCAACCCTTGACATTACGCTGATTTGCTGGAGTTTTCCGAAAAATTGAAACTATATCGAGCGATTTTTTCAATAAACTAAAGGTATATTACTTTTATGAAGCTCGAAAAGTTTGATAAAGATATTTTGAACTGTTAAAAGCATGTAGAACAATTTGAAATTTACCGTAATAAACAATTTCGTAAAATTTATACATTCTTGTAAAGTTTTCACTAACAACCACTTTGATACATGAACCATTACTACTTATCATTTAATAAAATTTGATAAAATATGTTGCAAACTTAGGTCAAAACAATATTGATAATATATCTCAGCAAGTTTATTTATATTACTATTTCATCCAACAGATCATCTTCTTATTACAACAGAAACTCTTCCGCCATTTTCATAAAAACGAGCCATATTTTCCGGCAAAGACTTCCCAGTTCCCCTTTTTATTAGCAAATAAATATATCCTTCAAATCCAGTGCAAACCCGCGATAGCGCTCGCGAGAGTCCTTCCACTGTTCGATACATAAAAACGCCTGGATATAACTCAAACTGTACCGTTCTTTGTTCTACTCCAAACAATATCGTGCAATGAACAATTCCAGCTATTTATCATAAGAAGATAACTCATAAAGCATTCAAAATATAGGGGATTTTTCCAAGTGCTTCACAAAGTTTATTAGTTCCGTATAGACCCTTCGAGTTAACTCAATTCCTCGATATAGGGATTTCCAAACTTTCGGAAAGCCTTCGATTAATTCCATCAGCAAATAAGGTACTCCCGATCCGGCTTTATCTGATGCCGACCTTTTCACCTTTTAGCATTCGCATGGCGTCGGGGAGCATTCAACTTCACGCAAGCGTACGGGCCCGTCCGAATTTTCCGAGATTCATTCAATTAGGGGAGGAAATTGCAGCGAACAACCTGCCCGGTGGAAATTCCGACTTCGGTCTTCGGTCCATCGGCTAATTGCCGGCACTCGGCGGAATTGCTTCCAAGGGTAATTAGTCATCGCGCGAGAGTGGACCAGGTGAAAATGGACTCGACAAAAACGCGGAGAGAGAGCCGTAAAACGTGATGGGTTATTAATTATGCGACAGCGCGGTTGATGGTTGCTTAAAATGTAGATTTTTTTGATGTATTTTTAGACGGGAAACTAGAGGTGTTGGCTTTGGTTATTAAGCAACGATTAAAATGTAGGTATAAGAGAGTCTTTCGCCTTGGGGAGAGGAGATTTAAGGTGGAATATTTTATGTAGATCGTCTAAGAAGAGACTATGAAAAGTAGTTTTCCACAGGGTTTGAGTGTTTGAGCGAATCTCCCGGGAAATTCGGAGGATTTTTTGATTATCCTTTATTCTTTTAGAGCACCGGCGCTCAAGTTTCATCGAATTTTTCCATTACGCGGTGTATTTTTAAATTGAGTGGAATGCATTATTCAAATCCATTAGAATTTAATAAGTGTACAAATTGTGTTTTATTGTCTCATGGTCATCAGTTATGAAATTGCCGATTCTTCGAGCACTATTACTATAGATAGAAAATTCAATATTGACTCGACGCACTTTCATTGTAATTTCAATCGATCAATCTTTAAAATTAAACAGACATAATGCGGGTTTCTGGAAACTGTTTATTTTCTATCCATTTGTATCTCGAGGCAATTGGTTTTTAATTTGCTACCCTTATTAATTCAATGTTGATCAAATAATTTTTTGTACATTAATTAATTTGAGTAAATATTTAAATGATTCAAAAAAACTGTTAGTTATGTGGAGTGATTATCGAATTTAAAAAAATTCATTCATGGAGGGCGATATTCTGTTAATATTTTTTTTCTTGAATTGCAAGTTACACCCCCGTTAATTTTTGTTAATAGCACAGCTGAGCAATTTTTTGAATATTGATTTCGTTGTAGAATTTCAAAAGATGCGGGATTGGTATTTAAAATTAACTAAATACTTCAGTGAAAAGCGATTAAATAAAACGGGCGTCTCCTCCATTACGATTATAGCACAAAAGACGCCATTATGAAAACCTTCACTGGTGCAGCAAAAAAGGGAAAAACCGAAGGATAAGCTGGAATTTCACGGATATTTCTCGAGTAATACTCTAAAAAAATTAATAGGAAGCTAAAGAATGATTAATAGGCTTTTAATAGAAAATGTAGCAGGGAAAATTAGTACGACATTTCGCTGAGTAAAAGGTCACAAGTTCACAATTTTCATATGGGAAATTCTTGTATGAGGCTGTTAGTTTTGGATGAAACGAAACGAAATTATAATATTTTAAACAAATAAATTCACGCATTAATATAAAGAAGAACTAATTTATGCAGTTTCAATTCTAAAGAAAAATACTATATAATATAAATTAGAAGTTCCTGCAAATAGTTTAGTTTCGATTCCATCGACAAGTTAACAGGTAAACGCTACTAAATAATAAATCTAATCCGAAACCAGCCAATATTGGGACCGCACCGGAACACCTGCACATATCCCCTTTACTTACCCCAACTGGCCCCTGTCCTTCCGAGGAATTGGTTAGTTTCAGGATTCCAAAGGAACTGCTTGAATCCCTCCCATTTGGTCAAAACCGGTGGCCGCGTATAATATTCGTTCACTTTTTTGTCAGCCATCGTCCTATCGCTTTACCGTCAACTACCCTTTACGTAAGAAGGACCGTTCCTAGGGTTGCAGAACGATTTTGCGCGGTGGCTGCGGCGCACTTCGATCGCGACGGCGGCGGCGGGACGTGTGCGACGCGCCTGACTCGTCGCTTCGCGTGGCGGCGCGGCGGCGCCATCTACACCAACGCTACCGCCGATTGGGACCCCGATCGATGGGGATATTGATCCGATTGCTCGCAGGAATCTTTTCTCCCGGCGCCATAACCCCCAATACTCCGACAATCATCCAATATTTTTTTTAATTCATGAGGATATAGACGGATTTAGAGGATAGAGTGACTCTCTTGGGTAGATAATCGACTCTCTTGGGTAGATAAGTGACACTCTTGGGTAATAAGTGAGTTTGTTGGGTAGATAACTTACTCTTGGGTAGATAATTGACTCTCTTGGGTATATAAATGACTCTCTTGTATAGATAAGCGACTCTCTTGGGTATATAAATGACTCTCTTGTGCAGATAAGTGACTTTCTTGACCCCGAGCGAATAATTGACTCATGGATGGACTCTTTTGGATAAGTAAGTGAGTCTCTTAGGTATATGATGGTACATTTGGTGGATGTGTTGGTTGAAATAAAGACTAAAACATGTACTGGAATAATAATTTATTATTAAAAAATTGGATTGATCTGTGGTAAAAGAATTCAACAAAAAATAAAACAAACAGTTATCTATACCTATATGGCTACAAAAATATATACATCAATTAAAACTTACGAAGAACACAATGATAAAATTAACACTGTAAACTAAGACTGTCGTGTTTTTATTGAGTTAGATATGAAATGTTTATTGCTTACGACAAACACATTTGGTATAGGTAAAAAATTTCTCCGACGTTTCGTTACTTACAACTATGTAGAAATGGTAGAAGAAAGGCGATGTCTTAAGGCCACTTAGGCAACTATCAATACTAACGTGTTCTAACAAAGAAGCCTATACAGTCTCGGTATTTTGGAATGTATAAATTTTATTGCTCGACCCAATTAGTCGATTAGCAGTTCGAAATGGACGGAGCCTAATCTCTCCGCCCGATTGTAGATGATATTTTTGGCCCAAGCTCTGCATTCCACGTTAATTACAATACCAGCTAAAATAATAGTAGATATAATTTAGTAGAGCATAATGGGAATAAAGTAGCGGGTACTTACAGACAGGTCGTTCGAATCTAACTGCAATCAAAGGGCTCAAGTAGCCTTCGGAATTCAAATAGGGGAAGAAGTAACCCGGGAAGCCTTGCACACCTTTAGGATAGTAAGTAACAGGTCCTAAATATTCCACGTCGGCGGGATTCTCGCCCTCGCACGACACCCAAACGTTCTGGCGCTGAATTAATAAATAAAAAAACGCATTAAATTAATCGAGAACTACTCGTAAATTTAGTTCGCTTACTTCTCTCGTGTTGTTGATGCTCCTGATGTGGTGCCTGAGGGATTCGGGCATGTCGATGGGCAAGTCGTAGGGATCGTCGTAGTAGATGGGCGTCCAGCCGTAGATTTTGTTCAGCTTGATGAAAATGCACGGGGAGTTTTTGTGGTAGTTGAAGAACTGGTCGCGGTTGCACTCCTCCCAATCCCTGACCTCCACTTCGCACACTTCGCCCAAATGCGGGTAGTCGTGGTGCGAGCAGGTTTTGATCTGGCCGTTTCCTTTGGCTATTTTACTCGGAACGTAATACTCTGAAAAATGGGACCCGTAAATGTGAAGAATTCGAATTCGTCCCGCGGCTTACTGTCTAAAAACTTCAGTATGTTGTCCACCCAGTAGGTGTAGGTGGTTTTGTTGGAGCCTTGGAACCAAATCAGGGTGCTTTCTTCGTTGTTTTCGGGCATCGGACGGAAGCCTAAGCCTGGATTGGTGCCTATTAGAGATCTGTCGAGCTGCCATTTCGGTATTCGGGGATCCAGCGTTTGGAAAAACACCCACATGCATACTGCAACTAAAGCTGCTAGCATTCCATAGAATATGAAGTAGAACAGGCCGATTTTAGCTAAAAATATACAACAGAATTTCTAATATTATTACCAATAAAATTGGATAAAAATTGTTTGTGTTATGTGGGGAATAAATAGGTTTTTATATTGTGCTTGTTCTGGTCCTATAGGAGTATTTTATAAGTACTTTGTATTGTATACAGCAAACTTAATGTAAACAAAAATGACACATAGAGTGTTGACACGCCTATTTCAATCAATGCGCGCTAGGTTTATCAACCTTTATAGCGCGTTTTGTATATCGATAAAACCGAATCCAGCACGAAAACAATTATAAAAAACAACAATTTACCAATATCTTCTTTGCTCCGTTCCCTGAAAAAAGTCCTGCCCGTTTTACCGCCGAAGCCTCTGCTGCCTTCGTTAACGTAGTAATCGAAATTCCGTTGCACCGTCATTTTCGCAAAACTATCGAATATTTATTTACACGCACTAATACTATATCGATACGTAAAAAAGTATAAAAATTCGCACGTTAACCTAGAAATTTAATTCGATACGAGACATCGTGTCCATTCTACGAATCTACCATTCGGCCAGGTAGGCGAGGCACGTTGGCTGTTCATCAGCGTCTTTAGAAACAGTAACCACCAGAACCGGAGTTGTACAGCCGACCAAACGAGCCTTTAACGAGGTTACCTACAGCCCATTACGAAGCAATCGCTGGTCTAGACGTTCGTACAGGTGGGGACTTATACACTACATGCAGTATGAATGTACACGTTTGTAGTTGTGGTCATTCTCGAACGAGTTGTTTTGTTTGTATGGTATTATACCAGAGGATCGTTGTATACGAGGATCGTATCATAATTATTTTAAATGTTCGAAAAGTTCGCTAGGAAATGGGTTAGTTGTAGGGTACCTGAAATGGTACTTAATTAAAGTGTTTTGAAATTTTTGAATATTCAAAAAGTTATTTAATAGAAAGTTACTGAAACAGGAAGGAAATAATTAAGTGTATAGGCAACGAAATTTACTGGATAAAACTGGTTAAAACTTCCAGTAAACCATCAAAATCCGGCTAGAACTGGAGAAAATTATTTCCATAAAAATATAAAAAGTTAATTCTGTAAATAATTATAGAAGAGTCCCTTTATATTGACTTATCGTCATGTCAAAGGTTGCGATATGCTTCGACCGCTTTATTAAATTTTTCTTCTGACTCATTACGTGATACATTTTAATCTAATTAAAATGGATGAGCACCGCTCGGAGGAAATCGTAAATTGCTCGCGTATTGCGGAGTTAATTAATTTTTTCCAATAAATATTTGTTAGTAAGCTTTAATCAAACACAGGTTTAATTGAGCAACTTTAATTTCCAGCATTTTTATAACAAACTCACCCCAACTTGTGCCAGTCCTCCCGAAGAACTGCCTAGTGTCCGGATCCCAAATGGTCTTTTTGATCCGCTCCTTCTTGGTCAATTTCAGCTCGTCTAATCTCAAGAAATACTGCGACTGCACGCTCAGCAGCTCGTCCTGCTTGCTCGCCCTCGATACCTGCGACATCTGCGACACCTGCGAGATTTTCTGCTTTTCCCTCGACATTTTCCTGCTTTCGGATATCGAATTTCACCAAAAAAGGGATCGTTCGTTAGTTGCACTGGTCACTTTTTTCCTTAAGATGTACTCGGATGACTATTAGGAGCATTTAAATTCGTCAAAAGCGTTCTTTGTAAAGTGGACAGTAGGAGGGCCCGGATATTAGCTATTTTGTACGTGAATAAATACATCCTTATCAGCAGTTCTACAACATTAGTACATTGTAGTTCATGTGATATGCAAGATGAGATTTTTCTGTGTATTTTTTATGTTAACCAATATCTAGTATCGAATCAAGCAAGCAGAAGTCTTGGAGAAAACATTTTACTTCTAAGTTAATGGTGTATGAATCCCCAGAGGAGAGGATAGTTGATTTGTAGCATAAAGGCAATTCTGGGTAATTTAAAGTTGCCCAATTAGGGCATTTGGGCAACAGACAGATGATGATAAAGTCTTAGAATAGTTTCGAGGTCGTTGCGAGCAATAAAGTCCCATTTGAGAACTTCTGGATTGCAAACACAATTTAATAATCTCTAAAGCTACATGTACCATGATTGTAATAAATTTACCTTGGCGAAAAACGGTTAAATTTTCCAGACAGACCGAATTGTAGCAATAAAAATTTGTTCTAATCTATCTTACGCGTCACTGATGCGTAAAGTCTTTTATACCCAAAAATGCCCCGACCTAAAGAAACTAGATTAAAACATATACAGTTTTTTACAAAGTGAGTACTTTATTAGACAATATCCAAAGAAAACCTCGCGTTAACATAAACTTTATACAACCTAATTACACGATTCACTGGGACCTCTTCTCGCCCTTTTCCTCGCTCCTCTCCTTGATGGCCAGCTCCGCGTTCTCCACGATCGCAGCGTCTCCGACGACGTTAACGTCCGGCTGGTGGGTGGCGAAATGGCTGGCGAAAGTGGTGTAACCGGGGTAGTAGATAGCAGGGGCGTAATTGTACAAACCATCGATGCCGTAAGAGTAGCTGAACGCAGTCGAAGCCGGGCTGGATTTCACCGCTATCGCCGGAGTCACGAACGATTTCACTGCTACCGTCGGTCTGAAAAGATGTTACAATATGTACTTGGTAATTGGTACTAGTGTGTAAATAACAAACCTGTAAGCTACTGGTAGGTACTGAGCAGTAATTGGAATGCTCGATGATATAGCGACGGGTGTTTCGCCGTATTTCAAAGCGATAGCGGATCTTGCAGCTGGAATATCCACGGAATTACCAACTTCAGTTTGCACCGCTTCATTTACAGCCCGGTTCTACAATTAATACTATCGAATAAAACCATTCCTGATGGGGAATAAGGTACCTTAGCTTCCTCCACGGCGGCGAAATGCTGGTTCCTCGCTTCGATCACCTCCGGCGTGTCTTGTACAGGTACCGGCACGGCCAAGGTTGGTATTTCAGCGGCTACCGGCGCTACCGGCAGATTGGAAGCGGCCACCCTGAAGCCTCCCTGGTCAGCTGCATACTCCACGGATTGAATTTTACCGTTGGGATCCACGTAGCTGTAGCTGCCCAACACCGAACCGTCGATTGATCTGGAACCAGCGGATTAGCGTGCGATAGTAAAGGAAGAAAATTCTCACCTGGCCTCGGACTTGGCGGACAAAGGGTTGGTGTAGCCGTAGGTGTATTGTCCCAAGGTGTCCTGAGCGTGGTACTGGCTGGAGAGCGGGGCGGCGAAGGCCGCTATGGGGGTGATGAATCCGGTGGTGGTGGTGGCGGCGGTGCAGGCCAGAATGGCGGAGAAGGCGATGAAGACGTGCATGTTGATGGGGTAGTTTGGCGCTGCTGATTCGATCAGTACTCGCTGAACTGATTCGAAATGAATCGACGGCTGGTTTTATACACGTCGGAGATGCCTTAAGGGCTCGCCGAGGTTCCTGTTTGCTCCGTTTTTAGGTTTTGGTCGTTTTAATGGAGATCTGGAGGCAGTCGACTTTGAAAGATGTTTATTGTTTCTGGTTTTTAGTGAGAAGCAAGGACGTCTGTTGAGTGTGGAAGACAATGACCGGTGGCGAGTCTGCATACACTGTATCACATGTGTTAATTAATCTTTATTTTCTAAATAGCCGAATTTTCCTATAAATTATTTAATTAAGAAAATAAATGTGCCAACTTTTAATAACCCTACAATACCTCTTTCGATACATAACCTCTACTTAAAAGAAGATATAGGTACAACTGAATACATATGAATGTTATAGGTAAAAAATGTAACCAACTTTAGAATTGCTAAAGAATGCTTATTTATTATTGATTAAAGATGGATTTAAAGTTTTTGCCAATGAGTGTATGCATTTGACAGTATTTCGTGTTGAATTAAGTTATGATAATTTGATAAAACTGGCCGTATTTGATGTGGATCGAACCACACCCAAGGTGGATGGGTGCAAGAATTCTTCGATCGGGTTTATCTTATTAATATATTAACAAGTCTCGTAAGATTTTTTATAATTAAAGTTGTCGAAGCATTTCCTATAGATTTAAGTTTTTTTTATTCTTTTTTTAGGTGTTGTTTTTGAATCGAGAATTCCTAATTAAGGTATTGCAATGATGGAAAATAATATGCATTTTTGAGGAAATTTGGTTTTTGTAATCAATTTTTTGTAATAGTATATTTCAATACACTAATAATCTTTTATCTGAAAAAAACACGTGTGTTCGACTCGTAAAATGGCCATAACCATGGGATTAAGCAAAGTCTAAGGAGAACAAATTATTTCAAATTGAGAATTAATGTAGAAATAAGGAAATTGTATAGAAAAGCATTTTAAATAATAATCTAATACAGCGGAATGTTCTATATTCTCAATTAAAAATTTTGCTGGAGTGTAGGCAACCCACAATACATTATGCCCGGAATAAATTCGCCATCTGCAGGACTTATTTCAAATTTGTTGAGCTACTTCATCAAAAAATGGTGGAGGCACATCGCTCCTCCACCATACTTTCTTCATTACCAAAAATCATCTTTAGTCCTTTTCTAAAGCTACACAAAGTTTATTTTTCTATTAAAATAGAAGCAAAAAAAAACTAAAAATGTTTTTTTTGAGATCAGCGACTTTAATTTGAATAAAAGATTGTAAATCTGCAATATTGCACAATCTTAAATTCACATTGGAATTGTAATGTTTAGCAGAATATTCTACAAAATTTGGTGCTTAATTTCATTCATATTGACGATTTTCTCCAAATAATCTCCAATTATAAGTGATATGAATCATCTGAAAATCCCACATTTTCCAATTATAAATAGAATTAATAAGAAATTCGTTACTGAAAACATACAGAACAAGTTTACTTCTAAATACCCCCTATACTTTTACAGCTACATAGGTAGTAAAATTTCCTGCATTGAATATTAATCAACCGCGTCTGCACAAGCCTACAAATCCAAACTATATTTACTTATTGATCCCCGCTGATAATAAATCAATGTTGCATACACTATAGGTAAAAGTGTACACAGAAGTGACGAGATAAAATACCCCCTACGATCCCGCTTCGTTTAGCTCTCACGAGGACCTGTTGAATACACCAACCAGCGTGGACGAAGGGTTGAAACAAGTCGAGCGAGTTCCTTTCAAATCCCACCCTATACCCTCGAATTTATTCCACCGATTATTTTTAGCATCGTGCACGTCGAACTTCCTGCAAGTATAACGAGCGCACGCGGTTCGGTAATCCCGACGAGGCGGCGAAAAAACGCGAAACCCGCCGTTAAAAGTCTACTTTACCACGCACGCATCCGATCCGCGTACATCCACACGGTTCCATTCCATTCCGCGCGTTTGTTGCTGGCGCAAAACACGGTTTGGTAGACCAGACACGTTCGATATCGGAAGGACTTCGAACTCGGTAGCTCGAAGACCGCAATCGAGCCGCCTCAGCGGTACGAAGAAGAGCAGCAACAAGCCGATACACAGAGCGTTGCTAGGCAACAGAGCGTCAACCTCCCGTCGTCTTGTGTTCCGTGAGTTGTCTTGATCGAGGCGGGTTGTCGTGCTTCGAAAATGAACAATGCGGGGAAAAACTCCGACAATGGAGTGGCTGAATTCCAGTTCTATCAGCCGACGAACAGGACTAAGTGGGAGACCTTCCAGCTGGCCCTTTACGATAAATCTTCTAATCAAATTTTAGGAAGAACGCCGAAGAGTTGGGGTATGTAGGATGATAATGAAACTGCTACGTTTGCTGTGCAACTGCTTTGTTTATTCGTTTTCTATATGCGCTTTATATCGATTTAAATGGTACCGAAATAAGTAGTTTTGATTCCCGCTATTATATGCAGTACCTACATACTACAAGGATTTACTACATTTACTACATTTAGTGAAAGTTGAATATTATCCATAAATTTTCCTCGAACTAATTAGAAAGTAATAAAAATTAACAAAATTAATTTTTTTCCAGAAAATCTTTAACACGAAAATAGTTACTTCTACGAAAATATTTTGTTTCAAAACATTTCTGTTTCCTAGTAATTCGACTCTTTTAAACTCCCTTTTACACGAATCAAACACAAAGACAAGCCAAAAGGCCTGCGTTTTATTTTTAACAGATGTTTCTAGCTTTAATATTTCTTGGTAAACCATTCTGAGACACCCTGTATTTTCTGAAAACTGGACTTCTTAGATCGTATATGTTATATGCGAGCGATTTACTACACCTGGTTGAACCAATAACATAATTAAGCCTTGCTACTATTTTCTATTTTTTACATGCTTAACCTTGGATATACTGGATGCCTGAAACTGATCTAACTTTAACTAATATGTGAGGCAGAAGTTCCACTTGGAGTATTTTCAATATTGACATAATCCGAGTGCTCCGGTTGTATAATTAAACGAGATATTCCAATAAGAATCCCGACAATTTCATTCAAATATTCAGCAATTACAGAAATATGAACTAATTTGTGTAACATTAAAATTTATAAATTTACTATGTTCATTTTGAACTGTTGAAAATTTTCTACGCTACCTACATGCATATCGTATTAATGATATACGAAGCGCATCGCTTGTGTTTTACAATAACTATTCATTGTATCAAAGCGTTAACATTTACTTAAAAGATAGGAGTAACAACATTTACACACAATTGTGTATGTACTTAAAAAACACATCAAATTATCAATTTATAGGTACTATTAGATAACAGCACTCTATTGAGGGGAAGGCTAATTGGATTTTTTGCATATTTTTAAACAATTGGGTCTAAGATAAGTAATACAATATGTGAAATTAACATAACGAATAATTATTATGTACTCAATTCGGTTTAAAATGTAATTACTTATCACTTTAAAAAATATAAATTTTCGAATTCGAAGAAGTGTTCAAGATATAAAAGTTTTCCATCAATTAAGCTAAAATCTGATAAGAAGCAATCGTCATAAATTCGATGAAGGGCAAAAAAATGATATGTCGCTGTATTTTTTATCAATTACGTATTGAACTTCATAAAATTTTCATCAGCAATTCCGTTTAGAGTCTACCTCAACAGTTGTTCCTTTAGGACTTTTATAGGTCACTTATCGCTGTTTTGTTCTAGAAAATGCAAGAAACACATGATTTGACAATGTCCTCGCCGATCTGATGCTTATAGCATCTGCATCGAAATGTGATTAATTCGCAGTCTATCGCAATAATTGTTTTATTATCCACATTATTTTATGTTAATATAGGTCAGCAATGTAGGTACACGTATGGTAAATTTTACTGCACTTTTTTATTCTACTAAACTTGCTCTTTTTCAGACAAATAACATGGTGCAATAACGAGTGATAACTGATAAACCTACCTACATAGAATAAATATTTATCGAAACTATTGATATATGCTACATTTTTTATAAGTTCCCTTACAATAGGTAGTGGTTTCCTACGTTTCGTTCAATTCATTACATTCCCCATTCGAATATAATTGCTTAATTGAGTAGCTGAATAGCATTGTTGAAGTAGCAATATCCGAGCATTTAGTTTAATTTGATGGGAGATTCGTATGTAAATTAATTAATATATTACGTGTGTAGGTACTGAACATTACCTAAGGGCATGCGAGGCGCGCCTGCTACTCCAGCAAATTTAGGTGTGTATGAAAGACAGGAGTACTTAGTTAATTAATTAAAATCTTGCAACGAAATAATTCGTAAGAACTCTTCTCTGTAGAATGAATTTCAAGTTCGATAATATTTTTATCGAACGACTTATTATTTCGAATAAAATGCATTATGCATTACAACACTCAGTTATGCAATAGACTCATGCATAAAACCGTTTGTATCATTGAACTAAACTTGTTTATGTCGCTTAGTGAAGCAGATTCGATTTTAGCTGTGTTAAAAAACGTTCAGGTTTTCAATAATCTAGCCGTGGAGCTGTTACTGCTTGTTGGTTAGATCTAAAATTATACATTTTCCTATAACGCGCTTAATAAATCGGGAACGAGTTTGTAAACAAATTTCCTGCGGACGGTAAAACTTCCTCTATTATCGATAATCACTTCAATGGCAAATGTAGTCGATTTGGTGGTGAGTTTATTTCCAGAAACACTCGAGAAAAGGCAAACAAATCAATTATGGCAGCGTATTGACTAGGCCGACGTAAATAAAGATTTATTTTTTTAATAATTTATTTTTATCCGGAGGCTACATTATAAGGCTTTACGTTGCTTTCAGTTCACGTTTGAGTAGAATACAGTAAAAAATATCCATTAAATTCCTGGTATACTATCCATCAAGAGAGGAATTATTGTTTCAAAAACCGGTTCCTGTCTATACAATTCCTTCGTGCTCTTGAAATGTCTTTAGGTGTTACAATTTGAAGATTAATGATTCTAATAAAAACTGTTTTACGAGATGTAGGGATTAGGTACACATTTTTACAACAATCAATAAAAATTAACGAAATAATAAGATTCGTTTGAATTGTGAAATGATCTTTATACTTTAGCTGTTATGTAAACTTGATTCAAGAGTTTCATAAATCGTAAACTCGAGATAAATTGATTTTATTACGTACAATAATTAAAAAAGTTCAGCTATAAAGCGAAAAATAAATATCATTAAAAACTTAGGACTAATCTTGAGTGTAGAAAAAATTCCACTGGTTGCTCCAGAAAGGCAATTAGAAGCTCCATTGAAACGAAACATTCATATCGTCAATTCCTATTATTTTTTTTATTTTATAATAATATAATTATTGGTTTATCATTTTATTTTATAATTGCTATAATAATAGAGTAATAAGTAATTAAATAGACTAGTAAAATAGTAGTTTTGTAAATAATATTCTGAGAGTTTGCGAACGATAAACAAAGAGCACAATAATCTGGACATTTATCGGTCTGGTGCACTTCTTGTCTACCCTATTTCACCATTATTGCAATCCTGTGTCAGGCTAAATAGGACGAGTGGAATCTTTATATACAGAGAGATAATACCGATCGTTTTAACTTCAGCGAAAAAGTTTGTTTAGAGCCTTTTTTCTATCGTCATAAATCCAAATTTTATAGCTTTTTACTCGGTAAATCTTATTGTGATTCAAAATTCGTGCGATACTAATTATGTTTCTGCGAAGCAAAAACCCACTTGCCTTTGATGATTATATTTTTAGAATCATCAGCCATCTTTCCATTGGCATCGACATAATGCAGGTTTTCGCGATTTTCCATGAATCCAATATCATCATTAAATTATCGCGTTTTAAAATTTAAAACTATATTTTCATGTAGCTCGATTCTATTTAAAATATTAACCTGCCTAATACTCGCTACCACGTTCTAATTTCTGGTTATTTACCTATCCTATTTACCCGCATTTGAATTAATTTAATTGTTTGCATAAACGCGTTTAAGTGCCTTTAAAATTTGGATCACGTACACTAATTACCGATTAATTCAAGGTTGATAGTTTAGATATTTTCGTATCCCACCACATATAATAAAAGAATACTTCTACAACAAATTATTGTGTTACTTTACAAATACTAGTAGATATATTTTTATGTAATAATGTAGTTAGATTACTTCGATAGTTTCCAGCCAATCAAACATGTGCTTACTTTAATTAGTACTGACATAAATTTCGTGGTATTAAGCCGGAAGTTGTTATCATTTTACAGCCTTTTCCGGGCAGCTATATGTGTGTATTTAACCGAAAACAATACATTTGTTTTCGTGCGATTTCGAACTCATACAGGGCGTTTAATAACACGAATACAGCAAAAATTCGACCTCACAGCGTATGAATTCGAGAGCGATTGCGGCCGCTCGGAATTATTGAAAAGTCATGAATTCCTTTTATTAATTCATACTAATTTATTATCTGAATTCAAACAAAAATAACAATAATCGAGAGGTAAGCAAACTATTCGTATCGCGTTATTATCATTCTTTATTATTTTAATCTAAGGCTTTATCGCGGGCAAATGTAAGTTGACTATTGGAAAATCCAACGGTTTTTAAAGTCAGTATATTACAGGGTGGAGCAATTCGATATTCTATTAAATTTATTACTTTCTTTGTTCTACTCAAAGAATTGCAAATAAAATTTGCACTTACCCATATGTACAGATATTTACAGGGAGTCCCTGTCATAGGAGAGAAACTTTATCAACATTGACATCTGTAATTTCTGGAAAAATTCCTCATTTAACATTGCAAATTTGAGGTTACAACCACGAATGTCACATTGGCAACTTCATTTATTAAAATACACAAATCTCCGCATTCAAGATTCCTCGAACTTGCACAAATTATGGTACTCGAATTATATACTCCGCAATTCTTATCTAACCGTTTCATTGCAGGGCAACTCCTCGTATTCTATTCCATCTTCTACATAGTACTAGCGGCGTTCTTCGCGATTTGCATGCAAGGTTTATTCGCCACGTTAGACGACAAACAGCCCAAATGGAAATTGGGCGAGAGTTCGATCGGAACGAATCCCGGCTTGGGCTTCAGGCCCATATCTAACAACACCAAAGAGGGCTCGTTGATTTGGTACAATCTCCACAACAGCACCACCTCCCAGCAGTGGATCAACCTGGTCGAAGAATTCTTACAACGTAAGCGATTTCGATTTTTCGATTCCAATCACCTCGTTTCGGCTTCTAAAAACATCGCATTTTCCAGCTTACAATGCCAACCAGTCGGGCAAGAATTTCGCTGAATGCACCTTCGAAAGCCCGCCCGAGGAAGGGAAAGTGTGCAAGACCACGTCGGACCACTTCGGGCCCTGCACGCCCCAGAACAAGTACGGCTACAACAGCCCCTCGCCTTGCGTCTTCTTGAAGCTGAATCGAGTAAGTCGCAGCTATCGCCTAGAAGTAGGGCTATCAATTTAGTTAAGCTTACGTGATTGCCTTTCAGATCATCGACTGGACGCCGAGGGTTTTCAACTTTTCCCAAGCGGGCATGCCCCCAGAGCTGGCTGATTACGTTGATAATGTAAGCATAGAATTTGGAAATATAATTTTGAGTTAATTGGATGATATTTTCCAGTTGAATGCGACTAACTCCACGGAACGTATGGTGTGGGTGTCGTGCAACGGCGTGACCCCCATAGACAAGGAGCACATTAAAGGATTCAACTACAGTCCTAGAGGCTTCGCCAGTTATTATTACCCGTACAAAAATGTAGACAACTATTTAAGTCCGATCGTTGCCGTACAAATCGTCGACGTCACACGTAAGTTCGGTATTTTTAGAATGTTTTTCGGAAAGATTTTTCGGTTATTGCGGGATTACGATTGCATTCGAACGAATATGAATTGTATGTACGTCTGTTTTCTGGCTCGGTTCTGTTTGCTTGTACAGAGAGGGATCCGTTAAATATTTGCGCGAGTTATTGATCAAATTGTTTGCTTTTTATCTTATATCATTAACGCGAATTCATAAATTTCCCTTTGTTCGACTGTTAACTAACTATAAAACGACTAGCTGATATGTAGCTGGTATGTTTATATCCTCCGAGTTTGTTTACTTTAAACAAGTTTCCATGCATTTCTCGTCTTTCGCAATTAATATAAAAGCCTTTTTATTGTTATTAATTCTATTAACGAGTCGGAGTCGGTTCGGCTTCAATACACATATCGTTCTATTTTTACGCTTATCGCTTTCCGATTATGACGTGAAATCCGATCAATTTTGTTTATCCCCCATCGCGCGCTCGCCGGACCTTTTAATGCGGGATCTCCGGCCGTTTCGCCGCGCCCTTTTCTTCCTCGGGGTACCTGGATATATAAACTATAAACGGGCGTGAGTCATTCGCACGTATAGCCGGTTTGCGCCGCTCTAAACCGGACGCTCTAATACAGGTCCGGCTCAACGGACACCTGTAGTTCCTTTTCCAAAATTAGAACTCTTCTACCCTGCTGCATCTGGTTTAGTACAAAGTATAACAGCAATATTTTGAACATTTGGTCGTTCATTGCAAAAGAAATAATTTAAATTTACTGGTATTGTATTGGTGGAGAATTGGGCTAGTTTTGCGTTATCAATGGTTTTGTATTGTGGCGTTTAGAGTATTTTTTTGTAACAAAAATCGAGGGATTGGATGGAAACAAAGTGCTTCTCTGCGTTCTTTTCCATTGTCATTTCCAGCCTTGGTTCTAATTGATGAGCCATTACAGGAAATGAGCTGTTATTTTCCGCGCCCTTAAAGATGTCCGATCGCTACATTAATAAAATGTGTGTCACGGTCAGCGGTAATAAATTAACGCGACCGGGGGTTGTTTATCCGCGTTCCATAATTCCTGTCGTTTCGCGCCCACGAGTGAACGATGCCCCTTGTAAATTATGCAAAATATGCTTCAATAACGTGTTGAATTTGCAGCCAACGTCGTCATTCAAGTGGAATGCCGCGCCTGGGCGGACAACATTAAATACGTCGGTGGTTCTTTGAACAGGGCTGGTTCCGTGACGTTCGAGATCCAGGTGGATAAGATCCCGGTGAATTCGACGACGGGCGTGAAATCGCCGATGGCGTCGGCGTACAAGGATAAAATGCCGTCGACGAGCGCCGTCGAGGCGCCGACGACGGTCAGCGCCGTTTTGAACGCGTCGGTCGTCGGTTCCACTACCGCTTAGTTAGATACTTATGTAGTATGTGCCATATTGAAGGTGGAGGAGTAGGGTAGTAGAGGAGTTGTGCTGTTTTAAAAAAGATCAATCTATTTTTTTAGAGAATTGAAATTTTTTATACGTCGACAAGTTCTTGTGTTGCTCCTCTGAGGAAAAGGTAACTTTTGCACTTATATGCCTAGGTATTTGAGTGAATATGTGTGAATTTTATTTATTTTAACGTATACTTATAACGGTTGTACTTAATTTTTTTCGGCGAGTTCGGCTAGCTGATTTTTTGTTTTACCCTTTTTCCTTTTTTTGTTATTTTTTTTTTCATAGTTTTATTTAGGCTTGGATGTTTTTAGGCGTAGATACTTATTGTGACTTTGTTTGTTATAACTTTTGAATAAAAATAAAAGTACAATGAAAGTTTATTAACTGACAAAAAGAGATTTTTTGAAATTAGAAAAAAATATATAAAATATTTCATTAAATATTTTACTAAATATGTATATTTGAAGGCGACAGTATCTCCGAAAATAAATAAACTTGCACTTATGACTCAGTGAATAATGATCTTTTGTATAATATTCAGATATAATCTAGTTACATAAAATATGCAAAAATCACTAAAGAATCAGTTTATTTGCTCTCAGATTTACCGTCTCCTCAAATACCAACTTGTTTAAAATTCATTTCAATAATATTAAGATATAACATATTGTTGCGCTTTCATGCTTTTTGTTTACAAAGAAATAAAAGACATTTTCTTAAATTTACAAATAAGTATTTTCATTTGGATTTTTTTATAAACTTTTTTCTCAAAAATTATCACTCATAAATTCATTGGGTGCTTGAGTAACCTTGTAAATAATTACTAGATCGTAGTAGGCAATAGTTTGCAATCCAAAAATTTAACTTATCAAATTCAAATTTTCCAGTAACTCTGACCTCTGATATTACTGACAGTTGTCTAGTTTTGTCAAAAGATATATTTTATCCATTTTCGATTGCAATTAGAATATTTAGTTTCCTTAAACCCCTTAAATGCCAATTAATGAATATTTTTAAGCAATATTCTAAAATAAGTTAATAGATTAAGAAACAGGTGCTGGATACCTATACTGACATAGGTCGACAAATGACACTAAAAATTTTCAAGAGAAAGAAGATTACTCTAACCTCAAAACTAAGTATTATTGTTTTGATACAAGTTTCAAGATAAATAACAAATAATAATTTTATGATTAAATATGAAACCTGCGATTGTGGCTGATGAAATGTTCCCAGAAGGTGCTGGACCTTACATGGATCTAGAGGAAGTATGTTAAATGTATGTTATTGTCGAATGTAGCTGTATTACCTCAAACTTATTTTAGGCAGGAGGCTCTTCAGGATTATTAATGGATTTGACTGCAAACGAAAAAGCAGTACATGCCGATTTCTTTAATGGTATACATGATTTTATAGTAGTTATTTATTTACAAACCTAATTGATAGTAGATAATGAAGCTGTGCATTATTGTACGAGTCCTATTTTCGTTCTTAGCTAAATATTCTTTAAAAGAAACATTTAGCCTTGTCCTTTTAGGCTAGTCAGCTAATGTTCATTATTTATCCATTTACTTGTGGCGTTTTAGATTTTGAAGACCTCTACGATGATGAAGACCTGCAATAAAACCTAAGTCTAGTCAATTGTATTAAGGTAAAATAAAAGGCCTCGTGCCAAATTATGTATTTAATGAAAATGTTTCATTTGCCAAATATGTACCAAAAATGTTTGCAGCAAATCACAGTTCAGAAGGTTGAAATTTCGGGTGGCATTACATTTTAGTATAAACAATAAAAAGCTAATCTAGAAAATGGCATCTATTAAAAGGATTGTTCATTCTATACATGATGATAAAGAAATACAATTATTGGATCAGACAGAGTGGCACAGGAAGTGTTATTTTTTACAGTACTTTTGTGCCTAATTTTACAGATGAGGTCTCTTACAAATTGGACGATTTCTTTATGTAAAAAGTTAATTGTGCAAATGTCTATGTTATTTAGACGTATGGACGTTTGTTCTCACAATTACTTTTACTTGAATTGAATCAGAATTGTAAATCAAATAATTAATCAAGCATAAATATCAAATTTTATAGAAACTAAATATTTAGTTAGAAAAAAAAACGCATCCATACTCCAAAAGTGTATACATTCATAAAAATTCATACCTCTATCTCAATAAAATAATAAAATTTAAAAATCAAACATAATTGTATGAATGTACGATCTAATACTTATATTTACGATCAACAAAAAACTTGTCCTTCAAAAAATATATACAAAATTAATTACAATAAACTTCTTTCTGCCACATGCTGCTTTCCAAAAAATATATATTATGTACAAAAATGTAATACAGGTGAGCCAAAAATTGGAGCATACGAATAAAATTTACATAAATAAAAAAATCAAGCTTCTGAAAGCCTCTTTTTGAACGAATCTGTTACCTAATCCTATTTTGGCATACATTTTTTGGTCCACCTTTTCATGAAAGAAAAATTTAATTCATTCGTGATCATAAAACTGTAAGTTTTAACCCTGCTATATTCACCTCTAAGTAAACAATTGTCGAGTAACTAACAGGCACTTTGCTTGAAAGTAAAAATAGCAGTTCTCAATATATTAGAAATTAAAATCTCTTTATATAACTTAACTAAAACGATGCAATGGTTCAACAGGAATTACTTTTCGCCTTTGGAAATAATAAACTAGTGTTGTCGATTCGCTGTTTTTAGATCAAAAATGGATTAATTACATATTTAAATAAGTTACAACTATTTTGGTCCACTACAAAGAATATCAAATAAATATTTACAATCATTAGGTAGGTATTTATTCAATTTAAGCACTTTCATTTGGATAGATCAATTATTATTATTACCTTATAGTCAAGTATGAATTCTAACAAAAAAAACAATCGTATGGCGATTAACAAATTGTTAAATAGAAACGTGACATATTCTATAGATATAACAAAAAAATAACAATCATCTAATTATAAGCCTTACAAAATTGAGATGCGATATCACGTTCTATTCGGATGTTAAGGAAAATACTTTTCATAATAATAAAAAAAAAACGTTCCTATTATACTCATAAAACGAAACCATCGAAACATATAGTACGTTCAAATTTCGTCCAGCTGACGATACCATAAAAAGGAGCAATATATAAAAAAAAAATTAGCAAACACTAATGCACATCGTTGTCACTGGAAAGATCCGATTCCACGTCTTCCTCGGAGAAGTCCTGAGGACTGGGCGACAAAGGATCGAAACTGGACGATTGACGAGAATTTTCCTCGTCTAGTTGAGTTTCCACGAACTCCTCGGCGCTGAGCATGGAAAAACTCGTACCAGCTCGAGCCTCCTCCAACACGTTATCGAGAGAATGCTGACGACCGTTCGCTATTTCTTAAAAAATATACCGGGTGTTAATACATTTCATAAAAATATCCGGAGTAATAAGAAAATTATAATAGAAAAGTATTTTTTTTTCTAAACTGTAGCTCGAAAACCAAGAGGTTTAGGACGTATATTGATATAAACTTTTCTTCTTAAAATCAACCAAATATTCACATCCTGAAGAAAATAATCCCGATATTAACAGGAAATACGTACTGTCTAAATATGGCCAAAGCGACTCCGGTATTAACTTCTTCAACTGAGCTAGATTTTCTTCTGTACAAGTCCCATTATCTAAACCTGTAATTATGAATTAAGTACGTTGAATATACATGAAGCAAACACGATTTTAACGCAACTAACCTGAGAGCATGCCAATTGACTTTAATATCTCCACGTCGTCGTTTATCTCGAATTTATCGTTAAATTGGAACAGATATTCCATCCTATAAAGAAACCCGTTAAACTGAATACTCGCTATAAAAAAACATTCACTTACTTATCGTTTGATATACTACAATTAATAACAGTCTTCTTGTTTGTATTGATTACAATAAAAGGCAACTGAATGTACGAATTCGGAGCGGGCGCCCCGTACAATTTCTCGTTCTCCTGATTCCTCCTCACCAAATTCTTGAACGCTATCTGATTCAATATCAACTCGTCCAGCTGTTTCTCCTTCTCTATTATTGTCTTTAACTTGTTTTGCAACTCCTTCTCCAACTGATGGCACTCCTGTATAGAATTCGTCGGCAGACCCAACCACCTACGAAACGCAGTCACGCTCAATTAAACTTCTAACAATAATCAAAAAATTACCCACCTAATTTCCTTCTTTTCCTTAGATATAATCTTCATGGCCATCAGAACGTTAAGGGCGTCGTACACCCTCCTCCTGATGTTCTTCTGATCGTACTGATCCGGCAGGGCGTTGTTGGTGGCGTTCGTGAACTCCGTCACCAGTTCGTCGGCGACTTCGTTGTAAGTTGTCGTGCCCTTTTGCTTGACTTTCTCGCACACTTTCATCGAAAAGTGCCGGAGCCCCTTGCCGACCTTCTCCGATTTCCTGCCGCGTTTCCTGCAAACCAGAGATTCGTACATTTCGCTCCTGAGCGAGCCGAAGGTCTTACGATTCGGGCGCGTACTCCAGCTCGACTTGGTCCTGCCTTTTCCTGCTCAGGATCGGCGGCGAGATGTTTTTCATTAACGACGACGATTGCGACGTGAATACAGGTACCGTGGTTGAAGTAGGATTGTGTTGAGGCGATATTTGAACTTTCGTAGGAGTGGTCTGGGCGAGTTTTATTCCTTGCTGCGAAACGAAACGTTTTGACTAGCGAATTCTGGCGAAATTATCGCGGGAATCTTACCATTTGGGTCGGCGTCAGCTTGATCGTTTTCACGGGGATTTTGTTGACGTGAACTGGAATGGTTTCTGAAATCGAAATTCAATACGATACAATTTTCGTAAAAATGGAAATGTATCTATAACGAGTAACAACAAATAAAATTGTTTTTGTACATGGAAATTTACTCGTTATCTTCCGACTTATCGAGTAATGAATATATAAACTTACTTGTTACAACTTTAGGAGGTGTCCCTATTGATCTCAATACTTGTGTAGTGGATAAAGAATTAGCGGTCGCGTATATCTGAAAATTAATTTATTCAATTAAATTTCCCGATTTCTATCCAAGCGTTTATCTCGAGCAAGCGATTCGATATTAGTACCAGGCATTTATACAGCCTTAAAGAGACATAAACATCCATTAATAAGTCGTCGCGTATGGTAATAAAACCCATTCAGAGAGCAGGCATATGCACTACCTGCCTGGTAATAACCAAATAAAAGCTGTTACTTTTCAAGCTAGCATAAACACAAACAAAATGTAAACATTTTCTACTACACATAAGCGTTCTGAAAGTTTTATTTTTTCGATAATCGAGGACTGCTTTACATCTCGCGCTACAGGTGATTTACGTGTAAATCCATAACATTTAGTCCGTTACAGAATTAATTCATGAAGTACAAAAACACCCTTCGGCACGCTCGCATTGCTCAACAGATGGTTCAAAAAACATAACTGCGACTTATCGCAGGTGGTTGGATTTTTTTAATAGAAACGGGGTCGATAAAATAACCGAATTCCATTGTCGTTGTTGCTCCTCAAGATATGGGGGAAATGCAAACGAGACGTTAGCCTATTATTCTCGACGAGAATCGCTGGATTGAATGTTTTTACTCGCCAAATGACCCTGCACTTTCCCTATATTTTTATTAATTATCGAGGAATCGAGCGAAAATATTGTTAATAATTTACAATAACTTATTGAGGTGTCATTTTACAGCCCTTGCGAGATTAAATAATCCAGTTTGGTGTAGAATTGTGCGAGTTTTTTTAATAGTAATTCGAACCCACAGCGACAGGTGATAAGTTTCCTGTATGTGGGCTATTACAAGTGCTATCTACATATCTACGTCCTGTTAAAATGTCCAGTAAAAATTAGACTTGTGGCTGTAAAATTTCAAGTAGTAAAAAAATGTTTTTAGTCGTTTGTGAACGAAATAAAGCCATAGAGGAAATTTAGCGAACGTGTCGAGCTCATGGAAATCAATATGCCGGGTTAGAAAAAAAATATACGAATTGATTTCCACATTTTCCCCCCACAACAAGCGCCTTATAAGAATCAACAGCTCGACAAATTTTTAATAAACTTACCTAGTAAAATTAAATTGTTTTCGTTCCAAATATCAATTGAAAGTAATAATAAATATTGCTGTTTAGATTTAATGGAGTTATTTATTGTAATTAAGCATTTCTAGTTGAAAATAAGCAATTTAATATAATGATAGGTAGCTCAATACTAAAGAATCGCATGTACTTCATAAATATTTCAGTGTTATTGAGAATAAATTTATATTTTTGGGTGCATGATAAGAAATATTAAAAAATATGAATTTAATTATCCCACCACTCAAATCTCAAAACGAGTTATATAAAACTTTCTTCGATTTGATATATGGTAAAAATCTAAATTACTCCATTACATTAAATCGGTTTACGAATAGTACCTCAAAAAATACATTTTTAAACAAAATACTTAAATTCAAGATTCAGGAAAGGCCCTGTATAAAAGTACTTGCAATATAACAACAAATATTCGATTGCATCAACAATACTAAAATAAACAAAGCAAAAACATGCAAATATAATTTTTCAATCAATGAAAACGTGTAGCTAGTGTAAAAAAACTTACCTGCTGAGTATCATCAGATAATGTCGATGATGATTTGATAATTTTAACTGGTTGCCCGGACATAGCTGAAGTCATAATGCCGCTAAAAGTCTTTCCAGTAGATTGCATTACCTTGATCATTTGGGGCTGGCCTATTTCAAACGAGAAACACATACTAGTAATTCGTTAAAATTTATTTCGTAAATTATAACAAATAGGACAAATTACGAGGAAATCGGGCGAATTAAAACCGTAGCTTAGTGACGGCTACTTAACAATATTCGCAAATAAAATTACATCCTATCTACAATGTGCGGAAAATGTATGTAAAAATTTTTGAAATTTACCATTCGATCCTTGTATTACCCAATTCGTTGTATTCGTTTGTTGTGTCATTTTAACTCTGCTCGAAACTATACGAAATCAAAAAGTCTATAAAAAAGAACGAGATCCCACCGAAATAACCAAAAAAACCTAACAAACCATCAGTTGTCGAAACCAGATTAGTCAAAATGGCGACGCAATAATACCATACTTTGAAAGCTCGATATTACGAAACCGTCGGACCGAAATTCAGTTTAAATCGTTCCTCTAATCGACCGATTATTGCACTTTCATATTTTTCAAAAATGCCCCCCTTTAATGAGTACTTCACACTTTCAAAGCTTGACAAAGTTGAGCTATTTCGTGCAAATACATCCTTGGATCAGCTTGGCGGCGGGTACAAAGCCTTTGGTTCTATTGGTCGACGTGTCTCACGTGGTATACGCTGCCGTAACTTGAATGAATCGCCGCTAGAGCAATCGGAAATTTGTCTTTGGCGCCATACGATCACCATAGGGATTTATTCATTTCGGCTATTATTCACCAGATGACACTCATTTTTTCTTAGGCATTTTTTAGATCATCGTAGAATTACGAAAAGAAACGCTCGAAATACTTAAATTAAACTGTGCGCCAAAAATCGTTTCATGACGTAATGTCATTAGTGTCATTACTGTCAATTTTTTTACGATTTAGGGTTTTTAATGTTACCAACATTTGGTGAGAAATTCAAATTTTGACATAAACTGTCATGCGCTGCTTTCGGGATGACAGTGACGTTTAAAACGTCACTTCAGAAGTCAACAACATCGACTTGTCAAACAAACCAGAAAAATGGACACTGCAATAGCAACTCTAGTTCCTGATAATGTTCTCGAAGTAATATTCTCGTTTCTCACACTGCACGACTTAAGGAATTGTTCTCTTGTATGCAAAAGATGGTATAGCTTTTTAAACGACGAAAATAACGACGTGTGGCGATTGCATTGCGTCAGGAAACTAGCGGAAGAAGCACTAAAATCGGACCTTCTAAGCTCAGTGCCCACATACAAAGCGAAATTACGAGCCTTCCACCACGCTTGGAATCCGAACGATTGTTCTAGAAATATTTATATCAAACCCAACGGTTTTACGTTACATCGAAATCCTGTAGCTCAAAGTACAGACGCATCCAGGTACTCACATTTTCACTTGATATAAAATTCACCGCGAATTAGACTATTTCTCGTATCAGGGTATCATTGAAATAAATTTGTGTTGTTATTTTTAGGGGGAAAATAGGATTTCGGCATGGTAGACATGCATGGGAAGTGATATGGGAAGGCCCTTTAGGGACAGTTGCTGTTATAGGAATTGCCACCAAAGATGCTCCCCTTCAATGTCACGGTTACGTGGCCCTTTTAGGATCTGACGATCAAAGTTGGGGTTGGAATTTGGTCGATAATCACTTATTGCATAACGGGGATGCTCAGGGCAATTATCCTATGTTGAATAATGCTCCTAAATATCAGGTAATTATTTTAAATTCTTGTTGCATTCATGTGAGTAACATTTATTTTGTATTTCAGGTTGGTGAAAGAATACGGGTAATATTAGATTGTGATGATAACACGCTATCATTCGAGAAGAATTACGAATTTTTAGGAGTGGCATTTAGAGGTAATTCTATCGGTTTAAGGTACATCAATCATCTAACAATGTTTTATGATATTAGGGCTCCCAGATAAGAAACTTTACCCCACCGTATCGGCTGTTTACGGTAACACGGAAGTATCGATGGTGTATCTCGGTCCCCCGTTGGATGGCTAACACACCATCAGCTGACGACTAGTCAAATAATTTCGAAACCAAAGAAATTGGAGAGAGAATCATAAACGTCTGTTTCAAAGATGGTTCAATTCAGGTCAGTCCGGTTTGCCCAATGTGATAATTACAACAACAGAATTATGGTATTGTTTTACTCGATATTAACTTCCAGCCTCGGTGTGGTTCATTATCGAAACCAGGAAAGTTCGGCGATTATTGAAAGAGTTATTAGTTTGTTTTCAGATACTCGTTTGTCGTGCAAAAGTTTGCGCTATTTTAATGCAGTTTTGTTTGCAGGATGAGCGGATGGAGATAAAATGATTAAACGGAAGTAAAGAAAACTTGATTATACATTGCTCGTAACAGTTTGTTTGATTCGAATAAATCCCTCAAGCTATCGAGTATTTTTTAATAATCGCAAAACTTTATTATTCACGTTGAATTATAACAGTTTAAGCTTTGTTTGTGCACAGTTGAAGATGCTCCAAAATGATGGAATTAATTGAAATTTTGGAGTAATTGAACTGTGGTTAATTTTCGATAATTTCTATGCAGGTGTCGCGTTTTGCTTGGATTGCCGCTGTTGCATATTTTGTATGATTAAAAATTTTGTAAGAATGAAAATCTAGAGGCGATTAGTTAAACAAAATATGCAATAAAACATTATAGTGATAATGTTTAGGTTACATACAATTGTATAAAAAGTCTGATAGTTTTAGAAATTTTGTATAAATTTTGAGAATAGCACTACAAAATTCGTAAAATAGCACTATGATGAATTAAACGTATTTGCGATAAGCGTACCTAATGCCACGACAAGAATTTTATCGGTTTTGTTTACTTAAAACTCTTGCGCAATTTCTGGCGATGCAGTTATTTCAGTAATTCCACCGTTTTTCGTCACTGCCATGCCACTTAAAACAGATTTTTTATGAAATCGAGTATTTAAAATGCTATACAACGCGACTATACCTACCTTATCCTTCTATACCCCTCCCTACCCTTCTCTACCCTTCTCTAACCTTCGCTACCTTTGTATCAAAATTAAATTTCTATTACAGGAATATGGAAATTTATCAATAATTGTTAAATAGTATTACAGACATTTTCGAAATACTTGTTTGATTTTATTATAGATCAATTGATTTCATAAAAATTCCTTAACTTTTTTGGCTAATTTCCGTACAATAATTAAATTTTGAATCGAATATGTAACATATTATATTTTTAAATCGATCCTATGAAACAGAAAATAATTACTGTAATTTTACTAATATTATAAAGCCTAAAAAATATATAAAAAAAGCATTATTAAATTTTTCTTGCAGCGTAGCCACCAAGAGTTGCCTTTAGTCATTGATGTTGATTTTTATTTATATTCTGTGATAGTTTTGATATTTTCTTTATTTGTCTTAGTATCCCCCTAAATATTTATTTACATTGCTCGAAATTTATCAAAAGTATGATTTCTTATTATCAAAGACAGCCAAGTTAATTGGAGAATTAATTTTTTGTTAATTAATTCATAATTAAATATAAATGTAGCAGTACAAAGATTTAAAGAGCGTCTCTTTATTCTAGTCTTTTTCGCATTCTTATAATTTTATGAATAATTGTTAGCTAAAAAAAATAATACTCTTATTTTAGAATAAATGGAAACGCAAATCTAGTCCTTTTTGTACCTACAATTTAGTGTTAATTGGAACGAAAGGGTTTCTTCAAAAATTTCTTGAATAATTACTATTATTTTATTATGAAATTTTAGAAGAACTCTTAACTAAGGAAGTTCTAGTTTTATAGAGCTCCTGTAAGTAGTATGAATGATTGTTTAATTTTTTTATACATACGTTTTTTTTTGTTTTATACCGGTTTTATTTATAAAAATGTACAGTATGGATTGAATAAAATGTAAAATTAATCTTGATTAGAACTGTTCATGAATTTATTTCGAACTTCCCCGAGTCCTTTTTGCCGCTTTTAATCCTATTCTTTAAATAAAACAATAAATTTTTCAGGAAATTTATTTTATATGTGCATATAGGGTGAATTTTATTCAAATTTTCTATAAAACTGGCTAATTTTTAGTCACTGAAAATAACACATTTCTAATTATTATCGAAATGTAACAAACAACCTACGTTATACAGGGTGTCCCCGCAAATATTTTAACATCAACTTTCGACCCATATCAAATTAGTATTTTTGCTCAAAAATTTTTCAGCATAATCCCTATTCTATTCTTTGCATTCTAATTATAAATTTTCACTCCAGTATTAACTGTATGAAAAAACTTACTAATTCTAATGAATAGATTTGTTCCCAATAAATATTTGTCCAATACACATTATTTTTATTATTACTGACTAATCCATGAACTGGTCAAATTCTCATTGAGTACAAAGCTTAATACATACGAGTATAAAGTAGTACCGAATTATTCGGTCCACAACTCTTCTAGGTACTATTTTTATTGACTGAACATTGGAAAGATTGACCAATTAAGTCTTGTTTGATATTAGGAAAAACGACTGCATTCAATTAATTTCAAGGTATAAGAAAAGTAGTCAAGCAATTCTAGCAGATTATTGTACTTTAAAAAGATTTTTTGATTGGAAGTATTGAAGTTTCTATTAGGTAAGTGAAAATTTTGATGAATATCGTTGCATAAGATTTTTAATACTTTCACCTTGAGCAACACAATCCATTAACTCAATTTCGAGAAAGAAGTGGCAATTTTGTAATATTTCTCTAAACAAATCCAATGCTACTCTACAATTTCCAGCATTGTGAAACTTTTAATTACTACAATATCACAATTCATCACCTTTTAGTTCTACCTAGTTATTAATATATCCACTTCAAATAATCGAATTTTCAACAACTACGTGTCGCTCCTAAAATTTCCAACCCGACTACATGTGTTAATTAGCAAATTTTCGAAATCATCAGCGCTTCTCCTTGGCCGAATCTTGCAAACGCTTGGCCACTAAGCAGTACATTTTGCAGAGGAACGGGCACAAGAACGCTTCATGTGTTATAGCTGCTGTTCTGTATAATTGACTCTCGAACGGGTCCAGTATGGCCGGACAAAGCATGTGATTCAGATTTATTTCTGTAAGCTAAAAAAAATTATTAGCTAACAATTAATCAAAAGTAACACGACTTACTATTGAAAATCCCTGAAGAATAACGAAATGATACAAAAGATTGATGCCATAACTTACGCCGCACCATGACATGTCCCAAGGGTCTTCGATATTAAATTCACCTAGAAATTAACCAGTTTATAAATCTATAAATTACTAAAATTGATGGATACCGACCTCCCATGCGTAAAAGATAGTAAGGCACAACAAAAATCATCCCGTGTTGGGCCCAGTAGACGAAATTCTCGAGCGGCAACTGAAATAACACGAGAGAAATGTTAATGAATAATATCAAATTAAAACTTACCAATCTGGTGTCGGTTTCTGGAAACATGTACGCCAATACCGGCCCGTTCATCAAATTCAATTGCAACCTAAATAATGCAGTTACTGTTTTGCTAGGCTTCGACGCTAACAGGAAAATCTAAAAAAAAAACCATCAACAACGATTCCACAATTCCCTCGCGGGAACCCCTACTTGTATCGCCGTAGTAATATGACAAGGATTCAACAGAAATATCACAGTTTTAGTCGAAAATTTGTACCCAATTTCCAACCCTAATAGGACGCACAGCGCCACCAACAGGACCGTCCTGTCGACCGTGTTCCTTCGCAGGTACTTCCCGTCCGGCAACCTCAGTTTGGGGTAGTAGAACCAAATCAACCAAGACGCGATGGACAGGGCCAGGACGGTTTCGAGTACTCGCCACGTCGGGTTGAGGTAAACCGCGCATTCCGGCCCTGCGTTGCGGGGCACCGCCGTGGAGACACCCGCTCGGATCCAATCCCAATCCATTGTCATAGCCTGAAAATGTGCACCAATTCAAAGTCGTGCCACGGAAATTGCGGCAGTAATTTTAATTACCAGCAGCGCATTTAACGAGCCAATTTCGCTCGCTATCTTATCGAGGAATTGACCCGCTTTAATTTATCGTTACGATATTTCTACTTCTACATCTTAATCGTCAAACAACTCGTTTACTGACCTTTTAAAATCGCCCGTTTCCTTTCGATCGGAGTATTTATTTATCACATTGTTCAGCGAGTAATCTGCGATACCTCGAACGCTAGAAGGCTGCTTGAAAGAACGCCGCTTCCGTTATCATCCCCGTCATTTTCGGTGATTCGCACGCCACGGATTACTCCGGAATGTCCGATTTCGATTTCGTTCCGGTGCGGGTTTATCCTCACCGAAACTCTCGACATAGGATTTCCATTATGCAGTTTCGCGAGGGGCGGCATCTGTGCCGAGAGGGTCGAAGCCGAGGCGGTATCGATTTTTCCGGGGAAATTTCCGGGATCTTCTCGAGGATTTCGGGGGGCTCGATCGAGGTGGCGCGGTTGGAGTGGAGCGGAGCGGAGTGGAGCTAAAGGAGAAAGATTCATTGTTAACATTAGTCTGCGGTGTGTGGCGAGATTAAGGCAAATGCCTTTTTGAATAATTACTAGGCGACCTTTTTGCTAATAAATTAAAATTTCTAGATTATGAGAGAAGAGGGGTTGGTTAATGGTCGACTTTAACGTGGCTTATACACGTAGATACGGCTTTAGCATTGCAGATGGTTAATTATTAAGTGTACGTCGAGTTAATAATATTTCGTAGAACCTATTTTTGAAATATTTGAATTTTTTGTAACCGCCGGATTTCGCCGCTTAACCAATACACAAATCTCGGGGAGATTCCGCTCCATAAACCATTTTTTTATAGCACATTTCCGTTCTCCATCGAACGCCATCTGGAATTTATTTTAAAGCGCCGAACAATAGAAAAATAGAGCGGGATTTTTCTTGCGCCGTATCACGGAAAACGTTGGGAAACGTTCATGTTATTCTAATGCAACGATGTCGCGTGAATTATTGGATCTTTGTATTTATTCCGTCACGCGATATATATCATATTTCACATTTCATTCTCGGAAAATTTCGGAACGCTGAAATAAACACCGCGGGAATGGAGAAGGAACGTTTACTCTTTACACATTTCCCTCCAGCGGCGGCTCGTGAACTGAAAATATCCATTTTACTAATTAAGAGTTTAATAGTATCACAGATGATTGAATAATTTGTTATAATTAACGCAGTTGCATTCACACATTTTGCGATTTAAATAAATGTAGAGAGGATTGATTAATTATTCATTATGGCGTTCATTTTGAAATTAATCAAGTTAAATAAGAAAATATTTCAGAAATATATTCAACAAAATGCACTCAAATTTAGCTCCAGCTAAGCGTTTTCCTTCATGCGCTCGTTGGAAATTCGCACTTAAATTTATTTGCTTGAACTCGTACAAAATAAATGTTTTGTAAGATTAGTTTTTTATAAAAAGATCAAGAAGAAGTTTTACATTTTATCTATTACCTATAAAATGGGACTTTTCTCCAGACATATTAGTTATTTATAATAGTAACTATTGCTTTTAACTAATATAAATTATGTAAATCCCATGCTCAGGTTAGAAATAAGCGAATTCACTTTATTTTGAAACTAACACTCGAAGCGGTAGGTAATCACATTTCTAATTATTCACACACCCCTGTTCCTGTTCAATCAACCGAACACAACGTGTTTTACATGCCCTACTGTGCCCCAAAGCCTTGAATAGTACTTACCTGTTATGCATTGTGCAAGGGCGTACGCTCGCACAAATGCGAGTCCGGCCAATCCATAAAGCTGCTAATAACCTAGAAACGTTTCACAGCCTAAATTAACTGAAGCTGAAAATTCGGTGAAAGCGATGAAAATTTTAATCCAAAACGGTAGTCAAGTTGACCGCTGTACAACACACAGTTGCGGCGATATTGGTGAAATCGGAAAAGTTTATTACTTTTACATAAAGAATGTAACCTGTGTAGCGAGAAAACCGTTTTATTTCGAGAAGTTTGAAGTGAAAAATGGAGGAAATTTTATTAGTTTAATATGGTCTTCAATATAACCTCTACGAGTAGGCATATGGAACCTTTGAAATTGCTTAATGGAGAGGGAATTTTATACGTTTCTACCTTTAAAAGAAAAAATGTGTTGCATTTAAATTTACTATACACCTTTAATGTACCGTGGATGAAGCGCCGGATTTATGTTTACGATATACCTACGATAAAAGCGAAATATTACCAACTATCTAATAAAATATTCCTATAAAAGTTTCTTTGTATAAAACAGTTTGTATTTTATTGCGTCAAAATTTACTGCGAATATTAAATTATTCTACCTTACTAATGGGTACAATGAGACGGAAAATTCTCTATAAGAATATCGAAATAAATATATATTTAAATAAAGACGGGACATCGTCGGAAATCGTAGACAATAAAACGATTTTCGAATGGCTCTGCCGAGTCGTTCGGGGTTGAATTTAAAAACTGCTTCGAAAATAAGAACGTTCCCTAAATCACGACTAACTGTAATTGCGGGGTGTTTGAACTCGACTAGAGATGGCACAGAAGTGTTCTTTGTGTTTTTCGAATGGCTTATATATCTGGGAAACATACTCGACGAACGGCGACCATCAAGAAAATTACCCGTAAAGAAAAATTGCGTGGTTACAATTCGTAAAATCCAACGGATATCGGGCGTTCGGTCCGGTTTCGATGAGTTTTATACGGCTAACTATGCTCTTATCATGCATGCATCTCGTGAGTTTGTGGTGCTTTTCTAAAGTTTATTGCATATTGCATTAAAATATTTATTAGGCAACAGAGATTTTTTTTAAATAAAAAACCAATTTCCCTAATGAAACCTCTTCCATCAGGAGTGCAGTTTTTTTTCGAAAACCGCTAAAATTTAATTTTCCTATTTGCGTTTCTATTAAAAATGTCCCCGGTTCACCGGCAAAAATGCGAAAGCCAAGATTAAAGCAGGTCCTCATTAAATAAACTCGGCATATAATTCGATTTGTAGCGAAACTCGAGTGCACAAAAAGCGCCATATTTGTGATTCTAATTCATATTCAAATAAAAAAATTCCGCGAAAAAAATTCGCCGCAAATTTATTCCGCTCTTTTTTTTGTCGTTCAATGAAAAGTGCCTTTTTCAATCGAACCTTCGTTTCTTTCAATAGGAAAAAAAAGGAATTCGGCGCGCATGATGTTTTATCGAGTTTTCTATACACTGTATGTACTGCGTTTTAAAAAGAAAATCAAACTTTCCCGCCCTTAAAATAAGCATTTACATACTACAATCATCTAAGGCATTCAAATATTCCAAGAAAATTTGTATATAAAAATTTTCTTATGACGATTTCGCGGAATTCATTGACAGGCAAATATCGATCGCGGCTTTATCGAAACCAAACACTCTTCGAACCTCCTATTTCTGGATTTTAAATATTCACTTTTACACCCCTAAATTAACTCCGGGCAAACCAGATGGCAACGATGAATAATTTATTAAAAAAAATATATCAACCGATCCGCCAAAAGCGCGAACGGCGGGTTAACGAAGCATCCAGGAAGTGCGTATATCCTTTTCATTCGTTAAGTTTTCGAGGTTCGAACAGTTTAAATTTTAGCTCGAAATCGTCCGATTCTCGGGGCTCAATTGGAGCTGAAGGCGGATCCCGAGTCACCCCAATTAAATATGTATCGATCAGCTATTTAATTATTGAATAGATTTTATAAGGTTACAGCTACTGTTCTCGTCGGTATCCATTCGTTAAGCGACAAAAAGCGCCGAATATTGATCGCTACCGCTAATTAACCGTTACCTATTTGATTTTGGTCCAATACTCTTCAATAAAAAATTCATTGTTGAATGAGCGAATAAAATAATAAAAAATTTCACTGTGAAAATGTTACATGTTGTCGGTGCAAAACTAATATTAATGCACGTTATTACTGTTGTTATACATTCCAAGCATTGTGCCCAACTTTTAAAAATAAAGTCAAAATAAAGTTTTGACTGGAAATTAGTTGACTAATCGATTGCTCAAAATCACTGCACTTTTAGTATCGCTTATAAACTACAATATTTGAGTACATATTAATAGAGTGCTTGTAACTCGATACCTTGAACAAAGAGTTTCATTTGCTCCCCTCGCGGTGTTTTCGCTAAATAAATAACACCCCTGTCGTTTCCCTCTTCATCAGCAAATATGTCAAACTTGTGTTTGCGATAGTCGTGTTTAAAGCGTATTTAACTGCTTCCCAACTACAACGCCCTAACCGCGCGCAAACTACCTCTAATTGACTATAATTATTCATTTCGTTCGTTATTAATTCGCGAAAATTAATCCACTCGACTATTCCGTGCGTGCGGTCTCCGGTTGTTTTTCCTTTCCTTAATTGGAATTTCTCCCGTGCCAAAATGCAAACGTTTGTCAATAAGCGTTTAAATATTACAATTTATTTGTTGTTTCGAAAGTGCATGTATTTCCGCAAATAAAAACAACACAAACAAACCCCTGATTTTCTCCTATATGCGAATAGTTTATTTGCACAACAAACCAAACTGAACCACTTCGAAATTAGTCGATACAGGAGCGTTATTATTATTACCGGACAACTCAAATATAAACGTTGGTTGGTATTTACCCCTATTAGCAAAAATTTTGCATAGGTATTCAACAAACAGGATTTTTTTTCGTTAAAACAAACAGGAGCAATGGTGAGGATCTTCCTTTGCGGAGCCGTTAGTTGATGGAGTGCGAGTTTGTTTCCGGGGCGTAGGAAAATTCGCGTGAAATATGCTGATATAATTATTCCCGCCGGGCCGAAAAGGTGGCGTATATACCTATTCTCGGGAAAATAACGCGTCACGACGCTCATATGCAGCGTCGCGGACGAAAGAAATATGATTATTGCGTTAAATTCCGCGCAATGTTCCTAACCGAGTAAGAAATGTGCAGGAAGGAAGGCGAGTTTTCGGTAACGAGAAAACTTTTTTAGTGTTTTTCTTTTAACGCTTCCTTTTAAAGAATTGCGCCGCTTAGAAAAAATACAAGAGAGGCGCGTTTACCTTTGTATTTATTCGTAATAAAATCGGCGATATGGCACTTAAAACTCCGGCTCCGATCCGACGATTTCCGCTAAAGAAATGTATAATCAGGAAAATAGGAGTCATGCATATTCAAAGGCAACTCGTCAAAAGCGCCGCTCCGCTCCCGTCCGAATTCTGAATATGTTTCCTCTGCGGAGATGACGGAAAAGAGGACGCGGAAGTGAGGCTCACCTGTCGTGATATTTTAACTTAAAAGGGTTCACTCACAACCATGTCCCTCAGCTAAGCTAACAGCAATAATCAAAGCGAGACAGTTGGAGCAGAATTGGTTTCGTTTAACCTGAATTGTTGTTAAACAAAAAGCGCGATTGATTAATTATTTAACTGCGTGGAGTAGACGAATGGATTAATTAACTGCAAGTTGCGAAAAAATAACCTTGTTCTCGTCGA